CATGTGTTGCTATCACTCTGAGTTTGGTGCAATTTCTGCCAGTTGTGGCTCAATGTTTGTAAACAATAATAGACAAACTTACGAAAGAACCGATATGTCGAGATGCCAACAACTGCTTTACATTAGACAAAAATGCATGCTGGTATTACAGTTCATTCAGTTCTCTAATACAATGGCTGGTGGGCTCAATGCTTTAAGCAACAATGTGGTATGCCATATGCAACCCAAATCTGTAACACAAAGCATACTTAAACTTTTATTACTAATTTTATTTGTAAAAAACTTTTTTCTGATATAGCTCACTGTTCTCTTTAATTCTATTAAGAGAATGCCAGAATATAACTATATATTGCACATGCATATATAAAACTTCTATTCATACTCGTGCACAATTTAAAAGCAATAAAACCAGCGTTAAATGTAATGAAATGCCAGTATTCTGGGTGAGCCCCGGGGCCTTCCTGACACTATGCTACTGATATCGTGTCAAGGAGACAACGGGGATCCCCACAAAAAAGATATCAAATGACCAACCTGGTTCACGTTGGTTATTGTAAAAATGTGTCAAAATTTAAATACAGTAAAAATAAATGTGTCAAAAAGGTAGAAAAGTGTCAAAATCGTATTATCAGGAGAGTGACTCCACTCATCCGTCTCACGTACCATTTACTCTATTACCACAATTTTAATTTATATCCAACAGTCTAGGAAAGCATTCAAAAAATATAAGTGGAATAACTTCTCCACTCATTGGCATTTGATTTGCATAATATTAGTTAATATCTTTAAATATACAATGATTTCACATCAAAAATTTTCAGCTTCGAATCACAGCATTATTTACATACACAAAATTTTGTATAAATTAACTCATATTTCACATAAAAGACATTCAATATAGTGAAATAAGTTATAAATACAATAATTCTGTTCAAGTGAAATGAGTTAACCACTGCACTGCACCACCAGACATAACATGGGGTATTGCAGTGTGTCACCCGACTCAGGAGCAACGTTAAGGCATCGTACGATTCAAAATGTGCCCGCAGTAGGTTGGGTACAAGATGGACACCCGAGACCTCCAGTGAACGGCAACCATCTTGATAAAAATTCCCAGCATGCCCAGGGCTGCGGGTTTGCTCAGTTCTGAGTGAGCAAAATTGGCTGGCGTGCCTCCGACTCTCAATCCCCTGTTGGACGCAATGTCGCAAAATCACTCTCTGATGATGAAATTCAAACCTTATGGTTTGAAGATGATAATAGTGATATTGATTAAGCAAGGCACAATAAAGACCTAACACAAGTGTTGAATACAAGTGAAACAGCACGGATGAGGACGATACAGCGAGCGTATCCAATGCTGTTTCTGATACAAGTATCAGAGACAAACAGTGTTAGCGGCTTCCATGGTGGTGTTACTATGCCAGTGGTAGTGGTGCCAGTACAAGGAGCACGGGTGAACTCACCAGGGAGGACTGTGATAATTTTGTACCACACAAACTATCGAATTTGGAAAGTGTGAAAAGTATTCAGCAATATCAGACAAAAATTTTGAGATTACTTTGTACCAGGACAGAACTTTGTCACTGATCTCTTTCTAGATCTTTTCAAGACTACCTTACACGTCACAAGCTTGGCTACATACCACCTACAGGAACTGAAGTCAAATGTGTACATGAGTGCATTGTTTGCAAGCACACAGAACGAAGAAACAGGAAGCAAAAATCTGTGTGTACCTGATGCATCGAGTGCAAAGCCGCACTGTGCACCATGGACTGCTGCTTTGATTATCATTCACTTCTGAAGTACTGAGTATGTATGACTGTAAATAGTGTGCGAGTGTACATAGTATAAATAAATTGGATATTGAACAAGTAATATTGCAACAAAAACAAATTTTATGGACACATTAGTGACTCATGTATTAGTTCCTCAGAACATTATGAATATTCTACTGTGTACATATTGTAAAGGACACAAATGTGCATCAGATACAATAAAAAAAATTAGAAAGCATTGAAAATGCATTTAAAAAATGAATGAAAATACATTTGTGGCAACTCACGAGTCTTGACCTGCCCGTGCGACCGCCTCCAGGAGCTTCCAGCACGGGTGAACATGTATCGGTGATGTCACATTGCCACAGCCAAAGCAAGTTTGTTTTTTTTTTTTTTTACATGTACATGTTCAGGGAAGAGATTTTAAAAATTTACAAAAAAAAAAAAAAAAAATGGGGAGGAACATTTCAATTTCCGCGCACTACCAGAATGTCACAGTAAAAGCTGCGCAGCATGGAGGTTAATGTATCTTAAATTTCGTGTAGAAATAATGCTGTAACTTAAAAAGCTTCGACTAGGTTTTATGTAGACAACCTATACACATCGCACAAAAATATATCGGTAGTATACAAATACAAATTTAAATCATGACTTTCTACTACTTTTTATTCATATTTTGCTGGACTCATTAGTAAAATATTATAACTGTAGCATCTTGTTTTTGGCACTAGTCTAACTTCTTGACTTTGTCATCAATGCACAAAAACAATAAAATATGCAATTAAATGCACAGTAAGTTTTTAATACACTCTGTTTAACTTTCTTTACAAAACTTGTATATTAACATGATCACAGCTAATTCACAAATTAACTTGTGTGCCATTGCCAAGTATTGTTTTACATACGCATGTTACAAAGTAATTATTAAGTTACTAGCTTTCTCCATTTAATATTCTGCACATGTGCATAATCTGCTATCATGTTAAAAAAAAAAATATTTTGCTAGCTGCTTTAAATAACTTATATAAGGATCCATCCTCATCCAGTATTAAACTGAACTGTACTCTTCTTCACTCTTATCACACAAAGTATGATATTCCAAACCAAACCTTATGAGTGACTGTATAAGGTCAGACAAATAAGATATTGACACAGAGACAAGTGCTCATACACATCGAGTGCAACTGTCCACAGCCAGGGAACTCTCAGAAACTTTCAAGCACGCAACCCGTTACGTCACCTCTCACCGTAGGAGTTCATAATAGCCGAGCACAAGCCTTAGAAACATTCCTTATATTTCCTTAAACATTTTCATTACACACCTAAATGCTACTGAAGGCTTCACTGATATGCCAGATATTTTTAATATTAATTGCAAACCAAAATATTTGACTCAAAGCTAATAATGATGTATTTATTTTCTAAATATTTGATGCGAGGTATGTACTGGTCATGCAATAGATCCAACACTACTGTAACACATTTTATTATTGTACTCTATTTTAAGGCCTCTGATATTACAGTATGAAAATAATCCCATATCTCTGTAGCAAATTTATTTTTGTTTAAGATTATTAACTTCTCAAGTAAATGTGAACATGTTCACAATATTCTTGATGCCTTCATTGTACAAACAAAATTTAAACAACGATTTTTAACTATTCTTGATCCCCTAAGATTTCCCCACTAGCCTAGTAGTTTCTCCAAGCTTTATAAAATGATTGTGGCACTTGTAGAGTTTATGGGGTAGCACCTTGTGAATTTATTCCATCACCAGTATGACCATTTTCTGCATGCGCCTCTTTAGGAGGGCCTTCTGGAAAGAGCATCTCATAGCTGGGTGGATACTCTCCCACCTCAGGGCATGGAGGAGCATTGCTCTTCCAGCTCTGGTTTGCATCAGACATGACTACTGCCTCATATGGTGGAAGAGTATGTTGTCGTTGAAGGGCTGGTGCCGAGGGGACTTGAGTTTGTCCGCCTGGTGGTACAGGAGTCCTGAAATTGTGATGTGCACTTCAAATATGCTATAGGTATATCAGATCTCCAAAAGATTGAAACAGTAATTATGTAGAATTAATAATAATATTAATACAGTACAGTAGTAATAATACAGTACTGAATCGTATAGTAATTTGTCACCAAGTTTTAAACATTACATGAAAGAGAATGTATGCTATTATCCCAGTACAACTCAAATGATGACCACCTCAAATAAACCACCCAATCACAAGGCTAGATAAGAAGAACTTTATATAATTATCCGATTACTAAATTTGGCAAACAGAGACATTTTTTAACTGAAATACGGTGTCCTCTACACCTGGCTGTCTTGGAAGACCAGCCCAACTTAGCCAAGAAATTCAAGTAATAAATGTAATGAAACATCCTTTTCTATGCAAGGCCCTCAGTAACTTCAGAACTTCCAGTTTAGTAGTGCCTCAGGAAGTTGCATCAGGCTTTTGTGGCAATCTCTTGGCTACCAAAAGCAAGGAAAAGAATCACTGTCTCTCTCTACAAGACAAGGGATATGGCACCCATTGCATAGCAGGGGTTAACTCGACCACACTAGAGTTCAACCACCCCGTACTGACCGAAAGGAACTGCAGGGTAGGCAGCAGGCCCTGGATCCCCCTGACACTAAAGGAGGGGTTAAAGCTCACCTCCACTGCAGGCCCGAGGACACCACCCATAAGACCCATGCACTGTGGGTCCAAGAGTTTGCAAAATTGGTGAGACATCCTGCCACATCACCATCAAAAGGGCACACTGCAAAACGACAACATAACAACAACCTTGAACAGGAGCAGCAAAAGCTGGGGAAGTACTATGGCCCCAGAATCTGACACTTCCAGTGGCCTTTTCCCAATCAACAACAGGTGAGGTCTAATCCCGAGAAGACTGCTCCTGAGCAGCAGAAACAGAATCCTATTGCAAAAGAAGACCATGGGGCTGGAAGGCAACAGATGCAGCTGACATAATAAGAGGCAATAGCTACTTCAGGACATGGAAGAGATGAAAGCGGGGTGGTGGATAAAAGGAGGAAAAGTTCATGCTGAATCTAAAGCATGGGCTGACATAGTCCACTTGTATACCAACTGAACCAAAAAGAAATCCGACAGCCTCACACTGGAGAAGAGCGAGCAACATGGGCATTTACATTTATTTTGATTTATTTATAAATACAAGAGTTCTTACATTCCTGTAAAGCCACTAGCACGCATAGTGTTTCGGGCAAGTCCTTAATCCTATATTCCCGGAATACGACCGGCAAAATCGTTTGACAACCAGGTACCCATTTAACTGTTGGGTAAACAGAAGCTACAGTTAAGGATTGACGCCCAGTAAATCCTCCCCGGCCAAGACACGAACCCAGGACAAAGCACTCGAGAAACGCCAGGCAAGCGTCTTACCACTACGCCACGGGGCCTGTATCACCTCTGAAGCCCCAGTAGCAAACAGCAGGATCGCAATCCCTGGTACTGAAGTCCCAGTACCACACACATATTTTAAAATACATGTGTGCATCTAAGTAAACCATCCAATGCAAGATTAAGCAATTCTTTCATGTCATGTCGATCACACAATTCCGACACTACAACATATTTTACAAGTCCAGAAAATACACAATACATAGTACAGTACATGCATTAATTATGAGAACAGGTTGTCAAATCTTATGTACAGCATTAACCTTACCCAGATGGCGTAGCACTGCGAGACTTGGCCTTCATGATAATGGTGAAGAGGCAGCAGATGACAAGACCTGCACCGACCACGCCTGCCAGTGCAGTGATGATTGTTGTTGTAGTGGAGAATACTGGTTGATACACTGCCCTCACTGCACATGGTAATGAGAGAAAAAGAATACAGTACACTATGGTAATTACTGTATTTAATTACTGTATTGTTATATTTATTAGGTTAGGTTTAGGTTACATTTTTGTTGGGTGAAATGAAGTACTTGCTAGGCCGTTTCAAGTTTTCTGTTGGGGGATATCTAGTTCTTTATTGAGTGATTTGTAGTACTTTGTTAGGAGAAACTTAAGGAAATTCCTGTTTCAATTCTTCCTTTGTGGTCTGATACTGTCAGACCACACACACACACACAAATTAACAGCTATATTGCCATTCAATAAAATGCTGCCACTAACACTACAATATACATATCAAATGTACTAACCTGAGCAACGCACTTCATCTCCTCCACCAGAGGGAAAGCCACAGTTGAGGTGGTTGTCACACATGTACCGCTGGTCAATGCAGAAGTTCTCATTCCCAGTACACTTGAATTTCCCTTGGCAAGCCTCTGTAAACACTAAATGTCAACCACAGACTGCATTAGACAGGTAAATAACTACAGCCAAGAGAAAGAACAGAGAAATAAGATGCAAGTACCTGTAGAACAGCTGAGCTTAAGCACTACACCTAATGTGAAAATACATACCGGTACAGTAATTATCAGAAGAGGACACAAAGCCTGGGTCTAATGTGAAAAGATGACTACTGTATGCTGTATATACTGCAGCTAAAGCAACATTCATAAAATGGAAAGATATAATATAAAAATATAATGCAGAAAATCTACAGAATTATTAGAAACCTAAATATTAAGTAACGATGCCACCAATATTTTACTACAGTTTACTGTACAGTATACAGTATTTGCTTTTAATATAAACTAGCAAGAATAACTTTATTAATTTTCAAGACAAGAAGCATAACAAAGATACCAATTATAGTACAGGGTAGGACTAAAAATTAGCAATCATCTATAGAAATGTTCAACTAGTCAATATAATCTTATCCAATATACATCAAGATGGGTTGGTGTGCTACCAATAAAGTTAGTTATACAGTACTGTGGTCCCTCCAAAATTCACATCTCCAAGTAATGAAACCCTTCAACACATTGTTTGTGCTACCAGACCGCCCTCCCAAAACTAAACAAATTTCAGTTTAAATCCAGGCATTGGAATGGTTATAGTGAAATAAAGAGTGTCACATACAGTAATTTTTAGCAGCTCATATATGGTTTCCCTTTTTTTCTTTTGCTATTTTCAGACTTTTTAAAAGTAAATATTTTAAATTTTGTGTCCTTTAATAAATATTTTACCGTGCTTAACGGCACAAAAAAGTAGAAAATTAAATGTAAATTCATTCCGATTATTCATATATTCGGGTTACTAGGATTTGAATTACCAAGCTCTTACAGTAACCTGGATTGGGTAGTGAATTATATAATCTAGATTTTTTGAAGTGCCAATGTATATTAAACAAATATTTAAAATGGGAAATCTGATCACTGTGCATTTCCTGCGATAACATAAAGGTGTAAAACATGAGAACTAATGAACAAATTCACAAGGGACGTGACGAGGGTTCGAACCTACGTCCGAGAGGATCCCAGATGCTGCCTTATTCATCCAATTTGTTCATTTGATGTATCACGCTATTGTGATTTCTGTGTGTAATGATAACTAATGCAGTACAATAATTAAACAAAGAGAAGCTGGTTGAAGAGAAATATCAGTGACATACTCTGCATGTAAATAATATTTTGCTTGTAAGAGCTTTATCAAATCTATCTTATAGACAAAGCTAGTGGTAATAAGATATGAAAGGTAAACACAGGTAGAGGTGAGGTGAGGAGATAAAGGTGGGATGAAGTCATGAGGAAGGCGGGTGACATCATGGAGCCTAAGGTGTGGCCAGGCCAGAGTAGCAAGGTATACCGTGTCATAATTTACATGACGTCACTATTAATTTAGCCGGAGAGTGGTAGTAATGTAACAGCTTTGGCAGCCTCAAGCACCCTTTTAAGTTACCATCTCCAGTACTGTAGCGTATTCGCTGGCATTTGTGAGCCAACACTTTACACACACATGAATGCTTGTTCTACAATTCTACAGCAGAGGCTGAATTAAACCTTAACCATTGACCATGCATGTGATGGCAGGAGCAGCTACAATACTGAGGAGGCGTAAAGCGCTCTTCTTGCAAGCAAGCTATAAACCACTGAATAATTTATGTTTGTACTGTACAGTATTTAGAATAGCACAATCTCAGCATGGCCAGATGAAACCATAGCAACTGTCATCACTCTGGCGGGTCATCTGTAATGCTTGGAACCATGCCTACCCTTGTCTTCAATCACTAATTTAATTTTGGTCAAGAAAATATCTAACGATATGCATGGAAAGCAACTGATTAAAATAAAGGTGGTTTCCAATTTAATGACATATAGCTTAATAAATTTTGACACGCCCACTGCCAAAAAAAAACAAAAAAAACAAAAATTATATCAAAATCTTTGTTGCCATTAATTAATGTACAGTACAGGGTACTCTAAACACTAAACTGCTAAATTACAGACGTGAAAAACTGAAATGTTTTGGTGTACCCTGGACCATTATTAAATTTTAATTTTGTAAATGTCAAGTGAAAACAAAATTGTAATCACCTTTCTATATGTCATTTGCCTTGCTATTTTGTCCTAGTCCCAGTACTGTACTGTGATATTATTCTTATTTTTACCATTACTATTACTAATACTGAAACACGACAAGAGTAACAATGCGTCGGTAATCTTTGTTAGTGTTACAAAATGCATGCATGTGCACAAATGCCAAGCTCAAGAAAGGAAAGAGTTTTGACTGTAGTTATTCATACCAAATATTTTCACTCTGTATACTGTAATGAGAGAAGAAAGTTTCAAAAAGGCGAGAATAATATTTTTAATTAACATTTTACAAATTAAAGTAACCATTACTTGTTATTTAAAAAAAAAAAACTGTGTTGAATGTAATGAAACACAATTTTCTGGGTGAGCGCCGGAGGCTCCCTGGAGCTATCGGGCTAATGTGTGTTATATTAGACTGGGGCATTAGTCTATGGAGTTCAGCCTATTGGAACCTATTGGAACCTATTGGAACCAAGCCAGAACCTGGCTCCCCCTCAGAGAGGTTTAGGGAGCAATGGCCCTGGAACCCCCCTCTCTGTGGTTGGGGGTATGCTTATCTGCCATCAACCAGCATCGTCATCAGAGCCCCGGCACTGATGACGACACCTGGCCACCACACACAACACTGCATTAGTCGCCACAAAGGCTAACACAGCCTTAGGAAATTGAGGCCAGAGAAGACGTCCACCCTGGACAACATTAGCTAATGAACTGAAATGCTGGGTAGCCTGCGCAGGTAGGAGAGGGTTGTGCAGACGAGTGGCGTAGCAGTGGAATGTGACGTTTGCTTGTTTGCTCATATTCCTTGGGATTGGAGGGAGTTCTGCCTCTCTTTTCATTTTTTGGTTGTACCTTTCTTATCATGTGGGGTTTCGTTTTGTTATGCCTAACTTTCCGGGGTACCTAACCTCTTTCGATGGCAGATAAGGAAAACCCCCAACCACAGGGAGGGGGGGGGGGTTCCTGGGCCATTGCTTCCTGAAACCTCTCCGAGGCAGGCCAGGTTCTGGCTTGTGGTCCCCGGAAGGCTGAACTCCATAGACTAATGCCCCGGTCTAATATAACACACATTAGCCAAAAAGCTCCAGGGAGCCAAAGGGGCTCCACACAGAAAAAATTATTTACAGATATTTAAAAAAAATAATGAATATAGAAAAAATTTAATATGATAAAAACTTTTCAAAATAGAATCATTTGATTGCTCTCTAAGGTAAGGATCCATCGAGTTGCACGAGAAGATCATGACAAGTCAGGAAAGACAAAATTCTGGCAATGATTCCAGAGAAATCTTTTCATAATGTCCCTACAAATTAGACACAGAATTTTCCTGTCCTGAATCAAACCTGTTTGCTCAAAATCAAAATCAAAGCATGGCGCTCCCCCCTGTACTGGATATGCTCGTTGTATCATCCTCATCCATGCTGTATCACTTGTATCTGACATTTGTGTTAGGTCTTTATAGTGCCTTGCTTAGTAAATATCACTACCCTTATCTTCTTCAAATCAGAAGATCTGAATTTCATCATCAGAAAGTGATCTTTTGACACCGCATCTGACAGGGGATTGGGAGTCGGAGGTGCATACGCCAGCCATGGTTGCTCACTCAAAACTGAGTTAACCCGCAGCCCCGGGCATACTGGGAATTTTTTTTCAAAATGGCTGCCACTCACTGGAGGTCTCAGGCATCCATCTCGTACCCAACCTACTGCGCGCATTTCGAAACTTACGATATCCTAACATCACTCCTGAGTAAGGTGGCGCACCGCCATACCGTGTTATGTCAGGTGGTGCATTGCAGTGGTTAAGTACCCATAGTGTGTGTGTACTGTGTTTTGCAGTCCTTGTACTTTATCTAATGCATAAAACCTACCGAGAAATTACTGTAATTTAACTACCAGGTGGCTTATTTCCCTGAAGACTACAAACACTTTTACTGTATAAGGTTCTGCTTGGGTACCATATGACTAAGATCTACATACATATACCCTTTGTAGAAAGTGTTTTGTGCCCTGCCTGACTCTGCCATGATCCTGACAATGTGCACAGAATCACTATACCTTTGGGAGCAGCAGTATAATGCAAATCTAAAACAGTAATGAAACCAAATATTTATTGATTTTCAACAGGAAATTATTTTCTTCCCATTTATGTCAAATTAATCAAAATATTATTTTAAATTTGAATCTTTTTGGTGATGAGCATTAAAGGTACAGCGCCAATTTACAATATACTACACTGTATAAATCTCAGTTTTAAAATACACAAATTCAAATTCTATGTACAGGTTGCCCTCGAAGTGCACGAGTGATATATTGCTGGAAAACTTTGTGCGGAGAAAATTGAGCATGCATTAAACCAACTTTGTATTGGAAAATAGGAATATGTTACTGAAAACTTCTAAAGTACGTAAGTACTTTTTATCCACTCAATGCCAGAACATTACATAATGAAGTGCAAATTCTTGGAAGGTGCCACGATGCAAAAACTTGCACAAAACACAAAATAATTGTGACTCCTCACAAGGTCAGATAGTGGAATTTGGTCATTACACTCCATAACAATATTGACCAAACCACACACTAGAAAGTGAAGGGACGACAACGTTTTGATCTGTCCTGGGCAATTCTCAAGTCAATTGTCTCGAGTCAATCGACTTGAGAATGGTCCAGGACGGACCAAAACGTTGTCGTCCCTTCACTAGAAAGTGTGTGGTTTGGTCAGTATATTTCAGCCACGTTACTGTGACTCCTCGTCTGCACTCCATAACAATTTTTTGACTGCATGATTGCATGAATTCCAGGCACTAACATAGTGCCTGGAATTATTACTGGTGAATATACCCCCTCACACCATTTGAATTTTAATGCCAAAACAAAATCACAATGGACTAAATTTGTATTATCCAAACTTGTATAGAGTGAGGGCTAACTATTTATGTATCTATGATGTATGAAATAAAATATTTTGATTAAGAACAAGACATTTCTCAAAATGATCATGTAATAAGAGCAGATCTGAAAGTGAAAGGCATGCATTAGAGTAAATACTGAACTGAACCTACCTTTATCTCTTGTATATTTAAATGCTGTGATAACAATGGTGAAGGAATTGTTTAGTGAGTACCCATTGTTCTGACTCTGGTGAAAATACACTTCCAAGTTACTGGAAACAGTGGAAAATACATTTGCATTGGCACCAATTTCACTGAACCTGAAATAAGTTTAAAAAAACATATTAATGGACAATAACATACTCTATTCATCAATTAAGTTTACATTGCAGTATTTGTATTAAAAAAAACCAGCAGGGTACAGAGTACAGGGTACATATCTTCTCGGACGTAGGTTCGAATCCTCATCATGGCCCTTGTGGATTTGTTTACAGATAAAATATATTTTCCAAACACTATTCTTGACACATCTGTGCATGCCAGAGATGCTCTCATCAGGACCTTACATTTATGTCAACATCTTTAAAACAATTCTCCCTCTTCACCTCCCATGCCCATAGGAGCTGTCAGTAGACAGCGCTCAGAATTTGTAGTCCTGAGGTTCCAGGTTCGATCCCCTGGTGGAGGCGGAAACAAATGGGCAGTTTCTTTCACCCTGATGCCCCCTGTTCACCTAGCGGCAAATAGGTACCTGGGAGTTAAACAGCTGCTATGGGTTGCTTCCTGGGGGTGTATAGCAAAAAAAAAAAAAAAAAGAGGCCTGGTCAAGGACCGGGCCGCGGGGACACTAAGCCCCAAAATCATCTTAGGATCATCTCATTGTTTAGCATACAGCAGGCTTAATCAAGTTAAACAATAAGAGCTTTACATAAGAAAAACAGGAACATTAATGGCACCATTAATAAACTTGGTACAATATAAGCTAAACAGGAAGGCTTATAGAGAGCACCATGCCCACTATAGAATACAGTAAGAATACCACAATGCTGTCTTTTCTTGACAACAAGAATATTATACAAACATTCATTTACCACTGGTTAAGTTAACAAAATACATGAACAAATCCACAAGAGCCGTGACGAGGGTTCGAACCTACGAACACTCATCACGGCCCTTGTGGATTTGTTCATTTGATACATCACGCTATTGTGATTTCTGTGTGTAACAAAATACAGTACATATAACATGAATATCAAAATTAAAGTATCACACAAGAGAGTCCACAAAGACAATTTAGATACTGTATTACAGTGGTTAGGATATGTATTGTATTATACTGTACAGTATTTTAGTACAGTAGTTAGAAACTGCAGCCTATTGCACTGCAGCAGTTATGAAATGGAGTTCATATAAAAGCTATACACACTTGAAAACTTGTGAACAACATTCAAGACAAGCACAAACAAATTAAAAAATATTAAAGAGTACAAAAATCAAAAGCAAATTTCAAGATAAACACAAAATTTAAAATAAAAGACATCGGAATTTTGTGGACAGCAAAATACTGTCCAGTATGTGAAGACTAAAAATCAGACGGCATACAGTACTATGTGTACAATTTATGAAATGCACCTTCCAGGGCAAAATCATTTACTTCCCCCGTACAGTAACATCTGCTGAGTATACACCAAAATTGTGAACAGTCAGAGCAGGATGACATCTGGTCACCATCGGCACTTGGGAAGATTGGCAGATTGACCAGAAAGTCAAGTGTGCCCAGCCGAGTACATTCAATCCCTGAATAACAGACATTGACAGGTGATAATGAGATCAAGAAAAAGAAAGAGCTGATAATGAGGTGAGGTAAAGGAGAGAGAACAAGGAGGCAATGGAAGGACTTGCCACCCTTCTATGGTTGACAGATGTAGTATAAATGTCTATTACCAAGATGAAGATTCAAGATGAAAGGCTACCCAAACATGACAAATGTCATAACAAAACAGAGGGAACCTTGCCCTAAACACATCAGGGAGAATGCAAGACAGAAATAATAGCTGTCAGAATCAAAGGAGAGTATACCACATGGAATTCAGGTAAGCTGCACCACGGTCATTTCAGGCAAATACCACACAGCGGTGATATAATCTCCAACAACAGAAATGAAAAAACAGTTGGTCATAATGCACAAAACATGAGGTCCTCCACGCCTGATCAAAGGTTTCTAAAAGGAGGCCAGATTGCCAAGGCAAGAATGAAGCATCACAAATAGCCGAAGACAGTCACCTGGAGTCAAGAAAATGCTAGGAGCCTCAATGAGACTCCAAGGTGCTCTCACCAAAGGCCCTGAGGGTAAACCAAATGACCCAAAACCAATACACAAAGGTGAAAAAACAGCCATTCATGCTCTGTGCACCACAACAAAAGCTTATAGCCCTGGAACAGGAGCCAGTGAACTGTGAAATAAATAATACTGTATAGGATAAAAAAGAGCAAACTCACTGTTACACAAGCAAACACATAATTTCCCATAGCTAAACTAACTAAACAAACCCAGGCTTATAGAATCATGACACACATACATATGAAAACATTATATATATGCAATTGACGATCACGAAACACTGATCATTTGTATGCAAAAAATTCACAAAGAAATTGGAAAGGAAGATGAACGTTTCGGCTACTTTACAGCTGTTGTCAACACCAGGTGTCCTGGTGTTGACAACGGCTGTAAAGCCGTTGTCAACGGCTTGTCTTACAGTGTGTCTTACAGTGCTATAAGATACACATGATGGTGCCATCTGGTGGAGGGTTGGGTAGGCCACAGGGCAGATAAGCTAGCAGTTAGTAAGGGCCCTCTGTTGACATCACCTGAGATGCCAAGAGGGGAGCTTGAAAAGACTTCAAGTTTATAAATACATCATATTTTTATAGGACTGAGTGAGTGATCTCCTAACACCTTATATGACCCAACTGGAATGGATGAAAATTTCAACTGGTGCCAGTGTCAGAATGTCATCTTGCCTGACTGTTCACAATCCTGGTCTACTGACACGGTGAATTTTACCTTAGGAGTAACCAAAAGAATACTGTGGCTCAAAAGAAAGGTAAATATTAAAAGATGAAAAGCCAGAAGCAAAATCAAATGATCAGACTAGAAAATCAAACCACAAAAACTGAGCTAATCAAAGTAGCCGTGCATCAGAAAGCAAACATAAACGAGTGACTTGACAACTTGTCATACAACTATACTTCAGAGAGCAAGGTTTCAGCAAAAATAGCCCTGGATTAATTCAGCAGTGCTATGCAAGTCCCACACTGAAACAAGACATGTTATTACCTGTTAACAAGATTTTGTCAAGTTCCTGGAAGACATTGGCCTCTTGCCTAATTCACCAACCTGCAAGTACAGTACCATATTTTGTCAATCAACACAACACTCAGAATAACCTTGCACAATTACTATGACAAATACACCACTTTTGTCCACCGAGCAGAGAAACTGTAACACCTTTCCTGCAAATGAAAAATTGCACGACGATTAAACCCCAAAACTTGGTACACAACTGAATATGTTATCAGACCTTGATATTTGCACGAGTTGTATGCTTGGGAATACCCATAAATACCGAAATGGTGAATACTTTTATACTTTATCACGTCAAATCATACCTGTCATAATAGGGATGGACATATGTCAAGAGCAGTGCCATCTTAATTAATTAATGAACATATGAGCACACTGGGCAGTTGCCCAGGGCACCCCTATGCCAATAGTGTCCACGAGAGATCTCTAGGCAGCGTGGATAATCACTTGACCTCCTGCTTGAAAGGTGTAGGATTCAATTTCCTTTTCAAATTATATTTATAATATAATAATTTGTTTATAACTATCCGAGGGTAGTCCTGTATGTTACCGGAAGGGTGGGTGCCATCATCTGGGAAGGGGGCCCCAGTCCATTATTTGTTCAGGGCCTTCAATACTGTTAAGAAAACCCTGGTCAAGAAAGCTTGGTACAGTATATGCTATGCATCCTGGATGGACCATAAAGTCTCTGGCTCAGGTAGCATACATGGGGCCCTGGTTCAGAAATGCCAATGTTCAGTATTTTAAAATTTTAAAATATGAAAAATTTGTTAATAAATTTGAATACAGTGAGACCACAATAGAGCTGGCTGATTAGGACCAAACCTGGATCTGGATCTTACCTGGAGGGGATCTCAAGAGTTCTTCTACTCCCAAATTCAAAACTTGACTTGGGGAGTAGAAGAACTAGTGAAAACTTGGTCCAACAGGCTGTTGCTTGCAGCTTTCCATAGGCCCACATATCCACTACAGCCCAGTTGGTCTGGTACTTCTGGCAAGAATTTATCTACTGTAATTTGTTCTTGAAGAAGTCCACCTTTGTTCCGGCAATATTTCCAATGCTTGCTGGGAGAGTACTGAACAGCTGTGGACCTCTTTTTACCTTTATCAAGTGGAATTCTTACAAGCTGAGAACAATCCAAACTTTTCATGGCACAATCCTAACATTCTTTATCCAACTTTTCAGTTGACCGTTGTTCTGATCCAGATAATCATGGTTTCTGGAGCCAAATTCTTTCCCGTTCATCAGGGGCACTGTTCTATTGACTTCCACTATACCAATGTTTGACTGTATAAACTTTGCTGAAGCTAGACTCGACAGAAAAAACATAGAGAAAAGCAAGACAGTTCAAAGACTTGGGGTTGGCTTCATGATTTTAACTGGTTTTGTGCCAGTTTGCCTGAGACAATCCTTCCCCATAAACAAAACAAAATTGAACTTACAACTGTTTTTTCTTACGAAGTCCACACAATTCTTCTGTTGACTTGCTCTTGAATGTGTCCCAAGGAAATGAATCTAAAAGCTTTGAGATAAATGATGTTCCAGAAGTACTGAGCTGCAATAGAGAAACTTAATTGTTTACAAATTGTTATTGGTTTATAAAGAAAATAATCATTTTAACTAAAACCATAATTGATCATATTTAACAAATGTTCAGCATCTAGTTGATGAGAATTATATGATTTATGCATATAATTAAACTTTACATAATCATTCTATGAAATATTTTATTTCTCACCCCATATACTTGTTTACATCACTATTGTCAACTGACACTTTTTTGAGAGAGATACAGTATATACAAGAGTTGTTACATTCTTGTACAACCACTACTACGCGTAGCGTTTCGGGCAGGTCCCTGGAATACAACCCGCACGAAGAATCATTTTTACAACCAAGCACCCATTTTACTGTCGAGTTAAACAGAGGCTACAGTTAAGGATTTACGCCCAGTAAATCCTCCCCGGCCAGGATACGAACCCATGACAAAGCGCTCGCAGAGCACCAGGTGAGTGTCTTACCACTACACCACGGAGACTGGTATTTCTTAATTAAGATTTCTTAATTTACACTCAATCTATACAGCTCACTTTTCCTTAACCATCTCCATCATTTCATTCCACCACGTGCAGTTGCTCACTGCATCACCTTTCATTTTCTGGTTAACATACACTGTTTTCATTATGGTTTCTTTGTAATAATGACCACATGCTCTCTGTATCCCTCCCATCCTTTCCCAGACAATACAGTACTTCATTCAACTTTTTGCAGTTGTACCTGACTTCCTGGCTTTTCAGCTTTTCTTCTGTTAATCTTATCTTCATACTGTCCTATTTGGTACCAGATAATAATTTGGACAACATGACATAGTGGTGTGAATTTGCATGTACTGTATTCCTCTCACCATCTTTGTGCCCTCTGCCTCCTCTTCCAACAAACTAGAGCTCAATGAAGATGTGCAGCAAAAGTATACAGGTATCCACACAAAACTATAGTATAAGAAAATCATTTGTATTTGTCACATTCTACATTTTTGTAAAATACCTTCCTCTTTTCTTTCCATTCATGTATTCGTTGTCCACTAAAAGGATGAGCTTTCTCCCTTTATATTTCCTAACTCATCCGCTTAATAAATACCAGAACTTTACTCGTGTTGCTTTTTACCAAGCTCATTTTCCCTGTAAACAATAACTTAAGTGCATACTTGGGCATAGTTATTCTTATCTTACATGCCAGCTATACAATGTTGGAACTCTCGCCCCTATATCCTGCCAAATAATTCCAGACTTCCCTTGGCAGCCCAAGTGTTACTAAAACGTTTCTTGTTCTTTTGTATTTTCCTCCATTCTACCCCCACAGTCTAAACTTTTTTTTACATATCTCATTCCTTCTTTATCTAACCCCCCCCCCCCACCTAACCTTCCCCTCCCACTCCCAGGAACTGGAATTTACCTTAACATAATCCCCATCACACACCCAGCCATTGGTTCGTTTGTCAACTGATGCCTGAATCTTCATTTCTTCAATTACAGCAGCAAGACCAAAATCTTCTTTTCTTTCTGCAGTAACCTGAAAATGTACAGAATAAATAATAGATAGATAGGTTTAGTTGTTGGAAAAAGTACAAATATAAGTAAAATTCATTGACACCATTTGATTCTTAACTCTTGGGAGTTAATGTTTGCAACTGACACTTCAACTACTGTACCGAGAGTATTCCCTGGCAACAGGACATACAAAGGTTTGGTGCTGCTACACTTAATCATTTCAAGATACTGTAATGCTCAATGTCTTCCCCACACACCATTATTTTTTGATGAAGTGTTAGTATATTTTACACCAACTAGTTTATTGCACTTAAATATTAGTTATCATCATATGCTGATTCATAGGGGTAATGAGGTTATCGTTATATGATGATTTAAACAATTATTGGCTGGGTTTTATTGTCAGCACTACTCATAGTGGACCAAAAGGGTGATTTTCTTGTCTCAAAAGTTGGTCCAAGAAATTAAGTTTCTCACTTATGCAAACCAGAACTTGCTTACATAACCACAGTATTCAAACTTTTGTAAACAGATTACTGTACCATTCAGAAAGCTAGCATGTAAATGAATGTAATTAAAGTACAGTATTATTATTAATACAGTACCCAGAACCAATTGGTTGATAATCCTAATCAAATAATTATTTAATATTTAAAAAAAAAATTAATAACATGATGATATTATATGCCCATTTAGTTTTCAAAAGACATAGCAACAGTTCATAAGACGTATCTACTAGCCAAAGAAAGGACTGTCCTCTTTCAGGACAATGAGCTTGGCTCACTGTGTGATCTTCCTCAATGCAAATTTCAGAAACATTATTGTATGGCAACATGTGAAACTTAATATACAAACCTTGCATTTATGTATTTTATGGCTTACTGGTAGGCCATCTTTAGTTTTTAAGTGGCCCACTTTTATTATGGCAGCTTTCCAGGGTCCAATGGTTATGGTTTCTTTATCGTTCTCATCTTCACATAGGTTCTGGCCAAGATGATCTGTAAATTTCAAATCTATATTAAAAACCTTCTACATAAAAATGGAACTATGGATGCAAATAATATCTACAGTACAGTATATGTATTTTGATCAAAACTGGCATATCTCAGGATGCAAGCAGTGGCAAAATGAGTACAAGAGATGCAATGGTTGATTAACTATGGTACATCCAATAAAATCAGCTTTGCAGGACTAAAAATACCAATTAAATTAAAATTAAATAAAAAATTATTAAAATTAAATTTTTTATTCAGGAAAAGTATATACATCGATGGTGAGTTATATACTGTTGGATTTATAGATAGAGCTATTACATACAAGCCACTAATACACATATCGTTTCGGGCAACCAATCTTAGGTCATCTCACCAACCCAATGTACCTTTTTGTAAATAAAATGAATACTATTATTACCTTCTACTTCGTGATACTTACAGTTTGCATGAAGGTTTATCCTCCCGATGACTGCAAGAGATTATTATTATTAAGTAGTCCAAAAGATGTGGGAGTCAAATCAACAAGTGGACCAAGTGATGGGGCAGACTACTTACATACATCATATCCGTCAAGTGACGCCACTTGAGACACACACCAGCTCAACACCATCACACTGTACACCACCAACTCCATCTTCTCACAGCTAATATCTACTGGGTTCCTCTCGTAGTGCAACGTATGGGCCAATTTCCTGAGGATTACCTCGACACACACACACCTTTCTTAATGTTAATAATATAAATAAGAGCTAGGAGGTAAATAAGGATCCGGGAGCACTTGGAGCATCATGAAGGTGTTAAGCTGCGCGCTGAGCGCCTTCAGTCCCATCCGGCCCAGAATCCCGCCACTTATACTCTCTTAGACTAATTACTGCAATATTTATCAATTGTCTACAGTTTAACCTTCATATTTTCTCTCAAACGAGGGGTTGGAGCCCCAGTCCTGCATGGAAACGTAGATAAATACACACATTGTAGTGCCACGGATTAGCCCACCAATTAAAATGTCCCCTCTTATTAATTTGGGGCCTAGCTCTCATCGATATATTTAGTTGCATTAAATACTTACCTAAATTTACCTGAGTGCCACAATATATATCTTTATAGTGGCCTCTATGTGGACAGGAAACCGACACCTTCTCAATGGTCCTCTTACTGTTCCTTAAAAAAAATTCCAACTAGATTTTTAACCGAGACATATAACAATGTAACACATATAACCAACGAAACGATGTTGATGGAACATTGAATCGATGTTAATAATGTTGATATAGTGATATATTATTTCCATCAAGCTACAAAATGCACGTTAGAACACACGTCAGTGACGTCATCATCTTTTGCATGAGAACAACTGACTCGTTTACTTGGCGCCTGTCAGTGACGTCATCATCTTCTGGGCCTCGTTTACTTGGCGCCTGTCAGTGACGTCATCAACTTCTGGACCTCGTTTACTTGGCGCCTGTCAGTGACGTCATCATCTGCTGGGCCTCGTTTACTTGGCGCCTGTCAGTGACGTCATCATCTTCTGGACCTCGTTTACTTGGCGCCTGTCAGTGACGACATTGAATCGATGTTAATAATGTTGATATAGTGATATATTATTTCCATCAAGCTACAAAATGCACGTTAGAACACACGTCAGTGACGTCATCATCTTTTGCATGAGAACAACTGACTCGTTTACTTGGCGCCTGTCAGTGACGTCATCATCTTCTGGGCCTCGTTTACTTGGCGCCTGTCAGTGACGTCATCAACTTCTGGACCTCGTTTACTTAGCGCCTGTCAGTGACGTCATCATCTGCTGGGCCTCGTTTACTTGGCGCCTGTCAGTGACGTCATCATCTTCTGGACCTCGTTTACTTGGCGCCTGTCAGTGACGACATTGAATCGATGTTAATAATGTTGATATAGTGATATATTATTTCCATCAAGCTACAAAATGCACGTTAGAACACACGTCAGTGACGTCATCATCTTTTGCATGAGAACAACTGACTCGTTTACTTGGCGCCTGTCAGTGACGTCATCATCTTCTGGGCCTCGTTTACTTGGCGCCTGTCAGTGACGTCATCAACTTCTGGACCTCGTTTACTTGGCGCCTGTCAGTGACGTCATCATCTGCTGGGCCTCGTTTACTTGGCGCCTGTCAGTGACGTCATCATCTTCTGGACCTCGTTTACTTGGCGCCTGTCAGTGACGTCATCATCTTCTGGACCTCGTTTACTTGGCGCCTGTCAGTGACGTCATCATCTTCTGGACCTCGTTTACTTGGCGCCTGTCAGTGACGTCATCAAGTTCTGGGAACCCCCAGAAAGAAGGATTCCCAACGCCTGAAAACATTATATTAGGTTAACAGGTTAAATTTGTCAACTACCGTTCCACGAAAGGGTTACCTCAGTATACTTACCCATAACGGGTACAAATTGGATAAACACGAAGATCGTACACATTTACACAGGAAAACTGGACTTAGAGTATATACATTTAATTAAAGTATCGTGACTGAATTTCAGTCCCTTTTTGCTGGTTTAATTAAAGCATTTCAGGGATAGATTTAATATTTTTTTGAGTATTTGATTATTTAAATATAAGCTAGTACGTGGGAGTTAAATTTTTATGTCGAGTTTTATTTGAAGACTAAAATTCGATTACAGGATAAAATAATACACAAAAATAGAGTGGAGTTGATATAGATTGTGACTAGTGCTGGACTAGTTGTTATAACAATCCCACTTACAAACCAACTGAGTTAGTTTAGTTTAGTTCATATATTATGCACCCCATACCCATGTTGTGGGCGGTAGTGGAAAGGGTTACAGAGGCACATTAACGGGCTCAGGGACTGAACCCCACAATGACCAACTGAGGAAGGTCATATTGAGGTTCACACGGTGTTCCACTGTCACCTGTGTGGCCAAGGGTAGAGGGGAGAGGCAGGGAGGTGAGGGAGTGTCCACAAGTTACTCTCCCATGTGCTGCTAGAGGCCATGGCTACTGGGGCGCCTCCTCCTCCTGCTGTAGGTCTCTCCCAACACCCTGACGAGGCTCACAGTCACTCTGATAACTTCAAGTACAAGTGTAAGTGCTCATTCCCACCTGCCTGATATTAAGGTGTACATTGATGCGCTATGTTACTCGGGATGTGAACAGTGTACAACTCCCCAATAGGAAGAAAACCCGCTGGGTTGTTCATCCCTGTCACTTGTACCCCAGACACAGCTGGGACTTGCTTCAAGAGACCAAGTCCCCGTGGCGTAATGGTAAAACACTCGGCTGGTGATTTAGCCTGGGTTCGTATCTTGGCCGGGGAGGATTGACTGGGCGCCAATCCTTAATAGGATTGAGGACTTGCCCAAAATACTATGCGTGCTGGCGGGTGTACAAGAACGTAACAACTCTTGTATATATAAATAAATAAATAAAACCGGAAAGTTAGCCACCAGCCTCAGGGCCCGGAGACTGACCTCTGGAGTGTCTCGGAGCACACCTGGCTTGCTCCACACCTGGATTACAGGTCACTTCATACACAAGATAATTTGCAAATGGCTTTGAAACCTATTTACCTTAACTCATATAGTCCCTTTGTCATAGGGTTATTGTCAAATTGTACACGAGACGATTCAACAAAGTTCGCCTTCTGAATGTCAAAACTACACGTATCGCTAGGCTGTTATATATTAGGTTAGGCTCGGTTAGGTAAGGTAAAGTTAGATCCGTTTTAAAATCCATTGGCGTGTTGTGTATAGTGCGACTTGTATTCTTATTGTGGATCTCGCATGACTATCTCTGCTGTGTTTTTGAGTATAGAGAAACTTGACAGCAGTAGTGGCAGCAGAGTTGGTACCAAGAAAATTCAGTAGTATCCAAATAGATTCCCGAGTTAACAGTTAGACCATAGTGGCATCACACATCTCACACAGTAAGTATATAATATATATTATATATTAATATAATAATAATAATATTTTACAAGGTACAATGGGTTGGTGAGATTTACATTTAGTGATATTTTTACATTCTTGCAAAGCCACTAACATGCATAGCATTTCAGGCATTTATATATTAAATTATTAAAATTAAAACTTTAGGTTTGGTTTGTTTAAAGAGAAGTGGTGATATATTCACCTCACAAAGAACCCTAGTTTGAGCCCTGGGCAGAGCTTCTGTCTATATTTTGCTAATTTGCCCGAAACGCTATGTATATTAGTGGCTTTAGGTATTGTATGTACTAGCTCTATCTATAAATCCAACATTATGTTTGTAAATCAACTATGTATGTACGTTTCCTGAATAAAAATTTATTTATTATTATTTATTTATTATATTCAACCAAACTCACTCATATACAGTATGTCTAACCTATGCTTGAAAGAATCCAGTGATAACATTTCTATTATGCTACCAATAATGTTCCTAAAATGAACATTAATGTTTCCATATCAGAATATTCTCAGGTCTTTTCTGAACTTAAACTTATCCAGTTTGTGTCTGTGTTTTTTTTTTTTGTTCCATTTTTTGTTAATATAGGTAATACCATATTAATATCCTCTTTTTGTTATTCCCTTTCATCCATTTGTGAGTTCATTTGTGTCACAATGTTGGTGTTATACGTAGGTCTGGGTAAGGATAAGGATAACGGGCAACAAAACAATTAATGTTATGGTTTATCACTGCTCATTGTCATGGACAGGACGCTTGTTAGGCTTATTGAAGTATCCCTAAGCTAACAACTGACCTTTCCCAGAATGCAACCCACAACAGTTTCCTTAATCCCAAGCAGACTTTTTTTTCTCTCAAAAATATATAAATATCAAAATCAAAGTGACAAAATTCCTTGAGAAACAAGAGGTAACACTTGAGCCACCATAGAGGAAAAGATCAGATTGTTAAAATGTTTTTAGTACCAGTAGTACTGCAGTCACTCTTAAAACCACATACTGTATGATATATAAATTATATATATATATAAATATATATACTGTATACAAATTGATATACAGGCTAATTGTATACATATAAATATGTATATACAAATTGATACTGTATATCAATTTATATATGATTAAAAAACTGTCCAACCTATGCCCTGTTCAAAAGTAAAACCAACAAGTACCTAATTTCATCCTCATATTTTCCTACCTTGTGCTTCAAACTCACATTGTAATCTGTACTACCCACTTCCCCAATATTAGTGCTTAAGACATATGTCTTTACCAGTGTAATCACCTCTGTCAACTTACACTGTATGTACTGTATTTGTTGATATAAAACCTTGCTACAATGTACCTTTTCATCTTGCCTGATATGTTGATACCTGGTTGATGGGGTTCTGGGAGTTCTACTCCCCAAGCCCGGCCCGAGCCCAAGCTTGACCTCGGCTTGACCAAGTACCTGTTAGATTAAGGACCTGCCCGAAACACTGCGTATTAGTGGCTTTGCAAGAATGTACAAATAATCTTGTGTAATTTCACGAATCCATTGTTCCTTCTTGTGAATAAGTTATTATCATAATTGTATCGCAGAACTTATAGTAGTGCAACCACAAAGTCTCGATTGTCGAGCCCATTCTGAACTTTCAACAGTAATTTATATAAAGGAAATGGTAAAACATTTTGTCATGTTTACATTCAGATTACATAAAAATATATAATAATGCATTATAAATTAATATTTTTACTTTTTATAATGCATATTTAATTTGATAACTTTTTATAATGCATATTTTATGTGCATTATAAATAAAATTATATAAAAAGATCAGAAATTTTTAGAATTTATAACAATGCATTTAGCTAAGCTTAATAATAATTACATTATTGTATTACTGCATCCTAGAATTTTGCAAATAAAGTCAGTAATTAACAGTTTTGTGGGTACAGTATATGCATAAAATAAATCTAATATTATTTAAATAAGTTGAATTGAGTTGAATACTGAAGTGCAGTAGTCATACAGGCTTGGCACCCAGGATAATTACATACTGTACTAATATTTACATTAACAGCTGCAGCATTCCTGATTGGAGTTGCTGGCATGTCAATGTTGGGAGGATTTGGTATGACCCTGGGAATGGCTAAGAAGAAGGACCCGGATATGTTTAACAAGGGCATTATGGGAACACGTGAAATGCGTGAAGCTGGTGGAGCTCTGGCAATGAGAGCACTTGGACGGGCCACACTGTATGCTGTTGGTGGGGTTTCTGTGCTCTGTTTTGGCATTTGGAAACTTATGGGAGTTAAAGATGTGAGTATACTCAGCACCTTTTAAATTTATTAAGTACTATACCTCTTTGTTTGGTAAATAATGGATGATTAAATTGTTTTTATATCATACTGTATTGATAAAATTCTGACAATACTACTTTAATTAAAGAGATAAACATTTTGTCGGATTTCATTAGAAGTAATTGTAGAGCATAGTATAAGAAATAGGGAAAAAATTTGATAAAATATATGCATTTGCATAATACTCGCACGTTTCAGCTTCAAGAGTTCCGAATAAAGGCTGGAAATATTTTACCTAAAATACCCAAGAATAATCCACCCCAAAGCAGGACAGAGTTTGAAGGGCTTAATGACCTACTTCAGTACATCATAGATGAAGACGAGAAAAAAAAGCACACAGTGACGTTGAAAGACTCTGATTTGCTTTCAGATAAAGACTAATTGTACAGCACCTTAACATTGTGGTTGTCCACTGTTGTAGAAATGGCATCTTGTTTATTGTGTATTTATATTGATTGAAATTAAAATTTGTGTGAATTATAAGATTGTATGCATTATGTTTAATTTTAATCTACTTGAGGGATACTCAGTTTAAGGTTTTGACTGTATTTTGTTGTAAGAACCTCAAACATTATTGCTAGGCCTATAGTTTACAGGGTTAATTTCATAGTAATGTATTTGTAGAAATAGGCGAATAGTATTTTTACTTTTGTTGATGCAAGTTGTGCCACATGTTAAAATACAGCTGATTCACAAACAGACAATAAAGCAGATGTCACTTTTTGTTCTACAATTGGAGTTTCTTGCAAATGCTTGATGGATTTCAAATATTTGGATAATTCTGTGAAGAAAAACTGCCAAGACTATCCAATACCCCTCTTTTTCAAATGCTGGATTATTGGGGATGATAAACTAAGCCTTATTTGTCTTCATGATGTAATGTGCCACTTGAAAACAGTTCCTACTCGGCCAGATGGTAGTGCCTACATTGAACCCGCCAAACACACGACGAAACTATAACGTTCGAACAACTTGTTACAAGTATCTAGCAAGTTTTAACAACTTTCTAACATGTCATAAAAACTTCATAACAAGATGTAACAGCTTTGTAACAAATTGTAATATGGTAACAATTTGGACCGTTACGTTGTGTGTTTGCAGGTAGTTGTGAGCATCAACAGCCTGACTGATTGTATGCTGGTGAAAGACTGCTATTGGGGGCCAATGACCCATATGACCATCTCAAGGTAGACTGGGCACCATGCACTGGACTAAAAACTTTGTTTCTCCTGCTCTGATATAATAAATTAAGTGTGTAGGTTCTTTCATTTATGTACTGTATGGTAGTTATGATTATTTTTTAATGATCTCTACATAACTAATTTTCATAGTGTAAAGGCTACAGTGACAATAATGTTTATAGTGAAATCATTTTGAATATCTGTGGACACTAATACATTTAGAGTAGACTTAGTAGTGTGTTTTTTTACATAATTGTCTAACTCGTGTTCTCCAGCATATTTTACCACAATTATTCAATTTGTACACAATTTATCATAATATAACTTATGGTGTCTTGAGCATTGTGACATGCCATTTAAACCTGTTCCATTCAGTTATGCATGCTGGGATCTATTTAAAAGGTTAAAGCGTTGTTTTATATATATATTTTCATTGTTTTAAGATATTAAAATGTACAGCATAAGAATTCTTTGGAGTGCTTCAAGATAAATGTTTACATACTTGTAAATATATATTTGTACATAATTATTTGTATATAAATAAAATCCAATTTATGTGTTTTGGTTGTATTTATGTAAAATATTCCAAATTTATTGTAACCTAATTTATATTAGCACAAATATTTATTTATTGGTACTTTGTTGGTTGTTGCTTGGATCTTGCTTGAGACTGAAGAGACACTCACTGTAGATTGCTTCACAGGACTATTGAATAAGGTAAATAAGATAGTTCTGAAGCCACAAGGTCCTACCCTGACTTAGGTCAGCGAGAAACTGGTTGTCCTTCACGTGAGAGCAGCCACTGCCGGCTCTGGCAATGATGTCATAGGCCTAGCTGCCCCAGATTGGCTGTACTCCAAAAGTCGGAAAAATTGAAAGCTAACACATTGGGTTTGTGAGTGTACAAACTGACTGGTTGCTACCTCAACTGTGCCTTACTGCCTTTGACAAGTTATGACTGACTGACTTGACTAAATGCCTGACTGGGATTTGTGACTGACTACCATGGCTGCCTTTGACTGTTTGCAACTGTCACTGGCTCTGACTGGATGCTGCATAACAGAGGCATTGAATTCTGTGAAGGGAAAATGTAACCGCTGACCTAGCGAAGCCAGGCTCATAACCAGCATAATACTGGCTGTGTACCAGACACTATACTCAATACTGTATTCTGAATTTAGCAGCCAATGGCTCTGTAAATAAGGCGCCAGTTAACTATCTAAAATTCGGCCGTTAGAACTGTAAATTAGAGGCCCTTAATTTTAGTAATATATATATATATAAAATGAAAAATTAAAATAAAACTATGTTGACTTCTTCATGGTGTGGGAAGTGCAGGATAAAACAAAAATGAAAAATTTGAATACGTACGTTAATATGAAAAAATTAACTAACAAATCGTAAACAAAAATAGTTCCTTAAAAATTTGACTTACAGGGTGCAAAACAAAACAATTGGACAATTTAAGGTTACATTAGAGAACATGAAATAAAATGGTGCTGAAAATACTGTATGTCAGGCTGCGTAGATCTGCCACCACGAAAGGTAGTGTGAGGGTAGGTCCAGCATGTAGAGCATGAGAGAGTATTCTGCTGGTGGGGGTTGGCTGGCTTCTAATTTTTTTTTATATGGGACTTGACCAATGTAGGTGGTGCTGGTGTGGTAGAGATAAACTAGCAGAGTGCTTGTTCCCAGCCAGTGGCGTGAAATTGTGGGCACCAGGTGTGCTGGGGGTCACGGGTACTGGAGAGTAGGGTAAGTAGACTGCTGTCTAGATGTCTGAGCACTAGTAGTTGTTCTTGCTGTAAATTCTTGAATACGCAGACGTGGTGTGATAGAATAGGTGATGATGGAACAGGCCTAATCTCCTTCCAAGGGAGATTACCGTGACAGTACTATATATATAAATTATAACATTCAAAGTCAAATGCCCACTGAGGTTAGATTAACACTTTATGTGCCCTCTAATTCTCATGTCCTACTGCTCACAAGAGTTTAGGTTGCACAATGATGTAAGCTACAGCTGGCAGCAAAATTGTCCCCCATTCTCTCACTGCACTCCACTGTGACCCATTGTGCTTTTTGATAATGTGCTTACTCACCTATGACCTCGGATAAACTTTGCACTACCATCACAGAACCTTGCTCACCAAGCACAACTGTAACAAATTAATTGTAAGTGACTTACCACCCGATAGTTGAATGCAACTCATTATGACAAATTTGTAATGTGCTGGAGTTTAGCTGAATTTAGGCACAGATATCATAAATTTATCAATGAGGAAAATGAGTTTGTAAATCTAATCACCTGGTGGCCTATAAATGCCCAAGAGTTCACATAAGTATGTGGTCTCAGAGAAGGAGAGTATGATAGAAAGATATTAAAGACATTAAAGTTACATTTTAACCCATCACAGTTACATTTAACTGTGGTGGGTTCAAACCCTGAATGTATGACTGTGCCAAGAAGCTTTTTGCTGTGTGTGAATTTGTATTTCTGCATGATCATTGGCAAAAATCTTTACAAAACTGTAGATGGACCTCCACATTCCCAGCACTGGCATGTCTGATGATTGTTCAGAGCCAGGAGGCCCCCTGTAAATGGTGGTATTGCTATCTTATGGCATAATATACGATATAAACTTGATACGTACCGGCAAAACCATATTGGAGAAATAACTGCTATATTTGTCTCAAATGGTGCTTCCCAGGTATATTAATTGTGTATACACTCGTTACTTTGATGCAATGTTGTAACAACGGTGTAATTACCTAAGTGTAGTTACAGGATGAGAGCTACGCTCGTGGTGTCCCGTCTTCCCAGCACTCTTTGTCATATAACGCTTTGAAACCACTGACGGTCTTGGCCTCCACCACCCTCTCACCTAACTTGTTCCAACCGTCTACCACTCTATTTGCGAAGGTGAATTTTCTTATATTTCTTCGGCATCTGTGTTTAGCTAGTTTAAATCTATGACCTCTTGTTCTTGAAGTTCCAGGTCTCAGGAAGTCTTCCCTGTCGATTTTGTCAATTCCTGTTACTATTTTGTATGTAGTGATCATATCACCTCTTTTTCTTCTGTCTTCTAGTTTTGGCATATTTAATGCTTCTAACCTCTCCTCGTAGCTCTTGCCCTTCAGTTCTGGGAGCCACTTAGTAGCATGTCTTTGCACCTTTTCCAGTTTGTTGATGTGCTTCTTAAGATATGGGCACCACACAACAGCTGCATATTCTAGCTTTGGCCTAACAAAAGTCATGAACAATTTCTTTAGTATATCGCCATCCATGTATTTAAATGCAATTCTGAAGTTAGAAAGCATAGCATAGGCTCCTTGCACAATATTCTTTATGTGGTCCTCAGGTGATAGTTTTCTATCTAGAACCACTCCTAGATCTCTTTCTTTATCAGAATTCTTTAAAGATTTCTCACATAATATATAGGTTGTGTGGGGTCTATGTTCTCCTATTCCACATTCCATAACATGACATTTATTAACATTAAATTCCATTTGCCAAGTGGTGCTCCATATACTTATTTTGTCCAGGTCTTTTTGAAGGGCATGACAGTCATCTAAATTTCTTATCCTTCCTATTATCTTAGCATCATCAGCAAACATGTTCATATAATTCTGTATACCAACTGGTAGATCATTTATGTACACAATAAACATCACTGGTGCAAGAACTGAACCCTGTGGTACTCCACTTGTGACATTTCTCCATTCTGATACATTGCCTCTGATTACTGCCCTCATTTTTCTATCAGTCAGAAAATTTTTCATCCATGATAGAAGCTTACCTGTCACCCCTCCAATATTTTCCAGTTTCCAGAACAACCTCTTATGTGGAACTCTGTCGAAAGCCTTTTTTAGGTCCAGATAGATGCAGTCAACCCAACCATCTCTTTCCTGTAATATCTCTGTGGCTCGATCATAGAAACTGAGTAAATTCGATACACAGGATCTTCCAGATCGAAAACCATACTGTCTGTCTGATATTATATCATTTCTCTCTAGGTGTTCTACCCATTTAGTTTTGATTAGTTTTTCCAATACTTTCACTATTACACTTGTCAATGATACAGGTCTATAATTGAGGGGGTCTTCCCTGCTGCCACTTTTGTAGATTGGAACTATGTTAGCCTGTTTCCACCCGTCTGCTACGATTCCTGTACACAGGGATGCCTGAAAGATCAGGTGAAGTGGAATGCTGAGCTCAGATGCACATTCTCTCAGAATGTGAATGTGTGGTTACGTTTGTGTGTAAAAAAGCTGTGGAGAACTCTATGGACAATTAAACCCTCATTTTACTTTATAGGAGGCATTGGTTGTTGCAATTTGAGCCATTTCATGGGAGCCATTGGTTGATATAAAAGGAGCCTATATTCCTCTGTGTGGGGCATGGAAAGTCGACCCCGCCCATCCTATGACACTCGAGATACAATCGCAAATCACCATGTAAAAGTCCACAAGGCTAGCCCCAAGGGTGTGACCTCCTGCCTTGGACAAACATATTCTTTTATAGATATAGATTAAAGTTTGAATGTGGCCATGCTATAGTTGACAACGAGACGTGTGCTTTGTCGTAAATGTTGAACACTAAACACCAATAACTAATGGTTGCAAAAGCTGTAAACACAACTGGAAAGGAGGAATTATGATAGACACTTTAACATTTACTCTGATTACCTTAAACATTGGACGCCAAAATTGTATGTCTATCTATCATATGTCTTTCAGGTGTTCTCTACCTGATAAAAAAATTTGCCATCTGTAACAAACGCCTCTTTGTTCCCATTTAAAAAATGCCCGATCATTTGTCTTTTGATAACTATTGAGCAATTGTTACACATACATACACTTAAGAGAGTAACTGAATGTAAACTAATCGACTTTCCAGCTTAACGAACTGATATAAGCTGCTTAACCAGTACCAACTGGTATAAACATGATCTAGCTCTGTGTGTACAAAGTGTTTTGGATTGAGACCAGCCCGTGAAGTTTGCTGATGATCTTAAACTCACATTCGTGTTCATATCTTATAATATTATTTAGTATACTATATGTTCCGTGTAAGTCATAACGGATAAGGAAATTGAATATATGTCGCCACCCAAATTGAAAACCTATGTTATAAGCTGCCCGAAAAAAATGATGAACTATGTTATGCTATATTATAAACTGCTATGTGTGTTAGTGGCTTTGAAAGAATGTAAAAAACATCAATGCTATGTACTTCATAAATCCATTGTACCTTCTTGTATATAAATAAAAACTATTCTTCCTGCCCTACAGTATCATCAGTTTATCAAGCCAAGGTTAGTTGAGTTCATTTATTATGCACCCCATTCCCATCCCGTGGGCGGCAGTGGAAAGAGTTACAGAGGCACACACATACAACCCGTCCTCACACTAGGCTGTTTAAAGCTTGGATGTCTGGTTGTTGGTTGTTATATTGCACAAATTATATATATTTTTATTCATTTTTTTTGGCAAAATACTAAGCTTACAGGTACGTATCACACTCCAGCCGCAGTAGGGAGTGAACACATGAGCTACGAGGAAAGGCAAACGGAGCTGAACCTCACGTCCCTGGAAAACAGAAGAGTAAGGGAAGACATGATCACTACCTACAAAATTCTCAGTGGCATTGACAGGGTGACCAAAGACAAACTCCTTAGCATGGGTGGAACACGAACAAGGGGACACTGAGTACCCAAATGATTCACAGACATATTAGAAATAATTTTTTTCAGCGTCAGAGTAAACAAAAGGAATGCATTAGGCAGTGATGTGGTGGAGACTGACTCTATACACAGTTTGAAATGTAGATATAAGAGCCCAATAGGCTCAAGAATCTGTACAGAAGTTGATTGACAGTTAAGAGGCGGGACCAAAGAGCCAAAGATCAACCCCCGTAAGCACAACTTAGTGAGTACATAGGATAACCTTGATGTCTGATCAATATATTCAAATGAACTTCTAGCTGTCTCTTGATCCAGGTCAATTCATGGTAAGAGAGTCGTCATATGGGGTGTGGAGTGTGGCTGTCACTACAGCGACCACTTCACAAGTTTGTAAGTATCATGACTTTAAAAGGGAAGAAATTGGCGACTCTTAGTTATAAGAGTCGCCAAAATTATAACTTATATTACCTTTATAAAACAGTGTTGGCGTTAGTTGCCAGACATCGCTTTCCTCGCGTCGATATTCTAGTATCGATCAACAATTTTAGTGAATTTGTATTAAAATTATCCATATAAATTTGAGCTTGCAGATGTATACACACACATACATACATTATATATGCATATAGGGCATTGTAATACATGGATAAGAGGGTGTAAAGCGGTATGAGAGGAGTATACATGGACTCCGAGGAAGCATGTATACCTGTTGAGACCAGACCCAACCTACCAGTTGCACTCTACAGGCGGCCAAGTCAAGTCACAGCTCATGGAACCTCTATTGCTACTCATCCTCTCGTGTAACTCAACAAAATTGAAGTACCTTTTGCCGTTGACGATGAGAAAGTAAAGAACCAAGTGAAAGAATCATATAATTCCAACACAAAAGCAACTTCTCGATATGAAGATTACCATCTTGGTATTAACGTGTGTCTTGGCTGCTATTGTCTTGGAACCTGTCTTGGGCACTCGGGAAGTAAGTGAATATTTGTTAAAGTGTCTTTATAACATCGGTGAAGTTATACTTTAAGTGTAATTTAAGTTGGATTGATCTATTTCAGAGGTGCATACACTAGGAAAAGAAGTATGCCTCGCTGGTGGGGTCATTAACCGAACTCAATTTTTTTTTAAGCTAAGGAATTTACATTTGTTGTGAATGAGATTTACAATTTTCATGCGTCTTAAATGTAATCAAGTTACAAGAATTGTCGTCTAATTGCAATACTGTACGGTACTTTAATAGATTATATATATATATATATATATATATATATATATATATATATATATATATATATATATATATATATATATATATATTATATATATATGTATATATATATATATATATATATATAATATATATATATTATGCATGCTTCGCAAGCACTATTTACAAAAGCTAAGTTTTGGATATTTGTCTTAGAGTTTTGGTAATATATGTTATCACGTATTAAAATACAGGATTTTTTTTTTAGTTTAAAGTCAACGTATTCCAATCTCTCAAAGAATAAAGTTGTATGTTTAGAACCGAGAACTATATATATGTACGAACAGCACAAAACACCCATTAGACTGTGTGAATTGCCATCATTAGGCTGGAATATCAATACTTACGGCAGCTACCTGCAGGTAATGAATGATTCCCCCTCTCTCTCCATGGAGAGCATTCCAGTTGTAAATTATGTAAAGAAGAGCTGCGGGGACACACTGCAAAACTATATTTGTGAGTGCTGTGTTGTCAATGACTTCAGTCTGAACGGTATGAGGTACTTTGTAGCTCTGTATAACTAATAAAAGTCGTAATGCCTTGGTGCTTTCGCCTCGTAGTTCCTTTCCTTTTCTTTACTTCATATACTCACAAATATTGGAAGATATTCTCGTGCTTTACCAAGAGTTTCCTAGTGCTCGCAAATCCAGAGATAACAGTTTGTAATATCTTTTACTGGATTCAGAGGTTATTTTTTCTATATTTTGTTAACTATTAATAAATAATTTTTTTAGCTATAAATAAATCAACAACAACATATTCTTACTTTATGAAAGGAATGTCCGTAACCACAAGAGGCTCCAACATAATTGTGGGTTTGTTAATTTGTTCATCATGGAACTGGCACCCATCCAATGGGCGGCGGTGGAAAGGTTATATAAACCTGTCTGCTCTGCCTACACTTTGCAAACTTGAAATAACTGGCTAAAATTTCAGGTTGCAGGTCATTTTGAATGAAATATTTGCACATTTCTTTATCATTTGTGATCTATAAATTAATTTATAGATCACAGTTATCTATAAATTAATTTTTTCGCAGGTTACTTTATAAGGTTCACAAGACGTTGGAAAGGATCCTGAAAGACATAATTGATTGAAATGTGATCCTTGGTGATACTTAACACCACTTATAGGGACTGCCAGCCTCATTGCTCTCAATTTACAGCCCCGTGATCCTGTTTACATAGTACTTTCAGTAACGACGAGGACCATCGTATATATATTGACGTAAAAGGCAATTAGAAAGTAGAAATCGGTACTATTGAATTTGGACAAATCGGAAAAGTTTGTGTACTGATGCTGCAAAAAAAAAAACTTAACGTAACCTAACCTAACTTTCCTAGGCCTAATTCACGCTATCTGTGGCCTATTTTGTATATGTATGTGCTATACTAGGCCTAGGAATATTTAAGTTTAGATTTTGGCTTGATTTTTTCGGACTATAATGTGAATAGTACCCAATTTTACTATCTAAGTGTCCATTACGTCTATGTATGTACGATGATTCATAGCAACAAAAAGTACTATCTAAATAGGAGGATGAGGAATAGGACGATATAGGACGGAATAGGACGATCTGTCAGGTTAAGGCCAATAGTGATTGGGTGACAAGGCGGATAGCCTCGCGCTTGGCCAGATCCTCCTACCTAAATAGGAGGATGCAGTATATGCTAGATGACAACATTTTAAAGGCGCCTGCCAATGCACCAATAAGAAGCCCCCATTCAAGATCACATCATTTCTACACACAGCCAGAGAAATCCTGACCAACGATACACAAATAATTGCGAAATGCAGTGACAGTGGGAGATTGTACATAGCAGAAGTATTTCACCAACTAACATTCTTTCAATAAAGGGGGATGTGGCTGTGGGTAAACCCTCAAACCTCATCACAACTGCAGACGGAATTAAGTTGCAGTTTAACCCATCTTTCCGAAGCAAGTGCATGAAGCTGTCTTGCACTTTATCTACTGCGTGTTGAAGGCACACGCTCTGTCACTCCCTTGCATAATGAAGTTACCCCAGTTGAAATTAACTATTAAATAATTTAATTTCCAATTGCATCTCTATATAGTTGAAGTTTTTTAGATTTAATATGTTTCCCTTTCAGGATGGAGAGTCTGGAGGGGCAGTGTCATCAACGGTTCCACTGGTCGAGGTCGACCTCCTTAAATCCTTAAATAATGACAAAGTAGGGAATTCTAGCTCTGCTCGCCTGCCAAAGACCTTGTTCCCTGTTCACTACACCATCAGACTACAGCCCTTCATCAATGGAAATTTCAGCATCCATGGCAGCATTGACATTCGACTCAAGGTCCAAAATGCTACAGATAAAGTGGTGCTCAATATGGCCGACATTGTTACCAGGAATGAATCCGTCACGGTAATTATGTTGTTGTTATTTCAGTGTGGAACGTTGGTGTAAGTTTCCTAATCTGCACTCCTCAAGTGCTTAGTCTGATTCTTTAAGTTAATGTCGTAACTTGTCACTCGATCTGTCTGTTTCTGTCACAGTTTCTGTCACAGTTTCAAAAATTGTGGGCATTCTTTCTAAGATCAGATATGTACCACGCCCTGCCCTGGTGACTCTCTATTACTCCCTTATCTATCCATATCTCAACTATGGTATTTGTGCTTGGGGCTCTACTACCCAAAATCACTTACGTCCTCTAATTACTCAACACAAAGCTGCTATTAGGACAATATCCAACTCTGGCCCCAGACATCACTCGGTACCCCTACTCAAATCTCTGAATATGTTAGACATTAAGTCACTGCACATTCTCTCGTGTGTATTATACATATATAAAACGCTAAACTATAATGCCAATCCTGATCTCAAAAGCTTCATAGAAGGTTGTAACAGAACCCATGAGCACCACACCAGAAATAAATACAGTTTTGATATTCCTAGAGTACGACTTAATCAAACTAGAAATGCTCTACAAATCAAGGGGCCCAGAATGTGGAATGACCTTCCCAACCATGTTAAAGACTGTACCTCTCTCAACCAGTTTAAGTTAAAAACGAAGCTATACCTAATAAATTCCCTGTAACCTACCTTACCCTTCTATTGTCAACCCATGTATGTTTTTTTTTTTTTTTTTTTTTTTTTTTTTTTAAAGAGCGCTGTTTGTCGACATTATTGTATTTGTGCTGCTTTTTCATCTATGTTTTCATTTCTTGTTTTCATTCTACTCATTATTCTCAATTAGTATTAAGCTTGTCATTTAAGTTTATCATGCCCGAAACGCTTTGCGTAATAGTGGCTTTAGGCATTGTATGTACTAGCTCTACCTATAAGTCAACCAATCTTTGTAAAAATTTATTGTATGTATGTACCTTACCTAAATAAACATTTTATTTTATTTTTTTTATTTTTATCTGTCAGGTTAAGGCCAGTAGTGATTGGGTGACAAGGCGGATGGCCTCGCTTTTGGCCAGCGAAACCTTGATAAGCTTAAACATAGGTTTCCTGTCCCTCACCATAGTATACCATACAATATCTCAGATTGTTTGTTAGCCTTCATTCTTCAAACATTAAGTTACATTCTTCGAATGTTTAGTTACTCTCCTCATGCTTCTGTACGTTTGAAGTACACAACAAAACTCTACGACTTACATTCCTCAAGTAATTGTTTACAAGTCACTACTATTTGATTTTTAAAGTTCTCATACTATAAACTGACATTAAATGCTTTAGTGATAGTCAACTCTGTACATTAATTTTTCTTAATATATATATATATATATATATATATATATATATATATATATATATATATATATATATATATATATATATATATATATATATATATATATATATATATATATATATATATATATATATATATATATATATATATATATATATATATATATATATATATATATATATATATATATATATATCCATGCAAGTATTTCAGTGTAAAGAGTGTTGAGAGTAAGGAGTTTTTATTATTATTATTTTTCTACCACAGATGTGGCCAGACATTTACAATGCTAACCAGCATATATACATTTTCTTATCCTCCATGCAGGTTGTTGGTGATGCCGCTCGTGACGAAGGGGTGAAGGTGGTGAGGCAGACCTTCGACCCGTTACTCCAGCTGTACACGGCCCACTTAGAGCGGGAGTTGGTGCCCTCGAGTACTTACACCTTCCACATGGAGTTTGAAGGTCACCTTAATGACAAGCTGGTTGGATTCTATCGCTCGGTCTACACTGATGCTCAGGGCACTAACAGGTATGTGTGGGTGTGTGAAGGTGCAGGTATGTACCCATTTGTGCCTTCTGGACCGAGACAGCACCGCTTCTGTGCCAGGTAAGTCCACTACGGGCTCGTCATAGCCCGTGCTACTTGCCCCGTTCCTGTGCCGGATGAGTTACGAGCTCACCATAGCCCGTGCTACTTGGAACTTGTTCCGAGTAGCTGAATCTATAACAACGATCCTGGACCGAGCTGTTAGCTCTTGGACTCCGCCTTTCTAATCGTCGGTTGTCTAATGTATACAGACTCTCGATCTATTTTTTTATTATCATATTTACTGAACACATCCCCAGGATGCAGCCCGTATTATCTGTCTAATTCCTATTTAATACTAGGTGATCAGGGCATACGACACCACCAATCCAACCATGTCAATATCTTTCACTCTTCCACAATATATTAGTTTTCAAAATTTGTCCAACTTTCTGTTTACCAACATTTTCAGGCTTTTAGCTGCGTCACAGTTCTCGCCGACGGACGCGCGGAGAGCCTTCCCCAGCTTTGACGAGCCTAGCTTCAAGGCCACCTTCGATATCCACCTGGCCAGGCAGCGCAACATGACCGCTCTCTCCAATATGCCGCTCATAGTCTCCCAGCCCATGTAAGCATTGATTCAGCCCGTGTAAGCATTGATTCAGCCCGTGTAAGCATTGATTCAGCCCGTGTAAGCATTGATTCAGCCCGTGTAAGCATTGATTCAGTCCATGTAAGCATTCAGTCCATGTAAACATTGATTCAGTCCATGTAAGCATTGATTCAGCCCATGTAAGCATTCATTACAGTTTCGGGGGCCATTTAGGAACTTGGGTAATGAAATTTAAATAATTTGCGAGTACTTTTTAGTTTGTGATATAACTCTTAAGAATGTGAATTAATTAAAAATGATTTATTTAGGATATATTAATTTATGGCCTTGAGACAAAGTTGACGTGTTCTACTAGTCTGCTTCAGATGAGTGTCTCTAGTAAGTTTCAAAAGATGATTGTTGGTGATACGGGTCTCTAGTTTAACGGTTTGTCTTTCCCCTTTCTTGTAGATTGGTATGCCATTAACCATTTTCCAGCAGGTAGGAATTTCTCCCCTTTTCTAGAGTGGAATTAAATATGGCAAGTGGGCTGCACAATGCTTCAGCTGCCTCTTTTAGTATCCATGGGGATATTTTGTCTGGTCTCACGGCTTTGGTCATATCCAGTTCTTTACTTCTTCTGGTGTCCCTGTTATTTCAGTGAGCCTTTCATGTGGAATTTCCTCAGCCTGTACATTTTTACCAAATATCTTTCGGTCTCTCGATGGCGTAGCTCTCTTAGGAGGTCTTCAACTGATTCCCTATCTAATTGCGGTCCGCCATGGTTTCTGCTGTTATTTCAGGCAGTCCCTGAATGATTATCGTTCTCTTCTGTCTGCCTGTGTGTGTGTGTCCAAGTTCAAGTACGTTTATTGAGACGGTAAAATACATCTCAAAAGGATAGAGTAGCTTAGGCTATTTCTACCCCCTGTGTCTGTCTCCCCCTGTGTCTGTCTCAAGCTGGAGGCCAGACGCTTGGGGCTAGCCTCACCCAAATTTGCAGGGGGATTGGTCTGGGGTACGCGATGGACATAGGCTGGTTCGAGGTAGGCCTAAGCTAAATGCTTTTAGAAATATTAGCAATTATAAACACTCGTAGACGTCATGTGTGAAATATGGCGTGTCATTAACCTAGATTTTTACAGAATAGAGACAGGACAGGATAAAGCAGCATGCCAAGAATAATGACCCACTGTTGTTTGTTTCATTTCACTCATGGTACCCAGCCACTTGGGCTGGACGGTAAAGCGACGGTCTCGCTTCATGCAGGTCACCGTTCAATCCCCGACCGTCCAAGTGGTTGGGCACCATTCCTTTCCCGCCATCCTATCCCAAATCCTTATCCTGACCCCTTCCATGTGCTATATAGTCGCAATAGCTTGGCGCTGTCTCCTGATAGTTCCATTGCATTGCCTTATGTTGCAGCGAGGGTGAGGAGGGCTGGGTGTGGGACACCTTCAACACCACGCTGCCGATGTCGACGTATCTGGTCGGCTTCCTCATCAGTGACTTCTCATACCTCGCCTCATCAACGCTCAACCACACCCTCTTTAAAGGTGGGTCACGCTCAACTCTCCTCATATGATGTCTCGCGTGAGGTTATAAATACACAAGCAAGACCTAGGAATAAGGTTAATTCATATATGAATAAAGTCAATTCATATAAAGTCAATTCATATATAAATCGCTCGAGATGTTTACTTCGGTGTTTTTCATCAAGCTTTGCTCTCGATAATTCAATATACGAACCATATATTAAAGCTCAAATGGCTCATTCATGTACAATTGTACTTAGTATGTAAGAAATAAGATTCATTAGCATCAAAATAAACATAATTCTGTATATGATAAAACGTTCCTGATCAATAACTGAGCAATTGTTATTCTAGTATGGACTCGGAAGGATGCCCTAGATCAGGCTACATATGTCCGCGACACGGCTCCTGCAATCCTCACCTATCTGGAGGATTACTTCAGTATTCCCTTCCCTCTTCCCAAGCTCGACATGTCTAGTGTACCAGACTTCAAATTTAGCGGCATGGAGAACTGGGGACTCATTTTGTACAGGTAAATCTTGTTGAAAATTATGATGAATGAATATGCAAGTATTTACCTACTTAAAATTTTTTTAGATTAAGGACCTGCCCGAAACGCTGTGCGCACTAGTGGCTTTACAAGAATGTAATTACTATGCTATGTATCATCACAATCCCAATGTACCTTCTTGTATATATATAAATAAATAAAAATAAATATTTTAGCCTGTGAAGTTTGTTTTGCATGGGTTGTATATACATTGAGTTTACTATTTATTTATTTATTTATATACAAGAAGGTACATTGGGTTTGTGAGGATACATAGCATGGTATTTACATTCTTGTAAAGCCACTAGCACGCATAGCGTTTTGGGCAGGTCCTTAATCTAACAGATAATTTTAAGTAGGTAAATACCTACCAGAGGACCCAAAACGGAAAACTTGACATTATGTCAATTTCGCGAGCCGCTACCATTTTATTTTCGCCACGATCTTATCGTAAATGTGATTCTTAATACCTATTTTTATTTCAGTGCCCACACGGCCCTCATGAATATAATTCGTTCTTTGTTACTTTCTTCCAGGGAAACAGCTCTATTGTATGATCCCTTGAAGAGCTCTGTGGACAACAAGCAGTCTCTGGGCTACGTCTTGGCCCACGAGATAGCTCACCAGTGGTTCGGAAACCTGGTCACCCCTGCGTGGTGGTCAGATCTCTGGCTCAAGGAAGGCTTTGCTACCTTCATGGGCTATGTTGGCCTCAATGCTGTAAGTATATTTATAACTCACCATGTTCCTTCTGAGAGTCTTACCAGATGTTCACTCTCAGGAGGCCAGGGAAGTGATCACATGATACAGGGCGTGTCACTGGTTGTGAATACATGTGATCACACAACCCGTTCTCGCAAATTTAATAAGTCAATATTGACTTATTAAATATGTGCATAGGTGACATACTTAACATAATAGATACCCTTAAAAAGATTCATAGAAAACACCGACCATACCTAACCTACTTAGTATGTTAAGATAAGCATCTTATTGCTTCGTAATTACAATTATTACCTAACCTATAATAGGTATAGGTTAAGTAATAATTGTAATTACGAAGCAATAAGATGCTTATCTTAAGATACTAACAAGGTTAGGTAAGGTCGGTGTTTTCTATGAATCTTTTTAAGGGTATCTATTATGTTTAGTATATCACCTATGCACGTAGTTAATAAGTCAATATTGACTTTACGAATTTGCGAGAACGGGTTGGATCACATGATACAGAGTGTGTGTCACGTGTTGTGGTGGTGCCCAGAGGCCAGATTCAAGAAGCAGTTATGAAAGTACTTACGAACGTGTACATCTTTCCTCAATCTTTGACGGCTTTGTTTACATTTATTAAACCGTTTACAAGCAGGAAAACTTCCCAGTCAACTGTTGTTATTGTTATAAACAGCCTCCTGGTGCTTCGGAGCTCATTAACTGTTTAATAATTGTAAACAAAGCCGTCAATATCGAGAAAAGATGTACAGGTTCGTAAGTACTTGCGTAACTGCTTTGTGAATCTGGCCGCAGGGTTACAGGTTCACAGTGTCGTGGTCACATCTCAGGTTCTGGAGGCTGAACTTCAGGTATCACAGATATATCTGCTGAAACTTTTATTGGTAATTTAACTTTAATTATCTCTTATGCCAGTAACTGATTTGTCTATGGAACCAACTCATATTGTTTGAGTACCGAGAGGTATTTATTAGCTAACCAAAGGCATATTGAGCTTTATGGCACATTACATCACAGTTACACTGGACGAAATTGAGTCCAGTGTAATTACAGTAGGTAATTACTTTGTGTATATTACAGTCGAATGTAAATTTGGTATTTTGTTGTGCAGGCTGAGCCTACATGGGGGTTGATGGACCAGTTCGTGACTGATAGCCTGTACACAGCCTTGAAACTGGACAGTCTGCAGTCCTCCCATCCCATCAGTGTACCAGTCAACCATCCAGACGAGATCAGTCAGATATTTGATGCCATATCTTACAAGAAAGGTACAAATTATTACTGCTCTGGGTTGTGTCTTGGGTCTTAGGCTTATTAACCACCCGGCACATCAAATGGATAAGTTTAGATTCCAGAAAGACCTGGGTAAATACTGGTTTGGAAACAGGCTTGTTGATTTGTGTAACATTACCGGGTAACATAAAATAGCGTTTTATAAAACGCTATATAAAAACGCTGTATAACTATACAAAAAACAGCGTTTTTTGCTCCAAACTCTGTGCGTACTAGTGGCTTTAGGCATAGTATATACTAACTTTCGCTATTACGGGCTATTCATGCCCGTGCATTCTGGTTGACTTAATCTCAATCAGTCTAACTCTAGCTAGAAATCCAACATTCTGCATGTAACTCATTTTGTATGTACTGTTACCTAAATAAAGAATTATTATTATTATATTAAGAAAAGACGCAGGATTGCTAGAGTGTTTCAAGCGTAGGGTAGACATGTATAGAAATGAGTTTGGGGTGGATATAAATAGCAACTGTCTCGTATGGATCAATACACCTTCTGCAGTTACCTTGGTTCTTATGTCCTAAGGAGGATTATTAAGACCTCTACAATAGCTTACTGACCAACCAGTGTACTGGACTCAACGTTGCCCAGGACTACAGTAAACTCCCAGTGTATATTCACCAAGAATATGTCTAACCAACGCTTGAAACAATCAAGGGATCCTACTTCTATTATGTTACACGGTAATTGGTTCCACAAATCAACACCGAACCAGTATTTACCCAGGTCTTTCCTAAAGACCTATTCCTTTCCTATTCACTGAGAAATGAGGTACACCTTTGCTGCTATATTTCTGTAAACTTATATCATTATTCCTCTGCACATATACAAGAAAATATATTGACTTAATTTTCATTTGCAATTATCTGTAATTATTTCAATTATCAGTTAACTTCGGAATAACAAGGGGAAATTTTGTTATGCTATTTTTATTATGTAATTTCCACATGCCAAGTACAACAGCCTATGGGCTATTGTGTATCTAGAATATCACTTTTATTATTACAATGAGCCCTCGTGAGATGTTCATTCTCTTATATAGCTACAATGTTCCTTTTATTTAGCATCCATTTAATTTAAGTAGCCACAGTTTGTATGATAAAATAATATATCTTACTTTCCCATATAATAATGTTCATTGTTCAATGTTATAAATTAATTATAGAAAAATAAATGGTATGACGATAAAATGTAAATATTGTTGATGAGGGTTAAGTGGGATAGAAATAGCCTATCCTGAAGTTATCTTGAGATGATTTCGGGGCTTTAGTGTCCCCGCGGCTCGGTCCTCGACCAGGCCTCCACCCCCAGGAAGCAGCCAGTGACAGCTGACTAACACCCAGGTACCTATTTTACTGCTAGGTAACAGGGGCATAGGGTGAAAGAAACTCTGCCCATTGTTTCTCGCCGGCGCCCGGGATCGAACCCGGGACCACAGGATCACAAGTCCAGCGTGCTGTCCGCTCGGCCGACCGGCTCCCATAGCCTAGCCTAGAGTATCCTAAGCTACTCTATGTATTTGAGATGTATTTTATTGTCTCGGTTAACATACTTGAACTTTCCTCCTGCAGGAGCTTCTATTATAAGAATGATGCAACACTTCTTATCAGAGCGCACCTTCAGGAAGGGAGTCACCAGCTACCTTAATGCCTTGTAAGTTCACCTCATGTTGGGGATAATATTAATAAATGCCATTTCTACTCTCTATATCTGGATTTAACTGTCTATCTGGTTGTATATGTCTGCCCCCCTGTCTGTCTATCTGGTTGTGTGTGTGTATCTGTCTGCTCCTGTCTATCTGTGTGTGTGTGTGTGTGTGTGTGTGGGTTTGGCAATACTAGGCTTCAATAGACTTAGCATAAATATGGGTGAGAGTTAAGCCAAGAGCAGTTACGCTTCATCAGCTGTCAAAGTATGTTCTACATAGAGCCATTTACTGTTTCTGACGCTTCAATGGGAAAGAACTGTACCTGTTACATTGAATACTCAAATCTTCTTTATATATTCAAGTAATACTTGGATTTCACTATTTAAATAGTTGAAATGCTACAGTAGTGTTGGAAGCTTTAAGAGGCAGGGGCCAGATTCACGAAAGCACTTACGCAAGCACTTAAAAGCGTGTACATCTTTCCTCAATCTTTGAAGGCTTTGGTTACATTTATTAAACAGCTTACAAGCATGAAAACTTCCCATTCAACTGTTGTTATTGTTATAAACATGGTGCTTCGGAGCTCATTAACTGTTTAATAATTGGAAACCAAGCCGCCAAAGATTGAGAAAAGATGTACAGGTTCGTAAGTGTTTGCGTAACTGCTTTCGTGAATCTGGCCCCAGGCATTTAAAGAGTGACATTGCTCATTGGTATTTATGGTCGTTGATCATTTGCATTTATGGTGGTTTAGCACCTGGTGACGTGCTCTATTTCTCATTAGTTCTCAATGGATGTGTTTACCAGCCAGTTGAGCAATGCAGAGCAGGACGACCTTTGGCTGCACCTGACGCAGGCCGCCCACGAGGACGGAAGTCTTCCCGAGGATCTGTCCGTCAAAGCCATCATGGACAGCTGGACCCTACAGGCAGGATACCCCGTCATCACCGTGGTCAGGAACGACACGTGTGCCACCCTCACACAGGTGTGTGTGTGTGTTGTTTACATGTGTGTAAATCACGGAAGTTAACACGTGATGAAAAATGTGACAGTGTCAGACCACGGAGGAAGAATTGAAACGGGAATTTCCTTAGGTACTTTCGTATTTAGTATTACATCTTCAGAAGGATGTTGTTTACATGTGTTCCCTGACTGGTAACTCCGGAAACTTCCTGTGAGTGATAGGACGGATATTTTAAGATTAAATTGGGTTTGGTTTTGGGAGGAGAGTTGCTAGTAGGTTCTTTGGTGTTTTATACAGGAATATTACGTGTTTTAAGCATGAATATATAACTAATGGTGGTACGGGCTGATCTGTAGGAGGACTGTGACGGTAGAGAGAAGCAGTTAGGCTTTTAGTTTAATTCATTATGCACCCCATACCCATCGTGTAAGCGGTAGTGAAAAGGGTTACAGAGGCACATAATGGGGCTCAGGGACTAAACCCTCAAAATTCATTTAGCTAAGCAAGTTACAGTCTTGATGAGCTAGTATACATGTATATCTATATTGTATAGACAACAGGTTGGAGGACGACCACACGTACAGTCTAATATTAGAGATGAGGGTGGGTGGCCTTGAGACAGGTAGAGAGGAAGGTGTCATTAACATGCTCAGCACATGCGCTCAATGGAACGTTTCTCTATAAATATTTCATTCAATACACATCACGTCCATATTTCCCTACCCACTTATTGATCTCGTTCCACGGCATCACGTCATATTTAATGACATAACTCATGATTGGTGGTGTCTCGTACCTGCCTCCCTCCCCCTCTTCCTCCCACCTCCTACCTCCTCAGATTATGTATCCGTGTGTAACTCAATGTGTCATCTTGCAGGAGTTGTTCTATCTTGGAGAGACGAACACCAGCAGTCAACCAGGCTGGTGGGTGCCAGTCTCCTACACCACCCAGGTCAAGCCGGACTTCCAACACACGCAGCCCCAACTCTGGATGACTCAGGATAGAAAACCTGTAGCAATACCAGGTAACGGTGTGTGTGTGTGTGTGTGTGTGTGTGTGTGTGTGTGTGTGTGTGTGTGTGTGTGTGTGTGTGTGTGTGTGTGTGTGTGTGTGTGTGTGTGAGAACCAACACCACAGTTTTTGAGAGTTGCGTGTCTCCACCGATTTCATGAGGAACGCCATAGGGATCGACTCCACTTTAGTGGGAGCAATGAGGCCCACTCTGACTTGCCTATGATTATCACACATCCCCCTACCCCTCACCGGTCACCTGCAAAATTGGGTGAGGTTATCTACAAACTACTGTCCTCCAACCTTGGATAAACATACAGTCTCTCTTACAAATAAAAAAACAATTATATAAAATATAATCATAAATTTTCTTCCTCTATTCTTTTACCATAATTTTAACAACTGATTAAGTAAAAGTCACACAAGAAAAACTACGATAATATATAAGCAGACGAAGAGTCACAACAACGTGGCTGAAAAATGTTGACCAAACCATATACTAGAAATTGAAGAGACGACGACGACGTTCCGGTCCGTCGATAATATATATAAACTAACTTTCCCTTCCACAGGACTTCCGAACTTGACACACTGGATCCTGGTTAACATCCAAGAGAGCGGCTACTACCGAGTAAATTATGACAGCCTCACCTGGCAACTGCTGACGGCGCAGCTGGCCAGCAACCACACCATCATACACCTGGCCAACAGAGCCCAGTTACTGGACGATGCTCTCACTCTGGCTCAAGCTGGTAAGGTGCTCTATATATGGTGACCTTGGGGTGGTCTACGTTGGACATTCACAAGGGAGACATCTCCCGTCATGCAGGGTGCATTCGCACCTCCACAGATCTCCAGTATCAGCTCCTGATACTGGTAATGGCTTAAAATGGCCACCACTTACGGGCTATTTATGCCCGTGCCACCTTTTGGGTGGCTTCATCTTCATCTTAACACATTCACAAGGGAGACATCTCCCGTCATGCAGGGTGTATTCGCACCTCCACAGATCTCCAGTATCAGCTCTTGATACTGGTAATGGCTTAAAAGGGCCACCACTTACGGGCTATTCATGCCCGTGCCACCTTTTGGGTGGCTTAATCTTCATCAATCATCAATCAATCAATCAATTATCAACCACCATCTGGTCACCACTTGGTCCGGGAGACATCTCCCGTCACGCAGGGTGCAGTCGCGCCTCCACAGATCTCCAGTATCAGCTCTTGATACTGGTAATGGCTCAAAAGGGCCACCACTTACGAGCTATTCATGCCCGTGCCACCTTTTAGGTGGCTTCATCTTCATCAATCAATTCAATCTGTTTAAATCACGGAAGACATCTTCCGTCACGCAGGGTGCAGTCGCACCTCCACAGATCTCCAGTATCATCTATTGATACTGGTGATGGCTCAAAAGGGCCACCACTTACGGGCTATTCATGCCCGTGCCACCTTTTGGGTGGCTTAATCTTCATCATCATAAGATCTCTCACCATTTGGTCACCACTTGGTCCGGGAGACATCTCCCGTCACGCAGGGTGCAGTTGCGCCTCCACAGATCTCCAGTATCATCTATTGATACTGGTAATGGCTCGAAAGGGCCACCACTTACGGGCTATTCATGCCCGTGCCACCTCTTGGGTGGCTTAATCTTCATCAATCAATCAATCTGGTCTACGTTTCACGGGAGACATCTCCCGTCACGCAGGTTGCAGTCGCACCTCCACAGATCTCCGGTATCATCTATTGATACTGGAAATGGCTCAAAAGGGCCACCACTTATGGGCTATTCATGCCCAAGCCACCTTTTGGGTGGCTTAATCTTCTCTTTCTCTCTGTACTACGTTCGGCTGGTGACTATATTATTTCAGCAGAGAGCCTCAAATGTAGCGTAACTTGGAATATGGATAAACCCTGAAGCAAATCATACAACCCTGATGCAAGCGCTTCAGGGTTGTATGGTTTGGTATATTGTATATCATACTAAAGTTATACAGCAGCTGCTGGTAAACAAACTCGTTGGTCGCCTGTGTTATATACCCCCATTATATTTTAAGTATATAAATAGGTTAGAATAAATCTGGTTTAATTATATTATACTTAGGATAAGTGAGATGAAATTAGTTTGAGTTTCGATGTTAGATTAGATTGTCACTCATGATAGTAACTAACATTATAAGGAAGGGGGAGGTAGAAATAGTCTAAGCAACTCTATCCCTTTGAGATGTATTTTATTGTCTCGGTAAACGTACATGGTCCTTATGATCTATCTCCCCAGGGGTCATATTACCTACCATAATATTATATATTATGAATAATATATATATATATATATATATATATATATATATATATATATATATATATATATATATATATATACATATATATATATAACTGAAAACTCACACCCCATTTTGTCCGGTCGTGATGGTCAAGTGGATTAAGGCGTCTTGTACATACCAGTTGCGTTGCTTCTGGGAGTATGGGTTCGAGTCACTTCTGGGGTGTGAGTTTTCAGTTGCATATTGTCCTGGGGACCATTCAGGCTTGTTCGCATTTGTGTTCCTCACGTGTGCCCCAAAGAATGAGGTGATTTGGTAAAATGCTATGCCCAAGATAACTATCCGAGTGCCGGCGGTGGGGTGGTCAAATAGCCTCGGCTATCACCTCATTTTGTCCGGTCGTGATGGTCAAGTGGATTAAGGCGTCTTGTACATACCAGTTGCGTTGCTTCTGGGAGTATGGGTTCGAGTCACTTCTGGGGTGTGAGTTTTCAGTTGCATATTGTCCTGGGGACCATTCAGGCTTGTTCGCATATATATATATATATATATATATATATATATATATATATATATATATATATATATATATATATATATATATATATATATATACCATAATATACCTGAATATTTGTAGCCTCAAGAATACACCCGCTACTTTGTTGCCTTCACCCTTATACATTTGTATAAATGTATGCATACATTTATATATGTATACATACACTGTGCCTCATTCTATGTTGTTGCTGTCTATGCATGTTTGGTTATGTGTGTTTCTCCCAACCCTCTGTCCAGGTCTTCTCGACTACTCCACGGCGCTGACGGCGACCTCGTATTTAGAGAAGGAGGAAGACTTGGTTCCCTGGCAAGCTGCTTTCCTCTCATTCAATTACCTCATTGACATGTTTGAACGTACTGCAGGATATGGCGTGCTCAGGGTAGGTGTGACAGAGTTATGTCGAACTTTATGGTTAATATAGGACCACTTGGACCTTATTCATTGTTGTGGCTTTGGCTGAACGTTGACTGGAGGTGTAGAAGTCAGAAACGTTGAGCTTAGGATCTATAAACGTTGACCAGGCCATACACTAGAAAGTGAAGGGACCACGACGTTTCAGTCCGTCCTGGACCATTCTCAAGTCGACTTGGGAATGGTCCAGGACGGACCGAAACGTCGTCGTCCCTTCACTTTCTAGTGTGTGGTCTGGTCAACATACTTCAGCCACGTTATTGTGACTCATCGTCTGTCTGCCTTTGAAATATATTTTATTATCAGAATACTTTATAAATTTACGATTAACTTGACAGTGGTCATAACTGCCATCATCATCTCAGGAATATATGAGAACGTTGTTGGTGCCGCTGTATGACTCCGTCGGGTTCGAGGAGGACCCGAGTGACTCTCACGTGAAGCAGTTTAAGAGGATGCTGGCCCTGCGGTACGCCTGCAGGCTCCAGCATCAGCCATGTGTTGACAATGCCACGCGCCTCTACGCTGCCTGGATGCTCTCCTCCGCTAATGAAAGGTTTGCCGCGATATGTGGAGTGTATTGGTGTATTTGTGCTGAAATCCACTCATCTTACACTCACAAAATTGTCAAAAATGTGATTATGTAGTCAAATATGGGATATTATTGTCATTTGTGACAGCGTGGTGCCTGCCAACGCCCAGAAGACGGTAATGTGTACGGGCATCAGTGGAGGCGGGGAGGCGGCGTGGGCGGCCGCCTGGACCCGCTACACCGGGTCAAATGTGGGCTCGGAGCGCGTCGTGCTCCTGTCCGCCATGGGCTGTACCAAGGAGATATGGCTCCTGGCAAGGTGAGGTTGTCTTATTAGTCTTAAGATACAAACATCTTAATTTGAGACGCACGTGCTCTGTAAATCTCGGAATCCTATACTACACAAAGCACATTTCATGCATGTTATGTCGACTGTGGTCTGACTGGTACAATGATAATGATACTCTTCACAGGTACCTCAATCACTTGGGCTGGACGGTAGAGCGACGGTCTCGCTTCATGTAGGTTGGCGTTCAATCCCCGACTGTCCAAGTGGTTGGGCACCATTCCTTCCTCCCCATCCCATCCCTAATCCTTATCCTGACACCTTCCAAGTCCTATATAGTTGTAATGGCTTGGCGCTTCCTCCCTGATAGTTCCCTTTCCTTCAATTCTTGTTGAATGTCCTGACTTCCAGGACGAGCGTGTGTCTTGCTTTCCGACCGTCCCTCGCGGTCACTTGTCCCTCAATAGAATTCTCGGTGAATCAGATACTTTTGATATCGTTCGCCTTATGCGTTTCTGTTCTCGTATTGGCATCCTTGGTGATATTTAGCGCCCTCTGATTATTCCGCACATTTGGTGGTGCTACATAGCCTTCCCGGCTTGGTGCCTTCTTTTGATAATTACTTACTCCCTTCCCTTCACAGGTACCTGACGATGGCGTTTACTAGTGAGAGCGGGGTGAGGAAGCAGGATGCCTCGCTGGTGTTCACAGCGGTGGCCGGGAACCCCGTGGGCGTCGACCTGGCCTGGAACTACCTTCAGGAACACTGGCCACACATACTCCAATAGTGAGCATTCACTCTGAGGGATTCAATAGATTGATGAAGATTAAGCCACCCAAGAGATGGCACGGGCATATTTCTCAAGGGTAGTGATCCCTGAATCAATTGCATTATTCTTCATCAATCAAAGGTGGCTTAATCTTCATCACTCAATCATTCATGAGCTGGTTCTCACGAGCGTCCCCAACGCCAGTAAACTGATGTACTAAAATGCGCGACACTAACCCACCCTAGGACCCACGAACAGAAAACGGGGCATCACAGTGCATCTCTAAGGTTTATAAGGCAAATGTATGCGCAGTAGCTCAGTTTTCTGTTTAACGGAAAAAATGAATTAACGATAAATAATGGCAAAAAACGGTAAAATAAATTATCACCTCCATTTATTGTCAGACGTGCAGGAAAGGTGCCTCACTGCACGTTGGTAATAATGTAAATTGTCATTTACACTTACCTTGAGGTGCTTCCGGGGCTTAGTGTCCCCGCGGCCCGGTCGTCGACCAGGCCCCACTTCAGTGGAAATAAACGTAAGTTATTCACATTCCATTCACCTAATGGTGAGTGGAATGTGAATAACTTTCCTTATTAAGACTACTGAGTAGCTCGGCCGCTAAAGCTTGGGCCTCACACACACGTGGGACCCAGGGTTCGAGTCTCCTACATCCCAGGTGAATGCTAATAAATGTGCTTTGTTTCAGCTTGGGTCCCGGCTCGCCCCACCTCTCCAGGATGATCAAAGCTGTCACTCAAGGCTTCAACACCCGCCTGCAGGTGCAGCAGGTGAGACACAGGTGTAGATGGCACTATATAACTCTTAAGTTGGTGACTATGCAGTTGGTGACTATGCATGGGCTATTCATGCCCATGCCACCTCTTGGGTGGCCTAATCTTTAACGATAGGCTCTGCAGACGAGGTGTCGATCCACTCAGTTACTAGATGACAGGGTTCCCAGACATACGGCCTATCTGTAATTTAGAGAATGATGTATTGTGTCAATTGTTTAAGATTCCTTGCTCCCCGTCCCATCCCAAATCCTTATCCTGACTGTTCCAAGTGCTATATAGTCGTATTGGCTTGGTGCTTTCTCCTTAAAACTTTGCTTTGGAGATGTTTCCGAGCTCTTTGAATGTAAAAATTGTGTGAAATTGTTGTTTATATCGTAAATAAATTAATGAAGAGGGGACCTGTGTGAATGAAAGGGTGACCCCAGTGAATGAGGAATGACGAAAGTGAATGAAAGGGCGAAGAGAGTGAATGAATCTAATTTTTTTTTGTCTGATATTGGCATCTTGAGCGATATTTAGAGAGATTTGAATATCGTGCAACACCTACGGTACTAATTATCAGTCTTCCTGTTGATGCCTTGTATTAACAGTTGTTCGCTGTGTTAAACTCATCCATTTAACATTCTCCAGTTAGTCCAGGGATATGTACAAGATTCTAACCAATTTCATTGCTAATTAACTTTTTCTCATCTGTCGATTTTCTTCTTTGTTTTCCAGCTGGAAAAGTTCAAATCTGACAATGCAAATCAACTGGGGTCAACTACCCGAGCTCTTGACCAGTCATTAGAGTCTGCCAAGCTTAACGTGGCCTGGATGAAGAAGAATTACGACTCCATCTTGGCTTGGCTCAATGGCAGAGGCTATGATCACACGCTGAAGGCCTGATGTATTACACCAAAAGATTTAGCCCCCAAATAATTTGATCTATTTATTTATATACAGTACATTGGTGTGTGTATATTTTGAATGGAATATATTAACTTTGTAAATGTGTTTGTATATGTAATTTTGCTAATGCGCACGTAGTTACGTGGTTTGCAGTGTTGTTAGCCCTGTGGCCCTCAACCGTTCCTGATACGTGAGTTGACATGGCTCTGAAATTATTTTTTGTTGCCCGGTGTTGCACTTTCTCCAGAGCAGCTATGTTATTCTGAAAATGAGGTCTCCATGTTTGGATACAAAAATACAAATAATACAGCACCAGAGATTTATACAGTTGAATCATTACCTTACCTTTCCTTAAAGTCAAAAGTACGCTTGATTATTCCAAGGGTTTGGTTAGCTTTTCTGACTACTGCTCCCACCTGTTGTGCAACTTTTAGTGAGAGGTGGATTTTGACTCCAAGGTTCTTTTCTTCATCAATCTGCTGTAGTGTAATTCTATTAATTTGGTAGTAGTGGTGTGGGTTGTTGTGACCCACATGAAGGGTCTTACGTTTGACGATATTAAAATGCATTTGCCAGTCTTCTGACCATTTGTGGAGTTCGTGTAGATCTCTTTGTAAGGCTTCAATATCATTATCAATCCCGCTTTGCCATAAATTTTTGTCGTCTGCAAATTTGATGATGCAATAATAATAATAATAATCATTTATTTACAAGAAAGTACAATGGGTTAGTGATATACATTAGTGATATTTTTACATTTTTGCAAAGCCACTAACACGCATGGCGTTTCGGGCAATTTATGTATATGAAAAAGGGTTGGCCCCAAAATGGACTCCCCCCCCCCCTGGCACCCCACTAACACGTTTCTTGATTCAGATTGGTTCCCATTTAGCACGACCCTTTGTTTTGTTCTTTGAACCATTGTTTTATCCATTCTAATTTTTTACCATTTATTCCACGGGCCTGTAATTTCTTTGCCAGTCTTTCATGTGGTAACTTATCTTAAGCAAAATCTATGTATACCACATTCACCAGAAGGCCTTTGTCTGAGTAGATGGTTATGTGAGCAAGTTTGTAAGGCAGGATCTGTTTTTAACGAACCTTTGTTGTGTCGATTGTACAAGATTGTTCACTGAAAGTTGATGAATGATTCCCTCCCCGAGGATTCTCTCCATGAACTTACAGATGTGTGATGTCAAGCTGATCGGCCGGTAGTTTGTACTAAGATCGTTCTGCCTTTTTTGAAAATTAAGGGTAACATTTGCATATTTCCAATCTAGGGGGGACTACTCCTTGGTCTAGAGATTTTGTGAAAAGTAGTGTCAGCGGTAGGCATAGTTCTTCTGCCAGTTCCTTTACGACTTTGGAATACATAACTAACTAACCTCTTTCATAAACTTAGCACATCAAGCTTTCCTTCCTTAAATTTTCGTATCTGTGATTCAAACACGCTAAGACAATAAAAGTGTATTAATAAATGTAATTATAAATCATATAAATTTGAATGTATAATAAGGGTAATTAACATGGGTGGTAGTTTTACCCTGAGTAAAATAATTTGTGATAACATTAACGTTGTAAGTTAACAATGCACTGCAACTTGTTGAATTAAAATGTCTTAAAGTTTAACATGGTGAGATTAACCTTGTATATTAAGCTTGATAAGTGTAGCGGCGGGTCAGACTATACAAAGTCAAGGCTAGTTGCCATCAGGCCCCGTCAGGTGCGGCCCCACAGGGAGGAGGCCCACTGCCATACACGGCCTGGCAGCAAACTAATACCAAAGCTAGGCTGCTCTCCTCCAGCAGCCTAGCGTGAGTGCCCGCCCCGCCTGGAGCACGGCCGCCTACGCCCACACCGGACTATAGGAGACCAGTGGGGCGCCAGGGATACAAAGGCGAGGCACATGAAACATTAATGTGTTTAAACAAGGCACAGATATAACGACAACAGCATTAGTGATGAAATCAATCTGTCTTCTACGGATTCCATCCTATATTGAGCACCGGATGTGTGATTATTAATGCTTGATTAAATTGGGAGTTGATTACCTCCTTAGATTCCCTGTGAGCAGCGTGAGGGCAGTAATATACCGAGGACGGTAACAAACTGTAATAGATCTGAGACAGTGAAAGTTAAATTACCAATTCCATTTATCATTATACCTCTATGTCGGAAGAGCCACATATATACACACAAACATGGATCATCCAGTCATGTTGGCAGACTTCCAGGCATGCTCCTTGTACTTAATTCGGCTGCAAGTAACTGGCATTTGACACTTCCTGCTGAAGTACACCTGATCATGCTTCACTATCTCCTGGAATGTGAAGCAACCAACGACCTCAGAAGAGCTTTAAGAGTCCCTGAATGGTCCAGGACGGACCGAAACGTCGTCGTCCCTTCACCTTCTAGAGTGTGGTCTGGTCAACATACTTCAGCCACGTTATTGTGACTCATCGTCTGCACAAGAGTCCCTGAATCTTGCAGTAACCACCCTGAAGCCATCAACTCTGCCACTCCTCTGGTCAAAAAAGAAATCCTGCCACTTCTGGTCCTGCTTCGCCAGATCTAAAAGGAAGCACCTCTTCTTCCTTCACACCAGACGCAACGGATTCATCTCATTGTTGTAGTGAAGAAGCAGACGAAAATCACACGTAGGATGCAACCTGCCCTGATGATGGCATTTCCGTGTTGGAAAAAGTAATGTAAGCAGGAAAACTTGGCATCCCACAAAACAAGTTTAGTAAGTGCCATAGTCAATCTACGATATTTTACTAAACATGATAACCAGTCGAGACCGACAACATTCACCTGGCTGACATATGATGTTTCCCTGCTTCATCAGCAACTCATCCCAGAAGGTTTTTGCCAAGAATATCCAGAAGAAGTTAAGAGGATAAGGACACGCAGTCAAGCGAAAGAAGAGTACTTAAAGAAACAAGAGAGACTGAGAATCAAAGAACAAAAGAAGAAGAAGAGCTAGTTCAGATCAAATCAAATCAAATGTTTATTTAGGGAAGGTACATACATACAAGAGATTTTACAAAGAGTGATGGATTTATAGATAGGGCTAGTACATACAATGCCTAAAGCCACTATTACGCAAAGCGTTTCGGGCATGAAAAACTTAAATGACTAAAGCTTAATACTAATTGAGCATAAAGAGTAAAATGAAAACATGGAATGAAAACATAGCTGAAAAAGCAGCACAAATACAATTCAATACAAGTTAGAAGAAGAACGTAGACGCAAGAAAGGAGATTCAAGAAAAGAACACTGTTTTTCCCAAAAACGGTGGGTTTTCTGAGGGAAGAGAAAACGTATGTCTGGAAGCTGACATACGTTTTTGCCCTGTATCTTTGTACTTACAGTAATCGATGATTACTGATTACAGTTGTAATCGATGAATAATAGGTTAGGTAATAATTGTAATTACGAAACAATAAGATGCTTATCTTAACATACTAAGTAGGTTAGGTAAGGTCGGTGTTTTCTATGAATCTTTTTAAGGGTATCTATTATGTTAAGTATGTCACCTATGCACATATTTAATAAGTCAATATTGACTTATTAAATTTGCGAGAACGGGTTGCATCATCAGTATAATGTCAACAGTGATTTAGTGCAGACGCTTGAGAGTTACCTTCAACCTCAAGAATGTAACACTTGACATGTTCAGTTCCAACCGACCCCCAAGACGTCTCAGCTTTGACACAGAGCAGACAACAAGACTCCAGCCCCACCAAGCTTCTATATGCTCTCGTCCCGCACTTGAGCTCCTCGACTCTGCCTGCATTCAGAGCGCCACGCTCTACGACTCTCACCCTGTAAACGTTTTTTCAATTTTGCTAGAATTTACCTACTTAAAATTATCTGTAAGATAAAGGACCTGCCCGAAACCCTATGCGTGCTATAGTGACTTTACAAGAATGTAAAAACATCAATGCTATGCATTCATAAACCCAAAAGTACCTTCTTGTTTACAAATAAATAAATAAATAAACAATATAAATCAAATAAATAAATATATAGCACTTGGTGTTAGAATAAGGATTTGGGATGGGACGAGGGGAAGGAATGGTGCTCAACTACTTTGACGGTCGGGGATTGAACGCCGACCTGCATGAAACAAGACCGTCGCTCTACCGTCCAGCCCAAGAATACTAAAAAAATATAAAAACCACTAAACTTTATCTTAATCTACCAAACATCCTAACATAATCGTACTTCATACCTCCCCGAAACGCTATGCGTGATTAATAGCTTTGCAAGAATGTACCACTTAATAACCAACATATGCATTTACACAACCCATTGTACATTTTTGAATACATGTAAATCAATGAATCAAATAAATAAACATTGTATAATTTAAATTCAAACAATTTTACTGGAAATTATCTACTTAAAATTAGATTAAAGACTTGCCCGAAACGCTATGCGTGCTAGTGGCTTTACAAGAATGTAAAATCATCATTACTATGTACTCTCTTAACCCCCAATGTACCGTCTTGTATATAAATAAATCAAATAATAAATTAAATAATCAAACTTAAAACCAAGACTTAATCAAACCAGAAATGCTCTACAAATCAAGGGGCCCAGAATGTGGAATGACCTTCCCAACCATGTTAAAGACAGTACCTCTCTCAACCAGTTTAAGTTAAAAACGAAGCTATACCTAATAAATTCCCTGTAACCTACCTTACCCCTCTATTGTCAAACCATGTATGTTTTTTGTTTTTTTTTTGTTTTTCAAATCAACGCTGTTTTAATGTAATTTTCTGTAATAATTTGTAATTGTATTTATGCTGTTTTTTCAACAATGTTCCCCCCTCTTTTACCCCTATTTTTATTTGTACTCAACGCATTTTTTTCTTTTTACCCATTAGTTTTAAGCTTTAGTCAGTAGTGTTTTTTCCTGCCCGAAACGCTTTGCGTAATAGTGGCTTTAGGCATTGTATGTACTAGCTCTATCTATAAAGCCAACAAACTTTGTAAAATCTCTTTATGTATGTACCTTTGCCTAAATAAAAATTATTATTATTATTATTATAAAGTGTGGTTTCTAAATCTGCCTAAACACCAATGTACGAAACGAACAAAAGTGTGTACAAGGGGATCAGCTGTGATCGTGTACGAAAGAGGTGTGGGGTGCTGTACGAAGTGTACTGGTGATGCTGACCTCCAGAGGGAAGAGAAAGTGAAGATGGGAAGGATGCTGGAGGCGCTGACGGTGTCTAGTGGCCAGCAGGTGCGCCGCAGGGCAGTGCTCCAGCCCTCACCAGGTGAGACACACACACACACACACCTCTGTGTCTACCTTAAGTTCCCTACTACATAGTTCCCTCTCTCAAGGAAACTATGTCTTGCTGACGTGGCCTCGTAAGGTTGACTGACAGAGTCTCTCATATTATGACTGTCATTGTCTTTTGTAACTAGCTCATTAAGACTGTAACTAGCTCGTTAAGACTAACTAGCTCGTTAAGACTGTAAGTAGCTCGTTAAGACTGTAACTATCTCGTTAAGACTGTAACTAGCTCATTAAGACTGTAAGTAGCTCGTTAAGACTGTAACTTGCTTATTAAGACTGTAACTAGCTCATTAAGACTGTAACTAGCTCGTTAAGACTGTAACTTGCTTATTAAGACTGTAACTAGCTCATTAAGACTGTAACTAGCTCGTTAAGACTGTAACTAGCTCATTAAGACTGTAACTAGCTCGTTAAGACTGTAACTTGCGTATTAAGACTGTAACTAGCTCGTTAAGACTGTAACTTGTTTAGCTAAATGGATTTGTGGGGTTCAGTCCCTGAGCCCAATATGGGCCTCTGTAACCCTTTCCACTACTGTCCACAGGATGGGTATGGGGTGCATAATAAGTGGACTCAACTAACTAAACTAGTGGACATATGGGCCCCATATAATAATAATTCAATATGTCGAGTGATAGGCAGCCAGTTTTATACATGCAGTACACACTAGGGTTATAACGAGCTCCCCCCCCCCTCCCCTGCCCAGGATGCAACCCCCATAACAAGCTGAGTAACTCCTGAGTACCTACTCACTGCTACGTGAACAGACGCATTAGGTGAAAGGAAATGCGGCCAGCCATTTCTGTCCCGTCCGCGATTCAAACTCGGAATTGTCGATTGTGTGTGGAGAAGGAACCAAGAAGCGAGGCCGGGGCTCTGTACCAACTGGTTCAGGTTGATGTGGGTGAACGAGAGATTGTTCAAATGAACCTGATCAAGTACCTCTTTTTAACATGGCATACAGTTAATCATGCTACTGATTAACTTTAAATTTATTATATATTAACATTGAATGATGATCATAATTTTCTTAGGAGTTAAATATTGAAGTTCAGTAAATTGGTTCTATCCTTTTGAATTAAATATGAGAATGAATTTAGACTACAGCTCTAATTTTCTGTGATATGGCCCATGCTCTTCAGTAAGGTGAATATTTTATTACTGACTTTTATACCAGGTGCTTTTCATTTGCCCTTGTTTACTTGTACTGTATATATTGTATCATTCTGCAAAATAAGTTTGACTAAATTTAGTAAAATCATTCTTCACATATCTGCTATTTTTTTTAATCCTATCACTTGTGTTTACAATGGATGAGTATCATTCCGTTTATTTTTTCTCATTAGTTCTTATATAAGCTTTTTAAAGGAGCTTCATTCATATTGTATTGGAGATCTCTGATTTTGTGTGTGAGTACTCTTATGTAGCATTTGTGTGTGAAGTCAACGTGTCATAGAATGTTATACAGGAAAAATATGTTTGTTAGTTTCTGATACTAATCTATTGAAAAAGCATTTTTAAAGGAAATCAGATATGTAACATAAAAATAAATAAATAAATCATACTGATGCCTTAGGTTTATCACATAAGTTATGATTTAATTTTTTTTCAGATGGCATTTATCCTTTATCGCACAACCATTAAGAATGTCGCTATTAATGCTACTACAAGTATTCACAAGAAGACTGGCAAAGATCGAGAGCGATATGAGATTACACGTGCGACTCAGGATGTGGGTGGGCCTTGCTTCGGCATATGTGCTTTTCATGGGATTTATTCACTTGTTCCATGTTCCCTTAAGATCAAATGCACGTAAGTTGTTGACATTTTGGAATCATCCTTTTTTTTTTTGTATTTCCATAAAGTTATAGGTGTTTATTGCATTATACTGTATATTTTTAATTTGCCCAACTCGGAAAAATTACGTTTCTGAGTTTATTCTGCCACTTGCAGAAGTGTTGTATTGTGATCTATTCACATTAAAGATTGTGAAAAAGTTTGACAAGAAAACATACAGCATTGATGATGCAAGGATAATTATTTAGAAAATAGAAATCTTTTTGGAAAGAAGTCATAAAGTAAATGGGAATACGGAAGGCGATTCACCTGGGTGAATGGTAAATAGTGAAAAAGAGATTAGAAGTACAGTAGGTAGAAAGAATTGTTCATAAATCTAATGCATGAAAGTACAGTAATGAAATTGGTACTAATTTTAATATGATTGGATTTGCTTGTATGAGAAGAGTGCAGGATCATAAGACAACTCATTTATTTATTAATGAGGTGATTACATAGCAAAGAAACTGAAATGTGGGAAAGCTGAATACATATATATATTATTAAATGTTGTGGAGAAAAAGGAATGGAGTTATTGCAGAGACTTGACCTGAAGGCAGGAAATAGTTGTAATGCTAGAGGATTGGAACAGTGGTTGTACCAGTGTACACACACAACTGCGGAACCAAAGAGCCAGAGCTCAACCCCTGCAAGCACAACTAGGTAAGTACAACTATGAGAAGCATTAGAATACTTAGGTAACAAGGTGTATAGTAGCACTATGATTTGGAAGGATACAGGAATTTTGAGAAAGTTAGCAATGATGAACAAGGGTTCCCTACTGGTAGTGTGTAGATTACACATTGCAATGAGACAGCTTATAGAGAAAGCACGAGAGAAGTCCAAACACAATCATGTTTCTGGTACTTGGGATTCAAATGAGGCTAGCCAGCTCCTCGAATTTTGTAGTGGTGGTGGTTCAGCCATCTAATGGTTTGTAAAATAGGTTGTTAGAGGGATTTCTGCTGTTGCTTGTATGTTATATCCAGTCATTTCTCAGGAAGAAGAGAGTTGAATTTTGCATTCTGCTCTTTATTGTCATAGTGAGCAGTCTTTTTTTTTTATTTTTTTTTCCCCTCTCCATATCATGCTTCACAAGTTAGGTGATAATCATTTGAAAAATCGCTTGTGACCGTGGGGCTCAATTCGACAAGAGCAAGGGAGAAAACAAAGGGCTGCTCAAAAAGAAAGGTTTCAAGAATTCAAAAATCTATTTTATGTTTGTAAATGTATTTTATTTTTGTAAGTACTGTATTATATTTACCTGTATATTCCAGTATAAAGCTTTATTTTAGACGTTCTTTAAAGTACTTTATAAGAATAAATAATATACAGTATTAATATACGAGAATTCTCATTTTTCATTGATTGCAGCTGTAGGAAGGTGTGGAGTAGTTATAATAATTATGCCATGTATTCACATCTACAGGATTATATGCGCTTACAGTCCAGAGTACTTTGACTTACAAATGTATTTAATTTACAGTTCACTCTCACTATGACTTGTCGGGTGAAGGTGTTTTTGCAAAGCATCGTGCAGCTGTGAAGAAGGAGGCAGAGAAATATGCTCAAGCTGCTCTGAAGGATGACACTTCTGGTATGGAGGCTGCTAAACAGATATCCTTGCTGACAGATACCTTTAAAAAGTGTGTTCAAGTAATTTTTTTTTATTCATGAGTATTATAAGAATAATTTATTAAGTGTTGTAAGTGTGGAATTTGTTATTAATAACACTTTCGCATTCCAATGATACATTTTTGTGTCATCAGTACGCCAACAGTAAATGTTCTGATGACAGTAAAATGCATCATCTGATTGCTATTCATGAATATTCGTATATTCATCACTGTCACGCATAATCTATTATAAATTCAATTTTGTTTTGCATCTATTCTCTAAAAAAAAATTCATTTGTGAAAATTTTGACACCAAATTTATTGCTATAACCCAAGAAATAAGCGAGAAAACTTGAAATAATAATAATACAGAATACATTTTAAACATGGCTAAGCAGGACCCGCCAAGTGCAGTAGGTTTATGTTTTGCAACGTGCGGAGCAGACGGAAATCTATTATAAATACAGTACACATTTGGTTTGCATCTCTTCTCTAGACAATTAATTTGCAAACATTTTGACACCAAATTTATTACTGTATTATATCCCAACAAATAAGTTAGAAAACGTTAAATGATTGTAAACATTTTTCACATCGCTGAGTGAGTTGCAAACCCCCCAGGGAGGCCAGAACATTTACAGTCTGGAATGCTTGGAGAGGCTGGACCCCAAAAGTGTTAATAATGAAGCTTATATTCAAGTTTTGAGTTTTATTACAGTACTAACAATGAGGATTGCTTTGCTAAATGAATTTTGAGGTTCAGTTTCCGAGCCCCTTTTCCCTTTTCTTTACCATCTGCAGGATGGGTATGGAATGCATAATAAATGAACTAACTAAATACAGTATGAAATTTGTTACTAGGTTTGTGAATCTTTTTTTTTTTTACAATAACCTATGCTGTGTTCTGCTTCCATTAATTTTCATGTTTATTAACAGGTTACTTTTTCAATTGGCTCATAGTTTTCTTGATTATGATTGATTAGAGCAGACAGCAACACTGACGGCTTCTTAGAACTATCGGAATTGTCCTCATGGATTACTAAAAAGATCAAGGAACATCTCACCTTAGCACTCAAAGAAAACTTCTTCATGTTCACTGCAATTGATCAAGACCCAAGGAATGGTACGAAACTTGCTTTTTAAAAGTAATGGCAAAAACATTCAGAATACCTGTACTGTAATCCTTAAATCTGAATTTAGTACATACTAATATTTATTTATTTATTTATTTTTATGTACAGTATTTATATGCAAGAAGGTACAATGGGTTGTGAAAGTACTGTACATACATTGGTGATTATGTGGTATATTCTTGCAAGCCACTAACACAGCATTTCGGGCAGATATTAATAACTTCAACAGTACCGTGTTAGTTATAACTTGGAGGGGGAGGGAATTATCATGGGAAAGCGCCAAGATATTATGACTATATAACACTGGAAAAGGGTCAGGATAAGGATGTGGGATGGGACGGTGAAAGGAAAGGTGCCTAATCACTTGGACAGTTGGGGATTCAATGCCGACCTGCATGAAGCAAGGTAGACACAATAGGTTTTGTTAGATAGGTCAGGAGTAAATATGTAGGTGTATACTACCCTATTAAACAGGAAGAATGGCATGTGCTTATTCTGGATTGTATCATCTTTCATTTCTGCATTATGAACCCTCATGAATTATAAATATGATCTATCAAATACTGTACTAGACATGTATCCTTATTATTTTCACAGGTGTTGTGTCTTGGGATGAATACCATAGGTACTTCCTAAAGCAACATGGCTATGATAATAAGTACATTGAGAAACATAAGAAAGACCACAAAGGAATGTCTAGAGAGCTTAAAGGTAAGTGGAGTTAATTTTTTATTTTGACTGCATTTGATGAATAGTTTGCCATTTTCTAAAGTTATTGGATGCGTAATTGCACATCACTTTATCCTAGCCTCACCTCATCATTATTACTCCTTTCTCAATTTTGTTCCTTAGCAAGGTATCAGTCAGAGTAAAATAGGGAACAGTATAAGAAAAAAGAGAGCTAATGATATTAAAAATAAAATCATGAAGAATGAGAACTACCACACTCCAGGAAAACTGTCCACACTGTCACTCACTCAGTTACTAGCCAGTGTTGCTTAATTTGCTGAATAATTGATGCAGACATCATCCATAGCATTGACTAAAACAAAAGTGGACCTGACAAAAACACAGGCAATATTAACATCGTGTACCAATATGTGCATCTTGCCTGTGAATTTCTTTATATGTATATACTATTTGTTGGCTACTTGTTGAAGATTCTGAAGATTAGTATCCCCATGGCCCAGTCTCTGACCAGGTCTCCTTGTTGCTGATCTGATCAACCAGGCTGTTCGATTCGGCTGCTCGCTCACTCTACTGTTACACAAAAACACGAAGACGAGAGTTGATTTCATTTATAGATACAGTAACATTTTGCCTGTTGGGGCTTTTCTGTGGGGAACCCATCGGCTCCCTGAAGCTACCTAAACTAATATGTGCTAATTTAGTTTGGGTCATCAGTCACAAGTGTTCTTATGCCTACCGAGTACTATGAGCCAGAACCTGGTCCCCTCAGAGAGGCGCAGGGAGCAATGGCCTATGAGCACATTTAAAGTATAGCATGACAAAATTGCCATCGACCAAGTAAGGACCCAGGAAGGTAGGCGAATCAAATCGGACTACTGTTCGGTGAACCTGGGCAATCTACATCCTAAAAGATAAAAAAACTCTCCTAGAAAGAAACCAAACAATCAACACTTCATGCAACCAGCACTCCAGCTCGTTAATGGTCATTCCCCATAGAGGAAGGAGGGGAGCCGTCAGCCGACCATTCCAGTTCTTGAACAATGAAAACCGCAGACCAGAGGGTGTCGAGAAGCCTCCAGGGCTCACCCTGAGAATGGCATTTCATTACATTCAGTGCTGGTCTCCTGTGGGAAGTCCTGTTGACTCTCTGAAGCTATTATTTACTTATCCAAAGATAAGTAAAAGGAGGAACTTACCCGGGAGGCTAGAGCACCGCAGGTCTCAAGACAAGGAAGAGATAGACGGCTGTGACAGCCTCTCGGAACGTTCACTAAATACCTGGCGGCCAGGACCTTGTCCGACCTCCCTTCAATTCGAGGAGCCCACAACTACTAAAATAATTTGCATTTTGCTGTCATTTAATATAATACACATTGACAAAAAATATTTATTGAAATGTGTAGCTCTTTTATTTTCTTATTAATTAACAGAAGCCATCATGAGAGACAAGGCAGCCTGGTCGGAAGCTGCCCGTGACAATCCCGACCAACTGACCATTGACGAGTTTTTGGCCTTTAGGCATCCAGAGTCTTCCCATGCAACTATCTTGAGCATTGTTGAGGAAACCATTGCTAGACTGGGTGAGTTTGACATTTAGTAACATGGTATATTTTTATAGTATTAAATATTTACAGAGCCACAGTATTCTGTATTATTGAAGATATTTCAGATTCCTATCACATCCTACTTGGAAATATTTGTCACTACTTTGCTATACTGTATCGTCTGTTTAAGAGTTTCCTGGTAAATTGACATACTGTGATAAGAAGACTGTTGTAATATCATGTTTTTGTATTATCCATGAAAAAAAGTTTGCTTTTTCCTCTCAGTTTCTCTTGAAATCACAGATATAATTTAACAGGTGTCCTAATTACAAGGTTTTGATTGAATATGAAAAGCTATTTCCTGAGTAAGTCATGCACATGTTTTATATGGCAAGATTTGCTTCGGCCCCACTAGACATGATCATAACAGCACGGATTTCACATGGGCACAACAGGGATTTATCAAACATCCCTCTTGAATCATATTGTTAGTACGGAGAGGTAGGGAAGGGAAATAACAGGAGAAAGTGCCAAGCCATTACGACTATATAGCACTTGGAAGGGATCAGGGTAAGGATTTGGGTTTGGGCAGAGTATCCTCCCAGAAAACCCAGAGAAAACACCTGGGGAACCCAGGGTAAACACCCAGGGGCACGGAAGCTCAAGAATGGCCTCTCGTTGATCTCATAGTGGCAGCTAAAGGACACAGCAAACTTTCATTCTCCAGCTTGCGTAATGTTTCAAGTTTAGTTTGAAGAGTAAGTTACATAACCTTACACCTACTTAGTTTTAGCACCTTTTGATGCATGAGGAGTTGGCAGACATTTAATAAGTACCAAAATAAAAGTACAAGTACAGTATATAATTTAAAAAGTTTGTAGAACACAGGAAATTTGTGGGGGGAATCACAAGGTTCAAATGGCATTTGGAAGAGCTCACATGCCGAGTCAAGGCTATATTTAGCCTTAGTCAAAAATTTTCTAGAGGATTTGGGTCCTCAGTCCATAATAGTGGGTGATGGGTCAATTTTATTACAAATTCAAGCTTTCCTGGCAAAGTGTAGCAAACTCTCACGATTTATTTTTTTCTATATTACAGATGCCGATAATGATAACAGATTAAGTGAGGATGAGTTTTCAGATCCAGACATGAATGAAGTACCTGATGACATGACAGTAGAGCAGTACAAGAATGATCGCCTCAAGGAATTTAAAATTGCTGATGAAGACAACAATGGCAAGATTGATAGAAGAGAATTATTGGTATGTCATTGTCGACTTTAATTCCTTAGCTAAATGTTGGGTGGTAATATGTTAAATATTGTGCTGCGGAGCATGTTTTACATATGTGCTCAAACATTCTGATGATATTTATTGAATGACAAGTTTTAGATAAGAGTGACAGTATGTAAAGAAGGAAGACGCTAATATGAACAGTAACTTTATTCTCAAACTGACCTCTATTTACTGACTTACTGCAGTAGTAATCACCTTTTATGTTTTTATAGCTATAACAATGTGCTGAATAACAGCGTTACATTTATTCTCCAATAATTTGGTATGTATGGTTTTTTCTGGGGGGAGGGGGGGGGGAGCCCCTTGGTGGCTCCTTGTAGCTATCTTGCTGAGATTGTTCCAAACTACCAATATAAGGAATCATTAATTTACACAATGCTACAAGATGGACCAAAATGCTGTCTATGCCTTTATTTTCAGATTCGTGGGTTGGGTGTCTAGTGCTTGTCTTGTTTTTGGTGGTGTATTCTTTAGGTGCAGACGATGAGTCACAATAACGTGGCTGAAGTATGTTGACCAGACCACACACTAGAAGGTGAAGGGACTACAATGTTTCGGTCCATCCTGGACCATTCTCAAGTCATTCTCAAGTCACACAATCGACTTGAGAATTGTCCAGGACGGACAGAAACGTCGTCGTCCCTTCACCTTCTAGTGTGTGGTCTGGTCAATATTCTTTAGGTATGATGAGCATATAACATGCTTTCAAGTAAATGCTGTATGGCTAAAATGATAACGCATAATTATTTACAACTTTATACAGCATTAAATATGCAGTTTTGTATACTGTACTTCTTTCCTCTTTCAGTTTTTCTTTTTGAAGTCAAATCAGCATCTCGACACTTGAAGTAACACTTGAAATGTGATAACAAACATTTAACTAACATAAATTACAAGAAGAAAGTAGAAAAAGTTAGAAAGTAATATAAAGCAGAAATATTTAAAGGGAGAGAATGAAGAATGTTTTTCATAGAAATGAAATTGTAGGTTGAGGTGGCCAAGTATGGTAGTTAGTGGTGCTTCAACCACTGTGTTCCCGAGATGAGCATCAGTGGTATGGGTTATGGTATTGATCCAGTGTTCCCGAGATGAACATCAATGGTATGGGTTATGGTATTGATCCAGTGTTCCCGAGATGAACATCAATGGTATGGGTTATGGTATTGATCCAGTGTTCCCGAGATGAACATCAATGGTATGGGTTATGGTATTGATCCAGTGTTCCCGAGATGAACATCAATGGTATGGGTTATGGTATTGATCCAGTGTTCCCGAGATGAACATCAATGGTATGGGTTATGGTATTCATCCAATGTTCCTGAGATGAGCATCAGTGGTATGGGTTATGGTATTCATCCAATGTTCCTGAGATAAACAGCAATGCGATGGGTTATGGTATTCATCCAATGTTCCTGAGATAAACAGCAATGCGATGGGTTATGGTATTCATCCACTACACTTGTAGTTCAGTTGGCAAGTGGAATCTGCCTATTTACAAATCACTGAAATCACATTTAATAATTTTAATAATCATGTACCTCATATTTCTGTGCAAGCCTTTAAAAGACTCCTCCTCCTTCAGTAACTTTTACATTATATTTTACTGTACTCCAATAATATTTTAGACTGTCTATAATCCACATAAATAATCACAGCTACAGTACTTCTTGCCCTTACCTGGAGCATACCTGGAGAGGGTTTCAGGAATTATTCTCCTCCCTGAGCCCAGCCTGAGGCCAGTATTTATGAGCTATTAATATTCTCACTTGTTTCAACAGAGGTACATAGATCCACGTAATATCCATCATGCAGAGAAGGATGCGATTAATCTACTGAGCGCCGCAGACAACAATCAAGACGGCGTTCTCTCGCTAGTCGAGATTCTCGCCCAGAGAGAACTGTTTATGAGGAGCAAGATGGTAGATGCAGCTAAGAGTTTCCATGATGAATTCTGATTTGTTGTGTTGATCACAGTGGTACCTGCAATAATGGAGTTTATTGACATGTTAATATTTAATATAAATGTTTGTTTTATTGTATGCACCATATAAATATAGTACATCATGCTGTACTCATCTGTTAAATGCACTGTTTGTCAGTACAGTATGTACAGTATAGTCCTGAGTACTTACATAATTCATTAATGCATAGACTGAGATCATTCCATAGCTTGTAATACTTTTATATTTATTTTTGTTTTTGTAAATAATTTTATATTTTTATATTTATCTATATTAAGTGTTATTGTATTAATCAAGTTACTCATCAGGATCTACACACAGCGTGATTTTGACACATCTTTCTGAGAGGGGAACCCCCCCCCTCCCTCAGTGGCTCCCTGAGGTTATCTTTGGTTCCATCGAGCACAAACCTAATACACAAGGCCTCCGTGTCCCTTTCATCACCTACCGGGAGCCAGGACCAGAATCTGGTTCATTCTTAAGAGGGTATTGGAGATAAACCACAAGACTAGGGAAATTAGGCACCCCCTAGGTAAACAAAGTAAAGTATCGTTGTCGCTGGATAAGTGCCGAAAGTGTGATGTGTCTGACCACCGCAAGATGACAGGTTAGGTTACCCGAGGTCTCATCAAGCCTGCTCCCTCACTCTTCTTCCAGGTGTCTGATGCTGGGCTCATCACCTGCTTTCATTTGCAGCCAAGTAGTGTTAGCTTTCCTCTAATTATTATGTACTGCCAGGGGGCCATTGCTTTATTTGGTTTTGTTAATACAGTACTACTTCATTTTTGTGTTTATGCCTCTCATATTTTGTGTCCCTTTTATTGTGATCCCAGATCCGGGACCTCCTGTGTCATCTGTCATGATCCTGGTCGGGGACCCAAAATTTGTTCATGTGACCCCACTTGGCTCCTGACCTCATGCTAAGGCTGCAACTAAAGTCATCACTTCCCCCCCCCCCCCCCCGTGTCACCCAAAATTACAGGGACCCTAATAACTTCCCCAAGGACCGGCATAACCATTCATTGTCTCTGGAGGATGGTAGAGCGAGGGGTGCAATGAAGCCGTACCAACCCGTGATCAATACACACCAGACGCAGCCCTTGCTCCTATATGGTCAGGGTGTGCACTCCCTCACTCAGTGCCATGGAATAGACTTGTGCTCACCTGCTCCACCTAAATACAGCCATCAGTTAATTTGAAGAGACTAGGATACCCCTTAATTCTTTGACCCACTCCAACTTGGGTCTCCTCTACAATTATTGTCAACACCACAAGTTTGTGGTGTTGGCAAACCAGGTATATTCCTGGTTTGTCTCAAGCCTGTAGACTGGAGGTACCTCTGATATGTTGTTGTTGTTGTTTGAGGGGCGATGATGATCGAGAGATCTGGTGCACCTAGTGTCCCCTTTGTCCGACCGTCCAACCACTTGGACGGTCGGGGATTGAACACCGACCTGCAGGAAATGAGACTCTGGGCCTGGTTGAAGAGAGAGATGGGTCTTTGAGCACTGGTGTGTTGGGTTCAGGTTTGGTGGGACCAAAGATAGGTTTAAAGAGCCACCAGAAAAAGTGTGTTCATTACATTCCATGCTTGATTTTTATGCATCTTTTTATACCACATCTATACTACATGTGTGTGTGTAAATTATGTTTCACTTTTATTTTATCCTAATTGTGACAACTTTCTGCACATATTTACATGAATTTTATGAATACATTTTCATATAGCTAGTCTTTCCTTCTCTCTTCCACACAACTGAATTATTTCAGTTTTAGAATTGACTTTTCACCAGCCAGTTATCTCAATATATTCTATGATTGTACTGTACTGAAAGTTAACTTTTCAAATGTATCCTAACTATGTATAGTATACTATCAATTGCTTATACTATACTAAGAGAGGTCTGCTGGAGTAGTTATTATTATTCTCTTGAGGAGCCAGACATTTTGGTTGGGATTAATAGAATTATATAACCAGTTTATTTTCTGCATGAAGCAGCTGATGTTTGTTAAGGTACTGAAAATAGAGTTATTAGCGTATTGCTTCCTTCCTCTTTCACCCAAAGAGAATTAAAGTTAAATGGTAGATCTGCCAAGAGCTTAAATATATACTATACCTGCCTCTGAATACTCTGATGTCTTGCAACTCATTTCATAATTTTTACGTAGACTTTAAGATCAAACATAATGTAAAGGAACCCTTACAGCCTTTAATAATTTCTTATACTGTAATTCCTTTTCTGTGGGGAGCCACGTAGGCTATGTGGCTCGCCTAGAAAATAGCGCTTCATTACATGCAACGCTGGTTTTTTAATGTCCCACAACATGGATGTTGCTAAATAGTCTTCCTGGCTTGGTACCTTCTTTTGATAATTACTTAATTTGATTCTGTTGCAAACAAAAAATTATTGTACAACTTTTTTCCCTTACAAAAAAAATTCTCTAACTAGTCTCAACATTCATGCTTCCCTCTAACATAATTATTTTTTATAATACCATGCATGTACTACAATTAAAACTACCCATGAGACCACATCTGTGTGGAGAATAAAATGATTCTTTCTCGTCGAAGTTTCTTTTCTTTGCTTGTACTCGCTGCTGCTGCTGCTGCTCTGTCAATTGGTGATCTGCTCTATTTTCTTAACCTTCACATTGTCCTCGCTATGATTGCCATTTTCCCATCATCTGGCTTTATTTACCATTTGCCTTGCTAGTGGTTTCGTCCTTTTTTGTTTCCTTATTTCAACACTTTTTCTTTCTCAATTGAATATACTTTACAAGAATGGTTTTCATTCTTTGGATGGTACTTTGGTAAAGTACCATACAGTTTATAGATGATTTATAATTTACAGAAAGATGTTAAGTAAATAAGACACTACTTCCATGCTTGGTGTATTATTTAGGTATTACTTCCATACCTTTCTTTATTTGTTAATCTTAGATACACAGCATTCTGCTGCTACTCTAGCCTATATGTGAGATTACAGTGTAGGCCTGAGTCAAGAGCTAGCTAGCTAGTGGTGCTTTTTGAGGCACCGTTTAGTACCTTGGAGCTTGGATTATGGGCCTCTGGTGTTCCCAGTTGTATGCTCTGATGCTTTGAGCTCCATACAAGGTAAAGCATACAATCTTATATAAAAAAAATGGAATACTATTAAATAAACACAGGAAAATTGATAGAAAATATGGGAACACCCTCACAATTAGACCAAGTAATTTTTTACCACAATCACAGCCAAAGGCTTCCCATCTCCGAAAGGAGCAAAATAGTGATGGTGGCAACCAGATAATCTTAGAGTTGCACATATACTTCCACAATGAATACGTATCAAAAGTACACGTTATATAATAATTGCAATACAGTACTTAATTAAACAATAAACTCCAGAGTTTACAATAATGTGGTCACTGTTGGAAAATTCATTACCTACAGTTATCTGCCATGAGTTACAATATCTTAGCCTAATTATTGCAATTACAATGTCATACAATCCGGTGGATGTATTAGCCTATTACTCTGTCCATGCATACAGATCAGAGTACTAAACATATAATTATAACTGTGATTTCTGCACTCTGAGTGTCAGTGATTGCTTTTCTGTTCTAGTTTCTTTGTGTCATTTTACAATAGAGATTAGAATACTTAGGCCTGGTTCAAATTCATGTTTGTTAAAAGCAATTTCAACTGCTTTGTCTGTATCATATTGAATAATATTTGTTACAAAGGAAATTTTGAAACCTCTACTTTGTACATCAATTAATATTATTTGTAATTGAAGTTGTAACATTCTTAGTATCTATTTTGCATGTTGGGCTTTCAAGAGCTTAAAGTCATGACAGAATCACAAAATTACTACTACTGTATTTTTCATTGTATTAGTGGTTAGTTATGGTGCAACTAATTCTTTAAGTGTGGAACAGACGATTGGTATTTACCTGGAAAATTGTCATAGTATTCAATATGAACATAAAACTTTTTTCTAGGGTGGATGATGAACATATTACCCACAAGGCCAAGATATCAGACATAGATAGGAATTTTAACTTGTTTCAGAGAAAAATTACAATATTTATTTTCTTTTTCCTACCCATACATTAATTAAAGCCTGTGATTTTCGATTATGACATTTGATTTTACATTCTAATATAAAAAAATTATTTAGTGGCTAAATATTATAAATTTCTAATGATCGACTAATATTCAGTATATATTAAATGTACTATACAATACAGTACTATATTGAAAACTACTTAAAAAATGTATCATGCAAAATTACCTTTGTGTGGGAAGCAGTCCTAAGACAATCTATTATCAGTATGAGGTTTTTGCTAATGTATCTTCCCGAGGTCTGTATAAAATAAGAGAGAAATAGGACCTATATGACCGAATCATCTTTGCAATACCACCAGTAGAAAATACAGAGCTGAACAGAATTGCTAATTGACTAGGTACAAGGCTGGATCAATATCAATTTGGGAAGAGTTTCTGATGAAGATAAAATCCTCACTTAGGCTGTGTGCAAGTGTGAAGCCCTTAGACTGTACTAGTTGGATGAAAGCAGCCCTGTCTGCATCGCCTTTCTTCTTTCTTTCCACTGCCAACATCTGCCACATGACAAGTTAACTTAATCCACCATACAGGAAATGTAGTTAAATGTTCTTGATACAGTATTTTGTTACATGACAATCGTGTGCATTGTGTGTCATGAGTGTGCTGGTAAGGGCACACCAGTACAGCACAGTATATACATATATAAAAGTGTGGCATTGGAAAATATTTAGCCCTGGATCTTGGCCTGACATACATATTATATCAAGAAAAGGAGTATTGTAGTATTAAAAGATGAATCATAATTGACTGAATATAACAAGTGGGATTCCTTGAGATTTGGTCTGGCCTCTCTTTATAATCAATAGTATACAGTACAGTACAGGTATTCAAGAATATGGCAGTAGGATTGTAAAGCCAGAATTTGAAACTTATAATGTACAGAATTGAGAGAATAAGCTGTATCAAATTAATCTGGAAAAAATCCTTAGGAATATTTAGGGGGAGGGGGGGGGGGACTTTGACAAGCTGACTTCCTGTTTCTGTCGAGTAAATTCTGTCGGGTAAATTCAGGTATGTATTAAGACAACTGAATAAATATACAGGAGAATTTGGAACATATACTGTATTTAAATGCAGAAATCTAAAATAGTGTGCAAAATTATACAGTAATGAACTTAAGTAACATGAATATGGAAAATTAATACATTAAAGAAACTGCAAAATCGAGAAAGGAGATGGATTTTGAAGGAATCATTAGGAATGACCTCATCTTATTAATACAGTATATAATATATATATGGTATACAAATGACCAGATTAATGATTGATTAGCATGTACGGTATTTATATATTTTATAAAGCCACTAAATGTGACATTTGACAAATTATATTACTAAGAATATGCTTATCTTGCAAATTAGTCAATTAACAAAACTTTAGAATGTCAAATTTACAATTAGATTATCATATAAAAGTAAAAGGAAGGTAGATTATCATGGGTTACCACATTCTTACATCAGCTGTGTCAAGTTATGAAACGTCCACATTGCTACTCACATTGACAGTTATCTGGTCAAAGGGGAAGAGTTCAATAACGCCCCACTCAGCCCCCTCTACATCCAGAACGAAGAGGTCCACATGTGAGATATGGAGTGCCCGCAGAAGTGTCACAAGTGGGATGCAGTGAACAGTCATCACGTTGCCTGTCTCCCGCAATTCAGGCTGACAACACACCATACCAAATCATTTGACAATAATACTGCATCTACCATCTGCCTAATACAAGATACCTAAATATCTTTTTTATATTTCTCCACAAAGCAATACAGTAACTATCTTTTACAGGCCTTGAATTGGCAGTTTCTCTTCACAACTACATTTATCAATAAATCCTTAATTTTGCTATTGCAGTCTGTTCAGTTCCTATATCCAGTTAATCCACATAAAACTGTTATAATTGCTGAACATCAGCCAGCATGTAACATGTACAAAATAATATCAAGCTCAAATAGTTTTACCAAATTTTAAGTGTTAGAGGTAAAACAATAAATATAGGTCTATCCTGTTTATGAATCATTAAACTTATTGCAATAAATTGTATATATAATTAAGATATCTCATTATTGCTGCTATGATGGCATCAGTGATCCTGAATGACATGTTGAGATAATTCTATATTTAACATTTAACTTCTAGAAATAACTCATCATCTAATAGAACAAAATTACATATACTAACACTAGTTTTGTCAAGGAGCTGACTAGAGACGGCACTGAAGGCAACACTCTGCTTGAAGTAGTCGGGACTTAACCAAAAGCTTGTCTGTAATATAGATACTTAATGACAATGAACCACTGCAACTTCAAGATCATGACAATACAAGGTCAAAGGAATTAATTGCTGTAAGGGGAAATAAATGTCCTAATGAAATGTGTTATTATTTTTGTTTGACACAATATAACATTGTTATTTGCAATATTATTTTGTTATAACTATATAACCATTATTTGTATTGTTATTTGCAATAACAAATAAATTTGTTATTTGCTCAATTATTTGAGTTTAAATAAGATAGGTAATGCTTACAATACTTATCGGAGCTACTAATTGATTTTCATCGTAATTCTACTCACACTCCAAATTGTGCTTTTCAAGGTGTGTATGAATAGTAAATAAGATGTGTGCCGGGAATATGAACCTGGGTGATATGAATATGAACCTCTTGAAATTGCAAAAAATTAAAAAAATTACATGACTTGGTGGTTCACATTGGCTGGATAACATCAGCAGTGTGTGTAAGATAGGGCACTAAAAAGACTATGCCTCCTAATGTTTGAGAAATGAAATAATTTAGAAATCATAAATGAAATCTGTTTACATCGTATACGTCAGAGGAATTCTGAAATATCTGAGATCGCCATGGAGTCCAAGTCATCTTCAGAAGGGTGAAGGGTAATAAAACCCTTCTGAAGATGTATTATTAAATACGAAAGTACTTAAGGAAATTCCTGCTTCAATTCTTCCTTCGCGGTCTGACACTTGCTATATAATATATATATATATATATATATATATATATATATATATATATATATATATATATATATATATATATATACTGTATATATATATATATATATATATATATATATATATATATATATATATATATATATATATATACTGTATATATATATATATATATATATATAGGGGGGTACCACCACTGGTGTAATTATAGGGACCCACAGCCTCAGAGAAGGGAACACAGAGCACTCAGGGAAAAACTTGACATTTAACTCTGAATGCGAAAGAGTGTTCACTTCTCCTACCACCCCCTTTTTTTTTTTATTATGATGTACACTTTATTATGCAAGGTTATACAGTTACATATCTGATTTCATACAAAAAATGAACATTAAGAGGACACAAGAAAAAGTTCGCTTCCTAGAGGCTGTAGATTTCCTCGAACTCCTCCGACGCCGGGCAGGAACCGAGGATGCAGCGGGCATTTCCCCTCTGGATCGCGACACTGAGGCGCTGAAAGAGAAAACTTGCTGCTCTAGGGTCTCTTGTGGTGTCAATGAGCTTGGAACCAAGATCCTTAAGAAACCTTCTTGCACTCTCACCCCATGGGCCTAGGGTCTCAGACCCTATTGGAACGAAATTGTACCTTTGATCTAATTGCCTGTACTTGACTGACTTTTGTTTTTCTCTGTGTGTCGCTGCGGCTCCTGCCGTGCCGGCAGAGAGGGTGATGTATGTCGTTGCCAGGGTGGATACGCAAGTATAGTCCCATGCTAACTGCCTGCCACCCTTCCACGGACGCAGTGTGATTCCGTCTGGTCGGCCGGCAAAGCTAACAGAGTCACGGTTCAGTAGGTTGCGGGGCTCTCTCTCCGCTGGACACTGAGCAGAGGCAAGGCTTCTTTTAATGATGTCGTTGACTTCGTCGTGTCTAGTGTGCCAACCACCCGATTTTCCACAGTGCAGGCCATGCAATCCATATTCGTCAGCATCTGCCTCGCCGCAAATACACCTGTGAACAGTGTGGATAGGGGCAGCAAGGCGCAGAGCGACTGCAATACGGAGCTCCTGCGGATCAAGACGTGTGCCTGTCGCAGACATAGGGACTGCCAGAAGGAAGTCCCCTGCATGGGGAGCCTGCACAGCTGTGAGGCGTGCACGATCACTGGGGGTTGTTGCTGCCTCCAGCAAAGCTGTGGCTTCTTTGTCTACAATGGGGCTGTCCCAACTGGATTGTTTCTTGGCTTTCGGCATGGCTGGTCTGAGTGCTGGGTCTGTCATGGCACCCCATTTCGTGTCACATTCCGTGTAGTGGGGGTCCTGTATCCCCGCTACATCACTCAGGGTGTCAGGTAGAATTTCCTTAACCAGGTCATCTGATGCTGAGGAGGAAGACAGGAAGGCTGGGACTGCAATTTGGGTGGCGGTGCGGACACCCAAGCCACCGAGCCTGACAGGAAGAGTGGCTTGTTTCCACTGGCATTCGTTGAGAGAGAGGTTAACAACTTTTTCCAGCATGGTCTTCAGTAGGAGGTCATACTCGTCAAGCTTTGGGTTGTTGTAAGATGGGGCGCACCTCAGAAAGTAGGTTAGCCTCGGAAGGGATAGGCATTTGGTGAGGAGATAAAAAGCATCGTGGGCATCGATGTCACCTATTCTGTCTTCCATCCTCCTAAGGTCTGCGATTTTCTTGTCGAGGATCTCCTCAATGGCGTTAGACCCGAGGGGAGCTCCAAGGAGGGTGCTGTTCTCGGCCCTAATGACATGGGCTCCAGGCAAGGCAGACCTTATTCTAGCTACGATGTCTGGGTTGGAGGAGACTACTTCACACTTGGAAGGGTTCAGGACGAGACCCAGGCTTACTTCTTGCTCCCTTATTTTCCTGATATCTGACAAGAGGTGGTCTACGGTGCCAGCTATAGTGCCATCATCCAAAAACCAGATGTTGAACTCGCTGGACAAGCTTTCGGTGATTTCTTTTAAGACTAAGCAGAAAAGAAGGGGAGCAAGAGGATCACCTTGCTGAACACCTTCACATGATCTGATTTCATGTTCACCAAAGAGCAGTTTTGACTCGCCACTGTAGCACGATAGTATGAACGGGTAGAGGGGCCGGAAATGGCGATGTACGGCACAAAGTACTGCATCTCTTCTTACCATGTTGAAGGCATTCTTAAAGTCCAGTTTGAGCAGGGCCTTTTCATCAGAAATGTTTGTGATGTATGCTCGTGCTGCATGGGCAGCCGCTTCACAGCCTTGGGGGATTCCAAATCCTAGCTGGATTGGTTTCAGCAATTCAGCCGCTTGCTGGCTGACAACCCTCGTAGCAGCCTTGGCAATCAGGCGTCGGAGAGTGTTGCCAACAGCGATTGGCCTGATTCCTTCGTCCTTCTTTTTGAGAGCACAGAGGGAGGCACCAAAAAAGAGAGGCCTGATGACCTCAGGTATCTCACCAGCCAGACACATGTTGACGAACCTTGTGAGTTCCATAAGAAGATCTTGTGCAGCATCACCAACCGCAGGATTTAACATTTGCTTGATATGTTGAGGTTTTAACCCTGTAAAGCCGCCTGCTGACCCAGGTGGAAAAGAAAGGGCTGCTTTGTAGACCTCAGATTCACCAACTGTTAATGGGTCTGAAATGGTGTCGGCTGATGGCGGAACGATGTTGTCGCCTTGAGGGGCTCTGGGTGGGTGCTTGCTTTGCAGGGCCCGTGCTGTGGCTGAGTTTCGAGGAGCAATTTTCTCGTCACTGGTGAGGACTCTAATAGCACTTGCGGTATTTCCCTCTTCAATTTTCTTGGTGATTTGTGCTCTGATTTTGTACGTTTCCTGTATGTTGTTGTTACCATTTCTGCGGTGGGTGTGTTTTGCTCGGAGAGGCAGGCGAACTAGGTTGTCCCCCCTTGGGTATTCATTTATCGCCCTCAGGATATATATATATATATATATATATATATATATATATATATATATATATATATATATATATATATATATATATATATATAAATGAGATTTTGATATATATGAGATATATATAAAAAAAGTAGATTTCATTTAAAGCTAATAAATTCCACGTAAATCTCAATTATAAATAGGTAAATTAGAGTGAGTTACGTTAAGTAAAAGCAATGTCTAATGGGTGACCTGGTGGGGATAAGGTTTCTCGGAGAGGCAGAACCTGGCGGCGTGGGCCTTGCGGTGTTTGTCTAGGAGCTGCTGGAATATGTCCGGTCTGGGCTCCACCAGGAGACCCTGCCACCCCTGGTTCTGCTCCAGCGTCAGCGTCGCCGACAGTATCACTCCGTCCAGCGCCCCAGCTTCCACGAAGAACCCGCCTTCCTGGACATAAGTGAATAGATTTAGCTATGCAGAGAGTAAGTCAGAATAACGTGGTTGAAAAGTATACACCCCGCAATGCAATTTTTCAGATGTGTGGGTTGGGTGTCTTAGATTCGGTTTATGCATTTTGTAACTAGCTCATCAAGATTGTAGTTTGCTTAGCTAAATGAATTGTGGGGTTCAGTCCCTGAGCCCATTATGTGCATCTGTAACCCTTTCTACTACCGCCCACAAGATGGGTATGGGGTGCATAATAAATGAACTATACACTATCTTGAGATAATTTCGGGGCTTAGCGTCCCCGCGGCCCGGTCCTCAACCAGGCCTCCTTTTTGTTACACTTCCCCAGGAAGCAGCCCGTAGCAGCTGTCTAACTCCCACGTACCTATTTACTGCTAGGTAACAGGGGCATCAGGGTGAAAGAAACTGCCCATAGTGTCCCGCCGGTGCCGGGTATCGAGCCGCGGTCCACAGGACTACGTATCCAGTGTGTTGTCCACTCAGCCACCGGTACCCACTGTGGCTCGCTGAGCTTGAAACCATTGTTCCTTGTCTGTGTTACATCTTGGCCTTGGAGTCAAAATCCACAACTCATTAACAGTTGAACAACAGGTAGGTGCGGCAGTCAGAAAGGCTAACCAAACTCTTGGGATAATCAAACGTACTTTTGACTATAAGTAGAGGAAGGTAATGGTTCAACTATAAATCTCTGGTGCGCTCCTATTTGGATTACTGTATCCAAAGATGGAGACCTCATTTTCAGAAGGACATAGCTGCTCTGGAAAAGGTACAACAGACCACAGGGCTAACAGGCATAGCAGGGCAAATGTCATCAACACGTTCAAAATACAGAACAATTTAGAGGATGTTGATCCAGACAACTTCTTCAAAAGGTCAGATGTAACACAAACAAGGAACAACGGTTTCAAGCTCAACAAGCCACAATGTAAGACTGAAAACAGGAGATGCTTTTTCACCCACAGGGTTATAAACCCATGGAACCCCCTACCCGACGAAGCCATAAATGCCAAAACATTACTGCAATTTAAAATCCAGTCAGGGAAAAAAATCTCACGAAAAATTTGAGAACCTTTGAAAAGCCACCGGCTTCCTGTTTCCTTCATAACCACTAGATAGATGGTGGCCCTCGGGTAAATTCAGGTAAAATTTCTCAGTGCTGGCTATCCTGATCTCGGGTAGAGGTATACTACATATTGTATATCTACATATTGAGGTATATCTACATATTGTACACCTAAATATTGACACCAAAACACACAACTCTTCACAACACTATAAAATGTTACTGCATAAATGAATGTAACAATAAGCATGCTAATATTTTTTACACCTTTCTAACACTATTGAGGAACTAAATACCTTTTTGCCGAAGTATCTGTTGATGGCCTTGACGTAGAACTTCCAGACGCCGGAGTCCTCCCAGCCTCCGACGTTGTGGTCAGTGATGTTGTAGGGAAGAGTAGAGGGAGGAAACACACGCCCGCCGCCTCCTTCTGCCACCCACTGCAGCAGTCTCCTGTCTGTAGCCTCCAGGGGCCCCTCCAGCAGCGCCTCCACCACACCTTTGTGTCATTATCAATAAAACTGAGGGGAAGCTAGCTAAAACTTACGGGCTCACCATAGCCCGTGCTACATGGACACTTCGTTCTGAGTAGTTAAATCTAAAACAACAACATAGCTAAAACATTAGCAATATGAGGGAAAGTTTCTTTGCCTATACATAGACAATTAAGATACTGAACTTCAGCTTCCACATATAACATAGAGGCAAAAAAAGTCTCAAAAACTATCGGTATACTTTCTAAAATCAGATATTAAGCTCCCCACTCTGCTCTCATCTCATTATGCTACGCGCTAATCTATCCCTATCTTACGTATGTTATCTGGGCATGGGGTTCAACCACTGCAAATTACCTCAAGCCTATCATCACTCGGCAAAAATCTACTATCAGAACTATAACAGTGTCTTCAGACAACACACAGCCCCTCTATTTAAGGCCCTTAACATACTAAACATACACTCGATCACTCCACGCACACTCATGTGCTATCTACATGTACAAAACCTTGTTTCTAAATGCTAATCTTGATCTGAAACTTTTCCTTGATAGGTGTAATAGAACCCATGAACACCAAACAAGAAATAAATTTGCAGAAATTTAATAAGAATTAACACCTGCGGAAATTTATGATAATGATGAGAAAATCAGTAGGGGCCACAATACTAGTAAGAATGGGAGAAACTCAGTATGAATCAGACGTGATTCATACGTCAGGCTGCGAGCAGCCGCGTCCAACAGCCTGGTTGACCAGTCCATTAACCAGGAGGCCTGGTCAGAGACCGGGCCGCGGGGACCTTGACCCCTGAAATCACCGCAAGGTAAGGGCCGTGAGGAAGATGAGCCCACATACTTGTTAATTCCATGCCCCACTGATTTTCTCATAGCCCGAAACCCTTTGAAACGCTTTGCGTAATAATGGCTTTAGGCATTGTATGTACTAGCTCTATCTATAAATCCATCAATCTTTGTAAAATCTCTTGTATGTGTGTACCTTACCTAAATAAACATTTATTTATTTATTAGCTGCACCACGATGACCGAAGTCGTTGTGCAATAATAAGCTTGCATACTATAATTGGTAAGCTAAATACAGTAATCAGGGTTACAGAGAGTCAATCTACCACCTACAGGTGGTAGATTTTTGGAGTGAATGTGGTCTTTGGAAAAAGATAAGCTCTTGAAGTGTCTGTGGGTGCTTAACCCGGGCTGACCTTTAAGTACTCCTAGCAGTTGCATAGACACGCACAACACACTAGTTGTGCGTGTCTATGCAACTAGAGACTTGCACAGTTACCACACCTATTAATTAATATATTAGCTACGTTAAATGCACTACTTGCCTAAACACGCAAGAGAAGTTATACAACTTTAGAACACTTTCCCACCAGGAGATTCGAACCCTAGTCAGCACAGAAGCCTTACAGCAACTGGCATAACTGGTACACCTTTAACCCACTGCACCAAACTCAGACCCTTAAAGAGATGGTAATTTCGGGGTATTTAAACCCCCCAAAGATCACCACCTCCCAAGGGCAACGTTAGATTGAGTACTCACTAGTGTGGCTGTTGGTAAAAGTGGGGAGTGAGTTTGTAGCATTACAGGAAGGAGCTGGACCGCCCTCAGCCTCCTCCAGCACCACACACTGGGGAGCTTCAAGACGCGGGGACAAGAGGTGCATCACGGTGGCCAGCGTCAGCCCCGTCAGCCACGTCGTCAGCACCCTGGACTGCTGCCGCTCCGTCAAGAACGCCCGCACCATGCTGATGGAAATGGACGGACGGACGTCTTGTCAGTACAAGATATTCATCTGTTACGCTTGCCATATTAACGGACGATGAGTCACAATAATATGGCTGAAGAAATGATTCCCAAACCCCACGCCAGAAGATGGAGAAGCGACGACGTTTCGGTCCGTCCGGGGTTTAGTATCACTACTACCTTATTCACTTTTGTGTTGATGATGATATCCTCATACTACATCAAAAGTCTGCCAGTGCAGACAATTTATCACATGCCTCTTACCATCATGTGTGATGGGGATTTTTAGCACCATGTAGCTAGTTTTTTTTTATACACTGTACTCCCCTTCATATAGACTAAGGGTAGCTGCACAAATGTAGATGTTCTGAGTAGCTAAATCGAAAACAATCAGGATAAGGATTTGGGATGGGACGGGGGGGGGGGAAGGAACGGTGCCCAATCACTTGGACCCCATACCCATCCCATGGGCAGTAATGCACCCCATACCCATCCCATGGGCGGTAATGCACCCCATACCCATCCCATGGGCGGTAATGCACCCCATACCCATCCCATGGGCGGTAATGCACCCCATACCCATCCCATGGGCGGTAATGCACCCCATACCCATCCCATGGGCGGTAATGCACCCCATACCCATCCCATGGTCGGTAGTGAAAATGAAAGGAATGCGTCAGAAAAATGTCCCAATAATCCTGTAATGCCACACAGATACGAAGGATAAGTTTTCATACCTGTATATATGGGTGGTGGAGGCGGACACAACACTAGAGATGTAACCAGCTCCTCGGTGTGAATACACTGACAGTTTATTTTAGTCATGGACTACCTTCAGGACTAAAGTATACTAACTGGCTGGTCAGTATAAGCTTTTACGGTTGCCCTCCCGCAGTTATCAGACCTTAAGGTAAACCCGAAATCAGCGGTAAACCGTAAATGACAGACGAGGTAAAAGCACTGAATATAGGATCCCAGCGCCAGCCGGCCGCCTCTATAGTAATTCTTGCTCTTACACTGTACATATTACCTGAAATCTAGACAGAAAATTATACTCTTTCATTCTATAACTTGATCACAGGTGGGAAAAATGGGAGAGACATCGCTGCGATGCCTTGAGCTAATTTTCCAATATAAGAGATTGCCTGGAGGACTGCCCCGCCACGACACAGGAAAACTGACCTGGTAATTCTTATTAACCTTTGTCCAGCTTTATTAATTTCCTGTGTTGCATCTTTATCATGCCTTCATGATATGTAGGTCTAAATTGATAAATAATCCTAAATGGAGTTTACTATACTAATTATTATCATTCTACAAAACAATTAATATATCAATACTTTAAGAGCGAATATGTATGTATGTTCGAGTGCATCTATTTGTGCAAAATTGGAGGCCAGATCCAACTTTGCAGGGGGAATGATCTGAGGTAAGGGAAGGATATAGGCTGGTCGGGTAGGCCTAAGTGCTTTAAGACATTATGATTTATAGACCCCCCCCCATGCTATTTTTCAGCACATCCTCTTAAAATTAAAATAATTATAGTAAGTATTTGGTGGAAAGTACCACTGTGTAGTGATGGTTCACCAGAAAGTTGACTTTTATATTATTGAAATTGGACAAACCGGAAACTTTTTAACCGCAACATAAGACCTAACCTCTCCTAGCAAGCCTAGGTCTAATACATACTCTCTTAGGCTTAATATAGAACATGTATATGTATACTTGGCCTAGAAATGTTAAAGCCTTGAGCGAGGCCGCAGGAGAAGGGTTAAGAGTGAGTGAGACCGGTGGTAGAGAGCTAGAGAGCTCAAACGAGAGCGGGAGAAAAAAGCTCTAGTACAGCAGTGAGAGCAGAGAGCTCAAGGCCGGGGTTAGCCATATCGTCCTCCATGAGAGATGGAACTAGCTAACACTGTTGTGTTTTGGACCGTGTCATGTCTGTGTAGGTGACTGGTGCGCAGTTTGCTGTTCTCTTGGCAGGTTGATGGGCATTTGGATGGGAACTTCCTGCATAGTTACTTTTTGCTCTCCAAATCTTCGTGGAAACCTTGAGGGAACATTTATTACTGTAATTTGAATTTGACATAATTTGAAATGCAACATTTATTTATTTATTTATTTATTTATGCATATACAAGAATGTACATAAGGAATGTGAGGATACAATTATGGTAATTACAGTCTTGTAAAGCCACTAGCACGCGCAGCGTTTCGGGCAGGTCCTTAATCTAAGAAAATTTTAAGGAGGTAAATACTTGCAAAATTTATAGACAAAAAAATTTAGTAGCCATTGTTATTATTACATTGTATATTATTACATTAAATATTATTACATTCAATTAATGTTAACTTTAATTAAATTATAATGTTGAAATTTTCATATAAAATTGAAAAAACTTTGTATTCCCTATTATGGCGTTGTTGTTAAAAAAAAAACAAGTCTTAATTTAGAAACAATAGAGTAGTTTCCGCTCTATTGGTAAAGATTATTCAGAATATAACGCTCAAAAATAGGAAAGTTTCGTCTGACTCCAAAAAACGGCTAACGTTCATTTATTAATTATATAGAGCGTGTTGTTCGTGTTGAAATAATAATTGCGTGTATACTTGGTGGAACACAAAGACGGTGTATAGTTGATGGCTATATCGTATAAGATAGTAATATATAGGTGTAGAAGCTTGAGTGATGTGAGTGACAGGAGCAGCCTTGAGCGATCACAGAGACACTCAAGGTGCTCGTAAAAGGAGCACAGATACCGTCGTTTGACTTATTGTTAAAATTGGATATAATATATAATATGTATATATATAGAGAGAGATAGTTAGGTTAGGATGAATTAGGTTAAATTAGATGGAATGGTATGTAAGTTTTAATACATGTTTTAGTAAATGAAAACGTTGGCAAAGTGAACGTGTTGAGGAAGTTTGTTGTTGTTGTCAGTTAACAGCTGTTGGAGGGAGGCCGTGCTCCTGGGTGGTGCCTGTATCAGTGCCTGTCTCGGTGCCTGTCTCGGACCTGCCTGGACTCGGAATATATCATTAAGGTGAGATCTGAAGCGTTGGTAATGTACAAAGTTTGGTGTTGAGGGTTCCCGTGTGGGTGAGTGTGGAGGAACATCTGGTGCTGTATTTCCTCGGGGCTGCTGGTCAATACAGCTGTAGTGGGTCTGATGTGATGTATAAATAAGATCTCTTGAAGCGTTGTAGATCATCCCAGTGAACAGAGGCATCAGGTGAAAGCAAATGTGCCAAACTACTGCAGTTAATAGGGTTAAAAAAAATAAGTCCCCCTAATCCAAATCTCGATAACTCGAGATTTTAGAAAATATTATTTCGATGATTCCTCCCCAAAAAACAAAACAAAAATTGTATTTGTTGGTTTAAGTACAAAAAAATTGCACTAAATGGTAAATTGAGGTAAATTTTTAACATAGCCATGTTAATATGATGGTACATGTATCTGTAGACGTTGCATAGCTACTCAAATGCAATCATGAGAATTTATCATTGTTATGCATACAGCATTTCTCATGGTAATTATCAAATCTCCTAGATTTGCTTGATTGGCTGTGCATGTTAATATGGTTGTATAAATGGTTTTTAGCTGGATACATTTTGATGGCTCAGCTTTAATATTTTTATCTTTCCACAGATCAATCGATGCACTATAGAAGATGGCGTGCATTAAGCTGTCGAGAAAAATTACTGGCCCAGCTACCGTTATCGGTGGCATCCTCATACACCTCACTCTGGGCAACTTGTACAGCTTTGGTAATATCTTCTGGCTACTTAATTAGTGTTTCAGGTTTTATTTTTAATTTGCTGTGTGAAAATAAGTTAGGTGTATTTGAGTTTGATAAATTGGAGGATTTAAGGTACAGTGCAATAAAATGCTTCATAAAAAAAATGCATTTTGCATTACAGGTGGGATACCAGCTATATTTTGAAGGCCAGTATTAGGACAGTGTTACCAATATACCTTGCATATGTACTTTTAATTATGCTACAGCTTCAACTGTTTTTAAGTGTTTTGCAGCTTCAAAGAAATAATGACTCAAATTAAATTCCAGAATTCTGTAATGTAATAAATTCTTGTTGCATTCATTATGCCCATCTTGCACTTAAATATACAATGATCGTATTAAACCATGTTTCTTTTCAGGTAACATGATGACATATATGGTGTCATATATGCATGGAAGAGTTGATCACAGTATAGATTATGGAAACTTTATATGGGTGAACTCCATCACCACTGCCGCTCAGGGCCTGTTCATGGTGTTTGGTGGCCTCCTGGAGAAAAGAATAGGACCTAAGTTGACCTGCTTTATTGGCTGTACTCTAGTCAGGTATATTTTTATGCATTCCAGATTATTTTTAAATTGCTGATCATTCATTCATAATATTTTATCATTGTCCAGTTTCCTCACTTTAGCAAGTTACCTACACCCAGATAATGATGTTTCAGTAAACATAATCCTTCCACTTGCATTCTACTGTAGTTGAAAAGGGCAGTGAACATGTAGATTGATGAAGTTGTCTGCTTGCTTGTTTTGTGTGTAAGTATTTTAAGGTGCTGTACTACCTGGACACAAAATATAAAATATACAAAATTGCCACTTGCATCAGTATTAAGTTGCTGTTGAGTAGCTTCGGAGTGTGCTCTTGTGTTGTTTAAAGCATATCATACTTTTTAAATATTTCCAATGGGTTGTTTGTGTGTGTTAATTACCCAGTGAAATGATGAGGTTCTTGCAAAGATTTTGTCTAAAGCTTCATGGTCTGTGTACTCTCTTGCCTATGTTGGCACATTTTAGTTTTGCAGCACTGCTTCTCTCCCCTCGTCTTATTTTGGCTTACTTGATGTATTCATTGTAGAAAAGTTCTTACAATATTTTCTTTTTTTATATAATTACTTGGAAGGGTACAAGTCTCTTTTCTCCCTTCCCCTCTCGCCCAATCTCCCTCCACTCTGGCATACCTCACCTCTTGTCTCTCCCCTCTTCCCATTACATTTACTCCCTTCACCACCTTCCCTACTCCTTCAAACTTTCCCTTCTTCCCTGTAACCATTTTTACTAAATACTTAGATTAAGGAATGCATCCTAACTAACATATAATATGCTAGATGAATCTTGGTGATAATGGAATTTTTATTTAAAAAGATTGGAAATTAGTGTACAGTAATTTTGCCCTTTCCTACAAAGGGGAACAAAGCTCGACCCCCGACCACCTTGTGTACAGTACTGCCTGTAACCCAGACTGTTAACCCTGTGAATTTTCGTGAGACTAGCCCCAAGCATCTGGCTGCCTACTTTGGACACACACTATAAATGTAGATTTATAGATGTCTTGACATTTCAGGTTTAAAATGTGTCACGTTACTATGAAGTTTCAATTTTGCCCCAAAGGGCACAAAATTTGCAAAATCTTAACTGCACTCGGCATAGTTCAGTACAGTACTTTATTTCTGGGCAAGCTACCTCGGTAGCTTCCTCCCATGCAGTACAGCAAAAGGTCTGTTGTACAAAACTAGCAGTAATAATAATAATAAACAATAATAGTGTAGTATGCAACAATAGAGGACTATTTTGTAGCACAATTTTACCATAAGTTTCATTTAGTAACCAGTAATATACATTACACATTATTTATATTAAACACACACTGCATGCTCATCTGTTTACTTGAGCAAAGAGAACAGAGTACTTGGCTTCCTTCTCAGTTCACCCACTTACACTCTTACATCATCTACCCAAACAGACGTAACATTTTTTTATAAAGGTCTTCCTGTAGCATACAATTTTATCTTATTTGGAACTGTTACCCTATTTTCCCATGTTGTTCAGTTAATATAGCATGTTTCTGCTTAGCAGGCCATTTCCCAGGAACATAACTAACATTATGCAAGAGTCAACTGTATAGAAGGTTGTGTGTACAATTCGGCTGCAGATGCAAAAACCACACCTGCTCCACCAAGGGACAACAGTAGAATGTTTCTAGGCATCTCTTTGTCAAGGCCACAAGAAATGCTGCCTTCCTGTGATGGAGCAATGCAGGAAAAGAAAGTTTTGGAGACACGTCGCATGACCAGTGGAGTTAAAAGAAAAAAGTGCATAAAAGAAAACTGTACAAAACAATTGGGCTCTGAAAATCGAGATCTGTATTGACTCAACCAGCATAAAAATTAAGCAACCTCTGCTCCATTGGTGACCTGGAGTACTTTCATTGGACCTCCAAAATACACTCGGGAATCTGGAGTATGCTCCCAATGGTCTGGAAAACACTTCTGGAGATCCAAGACAGGCTCCCAGTGAATCCAGGTATACTTCCAGTAAACTGGAGTATGATCCAGTAAAACAGAAAACGCCTCAATTGAAACGGCACTCGCCCTCCAAAAGCGGGTGCATTTTGGTATCCAGAGAATTCTCTTGGTGATCCAGGATACTTTGTAATCCAGAGGATGTCCGAGAGATCCAGGGTACAATCTCAAACCTGCAAGGTTCCGATCCAGAGATGTGTAGTATCAGCCTGGATACTACATTTCTTGGTTCCATTTCCCTGTGAAATGGAACCACTTTCCAGAAAGGTTTATGAGTTACACATTTGTTACAAGTGTAACCCTGTACAAATTGAAAGCTTACTGTATGCATGTACTGTACTAATCTTTTTGAGTGTGCATGCATTTTTTGATAATATTAATACGTTTATAAATGAGTTGCTTTATTTAATGTACAATACCTGATTAGCTGCTTCACTTTCAGTGCAGGTATTATGCTGACGTATTATACGATTAACGTATCGCTGTTTACTGTTGTCCTGACATATGGGCTGCTGTCTGGACTAGGAATGGCCTTGTCTTATGTTACCCCTCTTGCTTGTGGCATGCAGGTAATGTTACATTTTCCAATAGTTTGGTATCTATCTTTGTATTTAGATGTGTATCTTTTGCATCTGTGTACATGTGTTTATTAGTGGCTTGTAGAAGCATTGCCACAAGCAACACTATACTTCTACCTTACCCTTTACCTTTAAAACCTGTTGCATTTCCATAGTATTTTTTCTTCATGTCCCCAATTTTCTTTCCTTCTTTTACCATGGATATATATTCTGTAGAGCAATAATTATCATGTAACGCTAGTCTCTCTTCACCTTAACACATTTATGGGAGATTCTTAATGAATTTCATAATTTGCACTCTTTTGTTCAAATTTTAATTTGCGCTTTTATTCAGAAATTACCTCGTGGCATTGTACGGTAGGAATAATATTGTTAATAATAACAAATTACTGTGTAAAGAAATGTCTGTAATTGATCTCTGTACTGTACTGGAGGTTTATTGCTGCAATGTCTGCCCTCCCTTTGATATGATGATTCCAAGCTAGTTCTGTCCAAATTGATATAATAATCTAATTGCTGAATATTCATTCCCTTGATATCTTGGAAGTGTTATAAAATAGTCTAAAGGCTATCTTGTTAAATTCACTTTCCTACTTTATTGTGTTTGGTTGTCATTCTTCTCAATAAAATAGTCTGAGTAATAACTTGATTCTATTTGACACTTGCTTTTTCAGTGGTATCCCGAACAAAAAGGCCTAATTAATGGTTTAATTGTAGCTGGCTTTGGACTTGGTGCTTTGGGCTCCACCAACCTCCAGACTCTTTATCTCAATCCACATAATACATCACCCGAGTCCAATGGGTAAGTAGATGGTGTTTCTCCCCATTTTTTTAATACAGAGGATCTTTGCTCAAATGGGTTGCAGTGGACTGAGACCTTTAGTTGGCTGGGAAAATTTTGGCTAATGGCCAAACTCTCGGTGAGCCAGACTATGGTGTCAACTCCATCAAGCTGTCTTGGGAAACCAGAAACTACCTAAATTTCAGATTTTTGTTAAATGTGTTTACTACTCTTGCCCTTAGTAAATGCTAATACAACAAGTAGTTAATTTGCAAAGTATTTCTTGATTACTGTAGCTTTTTCTATGATGGACGCAACCCTAATTGTAACTGGACAAATCCTGACCAGGTGCTTTTTTTTCTGTGATTGCTTGACAGGACCTCTCGGTATATGATAATTTTTAATTATATTTCTTTGGTTTTGTCATTTGTGAGCTGTAAAGATGTCTATCAGCATTAGTAGTAATGAAGGGGAAGAGAACATGTCTTAAATTGATTAAAAACAAATAAATTGGGAAAAGTGAACAAGCCTGGGACGTGCCAAGCTAGAGTGTACTAGTGGCAACAGTTCAAAGGGAGAAAAATGCTCAAGAAATCAAAGCATGATGAATTAGATTAGGCTGCTTGTAAATGATTTATGTAGCAGCATAGTGTGACGGTTTTGTAGTGATTGGTTTGTATTGAAGTGAGTACTGTATTACTGAACTCTTTTTATACTCGCATTCTTCTACACAGATGTGAAGAGCTTCAGAGAGGCACATCTTTTAGTATCCAGCAAAATTGCATTGGTAAAATAAGCTTTGTTGAGTTCATTTTTTACTTCCTTCTCAAGTGAATAATTCTCATCCTTCAATTCAAGTGAATACTTCTTAATGCTGGTGCGCCCCCCATTTGGATTACAGTATCCAAGTATGGAGACCTCATTTTCAGAAGGACATAGCTGCTCTGGGAAAGGTGCAACACCGGGCAACAAAAGTCATTCCAGAACTAGGTCATCTCCCGTATCAAGAATGCTTGAAGGCCACAGGGCTAACAACACTGTAAATCAGGCATGACAAAGTGGATCTGATTGAAACTTAAAATACTGAACAAGTTTAAGGATGCTCATCCAGATATTTTCTTTAGAAGGTCAGATGTAACACAAACAAGGAGTAACGGTTTAAAGTTCAACCAGCCACAATGTAGGACTGAGAACAGGACATACTTTTTCACCCACAGGGTTGAAATACTGACCCCACCCATGATGCAATCCCACAACAAGCTGTCTTAACTCCTGAGTACTGTACCTACTTACTGCTAGGTGAAAGGAAATGTACCCAACTCTTTCTGTCCCGCCCAGGATTTGAACCCGGAATTCTTGATTATGCATAGAGAATGAACCCGACTCTACTGCTGGGACCCATATACATACATGTATATGTAAATATGTGTCGGTGTTTCCTTGGATAATAATAGCACTGAAGCATAGTAGTTTGATGCAAGTTCTTGACTCCAAAGGTATTTGCAGATAGACATATTGGGATAATGGTTTATTGTCTCATTAACCTCATCGTCTTCTCTTATTCCTCGTTCTTTTTATTTTACTTCCTCCTCCTTTTAGTCTGCCTTTTACTTGTGGATGGAAGTGACATTTAGAGATTGAGAATTACTGCACAACTTTAAATGTAAGTAGTATTCGCATCATGGAAAAGATCATCTGGCCAAATTGGAGGGGACCTTTGACAAGCCGCTAGCTTTTTGTCATCATTGAGGCCACTAGTATTAGTGGCCCTCAGGTAAATGTGTCCCACTCAGTTGGGTGGCCAAGAACGGCATACTGGATGTAGGTAAGAAATCTTGTATAGATGTAGGTAGATCAATAAGATATAAACTTGTTGCATATGACACACTTTTGCAGGTACTTTGTTGACCCTGGTATACTTGATAAAGTTCCGTCCGTTTTCATCGTGCTGGGATTAACGTTTCTTGCCATGCAGTATATTGGTTGTCTGCTTATTAGAAGACCTGTGGTTGCTGAAGGGCAGGTTAGTTTTTGTTAACTTTGTTATGTATTTTCGGTGAATATTCACTCGCCTTTTGAGCATTTTCAAACCAACCCTCTTTTATTCTTTTACATTATATTTGGCAAGGTAAAAGGTAATGTGTATTCTTTTACTATCATAGTAAAATCTGCAATTATTCCTCCATTATGTAACTACTGTAATTCAAACTTTATTTAATTATTGTAGTTGTAAAGTACAGTACCTTTGTTTTTCATACATATTTATATTTGTTCAAGACTAGTGCAAAGAGAAGATAATGCAAAGCATTGTGTGTGCATTTATTGAACTGCAATATTCTGCAATTGCCAGAGGTATAGTGATCTCCTGTGCAATGATCTGGATCACTGTCAAGTACAGTATCCAAATTTATGGCATCAATGCAATAGGGCCTAAGTATTCCTGCAGTAAAATAACAGGTGCTTGGGAGTCACTGAACAAAAAATGATCCAGCCAGGACAAGAGATATTCAGAAAGGGGCTGTTCTGAAGTCCAAGGTAACAATACTCATTCATGTCACATTTGTGTATCCACTAACTGGGAAGATTGTACTGTCTCTATGGCAAATGAAATACTGTAAACATTTTACTTGACTCTTTAACTACCAAATTACAGAATCACTCGCTTCATGATCACTGCGATTGCAGTCCCCGTGGTGCCGTGGTAAAACAAGCGAGTGCTTTGGCCTGGTACCGGCTTGATGGGTTCTGGGAGTTCTACTCCCCAAGCCTGGCACGAGGCCAGACTTGACTTGTGAGAGTTTGGTCCACCAGGCTGTTGCTTGGAGCGGCCTTCAGGCCCACCTACCCATGACAGCCTGGTTAGTCCGGCACTCCTTGAAGAAAACAATCTAGTTTCCTCTTGAAGATGTCCACGGTTGTTTCGGCAATATTTCTGATGCTCGCTGGTAGGACGTTGAACAACGGTGGACCTCTGATGTTCATACAGTGTTATCTGATTGTGCCCATGGCACCTCTGCTCTTCACTGGTTCTATTCTGCATTTTCTTCCATGCCGTTCACTCCAGTACATTGTTATTTTACTGTGCAGATTTGGGACCTGTCCCTCCAGTATTTTCCATGTGTATACCTTTTCAAGTTCAAAGCATATTTCTTAAGGCTTACTATTTGGCATTTGAGAGTAGGTGTGGAAATTCTGCACATGCAAAAGCTTGAGAGTAAGCACAGTGGTGTGGTAGCAGATTTTTAATGTGAGCAGAGTTCTTATAGGCCATATTTTTAAAACTACAAACTGAATTACCTGCATGTTAGTAGCGTATTTTATACCAGGAAAATCGGCATTGGCAGGAAAGTGAAAGTTTGTTGCATGTCGATGAAGAACCAGACGAGAGGCTTAGTGTACAGGTACCTCCTCCATGCACAACAATACCAACAGGTAAAGTTATACAGTATGCATATATATCAGTGATCTTAACTTTATTGAGCTGATGACTTGCAGTTCATTTATCTAAATGTTACTCTTGCATTGAACTTTTGCTTCACATTTCATTCATTTATTTACCATGTTAAAAAGAAAAAAAATTGTCCCTGGTATTTTTTTTTCATTTTTTTTTTTTTTTTGTAAGGAATGGTTGATGAGTAAATGTGACTATTTAATAAAGGAATATAAATAAAGGTTCTTAAGTTAACTTAAGACAATATATAACAAATAATTGATAGTGGTGTCTTGACCTACTGTACATATATGGCAAATGAACTTAGAGGGAGTTGTAGTTATGGTATCAAGTATTAGAGAAAACTCAAATGTTTATGAATTGTTATGGAGTAGTGTTAAAGGCATGAGAGAGTATTTATATTAGAGTGAAAGACTGGTTGTCAGACATGGTCTTGCAAACAATGTAACTCTGCATCGTTCCACGACTTTGTAACTACTCATTCTATTCTCATACTCCATACACTTGTGGCATAAGCATGACAAATACAACAGCACACAGAGGTTGAATGATCACTCCATCATGCAGCATTCTAGCTGCATTTTATTTATTTATTTACTAAGCATGGGCTACACTGAACTAACATTTTCTTACTTCCCTGACTCGCTGGATTTCTAGACTTGCACAATTTTATTCCATCAGTCACATGCCTGGTATTCAAACTCGACAAATACTGTACTTCTCTATTTCCCGTGGTTTCACACATGACTATTAATTTACCTAGTTATATTTGCTTTCAGTAACCATCTAGTATTCACATTTACACCACTTTAAGCTTTCCTACATGTATCCCATTCTTTGTCAAACGAACTTATCTGCATACATGTTCTCTGTGCACAATCTCTTCTAAAATTCCAAACGACATCACATTTACGACGTCAGTGAGAAATCTGGATTAAGTAATATTATACACCAGTTATATCTTTTGTGTGGTAAGGCATGATCCTAGTCTTCAAGGAAGTTGGTGCTTTTAGTATCAATTGATTTGTAGGACATGCATTGCTTGAATTGAAGGCTGGTTATTAAAGTTAAGGATGTATTTTTAATATAAAAGTGGTAACTACATTGGTGCCTATTTAATTTGCAAGATATTCTGAAGAAAAGTATAATATTTATCTACAGTTGGAGTAATACATAAGGGATAAGTAAATGTAATATTTTGGATTGACGAAATGAGCATGGAAATCATAAGCAGTTATCAACATTTTACAAGAGAAAGTAGGTGCAAGACTAGGGAGACTAGTCAAAGCAGAGAGGATGGGAGTGAGTGTAAATTGTATGCATAAGAAATAATCATGAAAGAATGTTTTAAAATTTATAGTACAGTGTTATAACTTGAAGCAAATTTAATGAAGACTTACAAATTTGCATCAAATTTTGCAGAAAAACCTTCAGGCATTGTATTGTTATTTTAAGCCCTAGAATATAACTTTGACACTTTTGAACCCCCAAATTATAATAAAGCCATTATCAAAACTGAATATAATTAATATTCAATATGATAGGAGCTATTTAAGATATTTAGTTTGAAAAATTAATATGATGGCACTGATATATTGTACCCTTCTTCAGACCTGCGGCCAGTGCAGTTGATAAAGAACAAGACCTTCTACATCTTTTGGTTTATATATTTATTTAACACCATTGCTGTTGGCTACATCAATGCTATGTATAAAAGCTTTGGACAGACCTTCATAAACAACGATCATTTGTTAGCTCAAATTGGCTCATTTGCTGCAGTATTTAATGCTGTAGGCCGGATCGCTTGGGGGCGTCTCATGGATAAAACTTCTTTCCAAGTAAGTATTGGACAGGCATATGTATTTTTAGTGGTTTTGATTGCTAACTCATCATAGGTACAGTATTATAAATTCTTGATATTTATGGTACAGTACTGTAATTTAAATTCTTTAAATGAGTAATTCAAATTCATTTATTCAATGTGCTTTACGTACAATATAATATTAAGGAAATTTTCAATCATTGCATACATTTTATTTTCCTCATTTTCTTCCAGGTTGCTATGCGTATATTGACAATTACGTTAATGCTTCTGTTTGCCACACTGCCATTAACACAGCAGATGGGAAAGGCAGGTTTTGCGGTCTGGGTGTGGCTCATTTTCTTTACATTCTCTGGAACCTTTGTGTTGATGCCAACTGTGGTGGAGAAGGCTTTTGGCGCTCAACACTACTCTGCCAATTATGGGCTTCTCTTCACTAGCCAGGTATTTTGCTGAACATTTAGTGTTTTTTTTACCATTGTTACTAATATGTATCAATTTTATTATTACTAATTAAAATGTGTATCAAATTTTTATTCGATATGGATCTTTAATTTTTGTCCGTAATTACGGTAATCAAAATTGTGAATTAAATTTAAACATTATATCTGTACAACCATTTATATATATAGTTACCTTTTATGGAATAAGAAACCAGCATTCTCTATATAGAACTGTACTTTTAGTTTCAAATACTTTTACCTTTAATTCACTATAGTAACATTCTAGATAATGTAAAGAAAAATGCCTTTTATAATTGCAGACTGTGTCAGGTCCTCTGATGGCTGCTGTCAACCAATTGATGTTGAATGCTGTTGGCTACACTGGGTGTTTTCTCACAATATCTGGTATCATTTCCTTAAGTAAGTTTATAGTTATTGTTTCACACACATTTATAGCAACTAAAATTGTTCAAATGTGCTTACAAATTTTTGTTGTCCATAGGCATATAAATATAATAAAATATGCTCTTACACAGGTGTAGGCATGACCTTCTTGGTACCCAGCGGCCTGTGATGGAAGCCACCACTAGGAACGGGGTTTTTGAACTTTTGAAACTTTAACAAAGCCAATCCCTGTAGCAAAACTACCTGTTGTAGTACTGATTTGATAATGTTCTATCACTCTCCGGTTTATAATTATTTTTTAGATCTGATATTGGTTTTAATTTGTTGAAAGATTGTTTTTTAAAGAATCCAATATATTTATAATAAAATCTATATTCAGGCGATGAGTCACAATAACATGGCTGAAGAATGTTGACCAAACCACACACTAGAAGGTGAAGGGACGACGACGTTTTGATCCATCCTGGACCATTCTCAAATCGATTGTGATGAGGGAGTTGATGCAGGGCAATAAATAGGCGAGAGGGAGGTGATGAGCAAGGCAAAAGGTATGAATGGTAAGGTGTAGTAGAGGGGATAGTAGTAGGAATAAGAACTCCAGAAGGCCCATTGGCCCATATGAGGCAGCTATTATTATAACCACTGAATGAGAAGGGGATAGTAATAGGAATAAGAGGATAGCAAGGGAACGTAAGAGAAAACAATGAGCAGAAAAAGAGAGAAAGATAAATGGAATGGTAAGCTTATGTTAGGTCACATTTGTTAGAAAGATTAGAGCATTTGAGTATGTACTGTGAAAAGGAAGAGTCCACAGCAACAAAGCCAGGACTCAAGAAGTTCATGTTGGGTACGTTGTGTATTAAAGCCAATTCAACAAGACGGCATCTGTGTAGATTAGAGGCAGGAAAGATTATTTTGGAGGAAGACCAATCAGTAGAATCATTAGAATCCCTTACATGACAGAAGAGCATTGTTAGTGTCTGCAGACTTAAAGAACAACACTTCTCTTGTGTTCTTTAAGTCTGCAGACACTAACAATGCTCTTCTGTCATGTAAGGGATTCTAATGATTCTACTGATTGGTCTTCCTCCAAAATAATCTTTCCTGCCTCTAATCTACACAGACGCCGTCTTGTTGAATTGGCTTTAATACACAACCTACCCAACATGAACTTCTTGAGTCCTGGCTTTGTTGCTGTGGACTCTTCCTTTTCACAGTACATACTCAAATGCTCTAATCTTTCTAACAAACGTGACCTAACATAAGCTTACCATTCCATTTATCTTTCTCTTTCCTTTTCTTTCTCTTTCTGCTCATTGTTTTCTCTTACGTTTCCTTGCTATCCTCTTATTCCTATTACTATCCCCTTCTCATTCGGTGGTTATAATAATAGCTGCCTCGTATGGGCATTCTGCAGTTCTTATTCCTACTATCCCCTCTACTGCACCCTACCATTCATACCTTTTGCCTTGCTCCAGTCGACTTGAATGGTCCAGGACGGACCGAAACGTCCCCTTCTAGTGTGTGGACTGGTCAAAAAAATCTATATTAAATTATATAATATTTTAATGCAAGTAATACTGTACAGTTCTTGTATTGATATTAAAAGTATTTTACTACTATTAGTATTTTTTCACCAGTCTGTATGTAGGTTTTTATACACCTCGTATGTGTGAATTATTGCTTAATCTTAAAGACAAAATACGGGTGATTGTAGAAAAACTAACAAAACTAAACATAACAATACTTTGTAAAGACTTTACTAACTTCCATTGATCAGTTTTATTTTAGTTAAAGTACTTCAAATCTGGCATAATATTTTGGAGAATTTGAATGTGGGGAAACTAAACGGCATTTTAAGTAGGACAATAAAATACAAAATAAAAAAACTGACAAGTTTAGTCATCAAAGTGTAGACACAAACAGGTGGCAGTTTTGTACTAGTAGACCGACTTCTCCAGAGTCAGGGGTGAGATACTCTAGTAGAGATTTGGTACATTTTGTGGCTTTGACAAAAAAAAAAAAAAAAAAAAATCGCTTCCTAATCACCACTTTATGCATTAAATACTGAGAAACACTTGCACAATTTCTATATATCACTAAACAGCTATACAATTAACTTCCATTTACCCTGTTTCAACCTTCAGTAGTAAACATGGCTTATAGTTACATAATGCCCCTGAAACCCACATCAATGTCGCTTAAAAAACGAATGCATTAACAACTACGGTAACTATATCTACAGTCTGGGAACCATTGACCAGTTATTTCAAGTATAGTACAGAATTTTTAACCCAAAATAACAGTAAATAATAATACAGTATTTGCACATTTTTAAGTACAAAGGCCCTGGATGCATTTTTTCCAGTATTATAATAAATTTAAACGGTAATGGAATTGTCATTATTATAACATTATATTAGCCTATCGTGCATAATTCAAGCTAATGACAATACTTATTTCAAAATGGGACCTGTTAAACCAAATCCTACAAATTAAAATATCTTGACTTTAAACTTCATTCTAATATGAAGGATGTGAAATAAAAAAATTCAAATACAAATACAGCACGGTACCATTTAGTATACAAAAAACAGAACTTATAAAATAGTTAAATACAATGAAATCTTTTATACCAAATACTTTCAAGCTTTTTTTTTTGGTAATATGGTAAAATAATCACTAAATTACCAGGAATAGTTAAAACAGATTTGAATACAGTATTAATGTACACTATTTAAATGTGTGACCTAGACTTAAGTAATGAACATGACCTAGATAATAGGAGGAAGTTGCATGAAAACTCTTGAACATGTACTGTGAAGCACACGGCTTTACTCAAGTCACACAAATGAAAGGACATTTCAGTTGACTGGCAATTCTTCATGCCTTTTCTAATTTATATAAAAACAATGACCTAGCATTGGGCCAACAATGCAAATGATCTTATAAAATACCAAAATAACATATTAAAGCTAAACAATTATATCTGCAAAATTACTTTTACAAATGTAAAATCGGAACACTGGCCTTTAAAACATAATGCAAGTGAAAACCTGTTAAAAAGAATTGTGAAAATTATTTCAATTTGTACTGTAGTGTATTTGAGGTTCAAAATAATGTTACTCGCTTGATACCTTACAGAAACAGATTCCAACAGAGAAGACACGGTTGCAAGACTGCACCACACAATAACTACAACACTTCAAGTGTCTCTCAAGACACACAGAAATCACATTAGCGTGATGCATCAAATGAACAAATCCACAAGGGTCGTGACGAGGATTAGAACCGACGTCCAAGAGCATCCCAGACGCTGCCTTATAGGTATATATAAGTTAAGGCAGCGTCTGGGATGCTCTTGGACGTCGGTTCGAATCCTCGTCACGGCCCTTGTGGATTTGTTTGTCTCAAGACATCCAGTAATTCTGGAGAATTCATTTAAAAATTCATGGCAGAAAGCATATACACACACTTATATTCTGTATATTGTATTGCATACATAAATGCAAACATACATATACCTATAGGTTCTATATTGTGTTGAATATGCATGAAGAATGAGTAGACATTATTTGTAGATAACATTTATGCCTGTAAGACCATTATCAAATCTAACATATATGCAGAAATAGTGCTTACACAGAAAAAATTGGAAACTAAGAGAAAAGCAACTAAATGAGTTAAAATTTAAAGTATTAATTTAGCAAATAAAAATCTACAAAAAATACAGATTTGTTCGTTTATTTTGAAAGGTGTTGTGTATGATTGTTGTAGATGCTGTTCACTGTTTTCTTCCATAATGATGAGTTTACTACTTTTGCATACCAATAAAGATGTTTTCTGGTGGTTACTGTTGTGTTCCAATGACGTGTTAGGTGAGTCATCAGATAAAAAAAAATGTATCCTATCATATCCTATGTTCTGGCTGAAACGCTATGCGTGTTAGTGGCTTTGCAAGAATGTAAGAGCATAAATGTTATGTACTCACAAACCCAAGGTACCTTCTTGTATATAAATAAATAAATAAATAAAAAAATACATAATATAATGCAGAAATGATGGTTAGTGAAAATATTGACACCTCGTCAACATTGTGGCGCTTAAATTCAACAAACAAAAAAATGGGAGACAATAGAACCTGCAGCCATGCCATTGAACATAATCGAGGAAACTTCAGCATCATTACCCCACTTGCTCATACTTAACAAATATAAACTGTAATGTACAGTGCCTAGTGTGTCTGGCTTCACTCAATCTTCACCTTTTTATTTATTTCCTTTAAAAGCCCTGTCTATCTTTAGACATGTCAACTTGTCAATGTTCAACGAGCAAAACCTTATTTACAAATAGTTTACTCTCATATTGGTGTTTCATTACATCATTGGCATCACTTTAGCATTTTTTCAACCACCCTGTATCTTGTAATAAAATAACAATGCACAGAAACTAACCTAGTAGTATCCAGCTGTAGCTTTCAAGTAGAGAGAGATTGTTAAGTATCAGACAGGTACTGTATTTACCATACTCAGGTAGGCTGTGGGCAGTCAAAAATCTGGTCCCGAGGCTGTAAACTGCCACCAGTGTGATAGTAGTTGTACCAGGTGATTCCCTCAACATGCCTTATTTCCCCACACTGCACTTTTATTTCATTGTTACGTGTATGTTAAGATGAATTACAGTTCGTGTGTTTGTATATACTCTTCAAAGTAGCCCGACAAAACTAACATAGAAGATGAATTCCCTTGACAAAGTCATCTTTACAAATAGTTTAATTTTAAAATGATAACATGTAGGTCAAATTCCATGTTTGAAATTCTGTGTCAATATTCTAAATATATCACTGTGTACATGTCCATATTGAAAAGCTTTAAATATAAAATCCTGTTATAAACAAGAGAATGGTGTAAACAAAAACAAAATGAAGACATGCCATAAAATATCATGTAATAAAAGTTACAAATAATCTTTCATACCAATGAAGTAACTAAATGGGAACAAATTTAATACTGTATCTTATACTACAGGAAAGAGGTCATCACTATTACAGAGATTTCCCTACAAAAAATATGCCACTACAGCATTTTGTCGGCTGGACTTCAAAACCTGCACGCCCCTAAGAAAAGCCCTGCTGCGCAATACTGTACTATGTAATATATCATCCACAGGATAACATGGCAATCTTGTAACCTACCAATAACCAAGGTGGAAAATGTTGTGCATTACTCACCTGTCAAAGTTTGGCAAAGTAACAAGATCACAAAGGAACTACAAACTGGATCTACCAAACTAGAGCCTGAATGATACTGCACAGCCACAACTATGGAAAAGCCTTATACAAATGTGAAAATAAGCAAATAAAATTACAAATAGTTTTTATGTCTGTGCCATCACAAGTAGTGAACATAACTTGTTACTGAATTTTACAGTCAGATAGGCAACAGGAAAGTTTCTCTATACAACTCTCTAATAATACTATGTTTCCTGCTACACATTATAACACACTTCCATCTTTAAATATTTATTCCCTTCATATGCATAAAATCCAAGTAAATGACCTGCAATTATGTTTCTGTATCATTTTTTATAATTTATATATTGACACTCAAACCTAGGAATGTTAAGAGAGCCAAAAAGTATTTTAAAACAAGCTTCTAGAAATGGCAAAAATGATATGCTGCCGCAACACGTTTACTCTAACTCATAATTACTGTCCCTAGAAACATTATTCAAATTTCATATTAAGAGAACATGCAAGTTAGTTCTTTGGTTAGTAACTACTAATAACACTAACAATCGTGAAAGTACAACAGGCTAAACTAAAACTTAAGCATTTTATTAACCTATTCTTACATACTATGGATACAATATGATCCAGATTTGGGTTTTGGCATTAAAGTTTGGGCCATACAAAATCCACGCTCAGTAACAATGTACTAAAAATAATAAAAAAAAAATTATTAGTGACTTCCACACTCATATTCTCTCGATTATGTATGTGACATGAACCTTTCTTGCCCTCTTTCAGTATAAATTTACTTCTTCAAACCTAAATTTTCATTTATTTATACTGTAATCCAATTTCATTACTAAGTTAGTCCATCTGCTTACAGGAATCACTGTCACATGTAGAAGGTAAGGTACAGTATCTGCTTCAGTACAGGTACTCACCTAGTTGTGCTTGTGGGGGTTGCGTTTTGGCTCTTTGGTCCCGCCTCTCAACCGTCAATCAACTGGTGTACAGATTCCTGAGCCTATTGGGCTCTATCATATCTACATTGTAAACTGTATGGAGTCAGCCTCCACCACATCACTTCCTAGAGCATTCCAGTTACTAACTACTCTGACACTGAAAAAGTTCTTTCTAATGTCTTTGTGGCTCATTTGGGTACTCAGCTTCCACCTGTGTCCCCTTGTGTGTGTACCACGCATGTTAAATAATCCATCCTTATCTACCCTGTCAATTCCCCTGAGAATTTTGTATGGGGTGATCATGTCTCCCCGAACTCGTCTGTCTTCCAGCAAAGCGAGCAGCTAGGTGAGGTCACCTGGCTGCTGGAGTCATGAAAATAAATCTAGAAGCTGCCAAAAGCAGTTGCTTTAATAGTGGTTATGCAAGATACTGGTACAGTATATTTTATTTGTTATGTCAGTTTCATGGCAAAAAATTTGGTTTGGTTTCCAACTTTTGGGGACAGGAACCCTGTTATGTTTATCAAGATCCTCTAACCCCAGGACAAGGCTGCCTCTGCAGTCACCCAACCAGTTTCTAGCCAGACCCAACAATGTCTAATCGACTGAGTGACACGCACACCATTCACTGTACCACACAACTGGCATTTTGACTGTGGCTGGTAATTTAGCAAGTTATTTTAAAATACACAGTGAAAGTGCAAGGTAAATACTCAATTTCACAGTTACAACACAAACACACACAACCTGAATATTCCTGTTAAAAAACTGAATCATTAAGAAAAGACTTTTGTGACTTCATATGCATAGTAAACAGCAAACTCTGAATTATTTGTGATCAGATTATCTGTGCATCAAAAGGCTAAGAAATGTGCAAGTAACTCATATTGTTTCAATGGTCTTCCACTATATTAATGTTTCCTATATATATATGCAGTAACTTAGTAACATACATCTGTTACATAACCTTGTCTGCTGTCTGTAATATACTGAATATGATTTAAAAGATATGGGAAAATGCCTGTTACAAGCACAGGTTCATGGGGAAAAAAAATTACTGCTCATGTGGTAAAAGTAAACTGATAGACATACTGAGGAAGATGTAAAACAGTGTACAGAATTTACATTTAAGAGGGAATGTGACAAACTTGTTACTATCATCTGAAGTTTCAACAGAGTGATTAAGAATCCAGATTTCCACACCTTGACATAAGGACATTGCTTACAAAGTTGTAGAGTGAAACTTGTGTACCAAAGGAAGTTATGTATATGTTTGAGAGTGCATCAACACTAGACTATGACAGTGATAAGAAATTTAGAGAAGTTATTGAAACAGAGAACACTATTGCAGACAAGGAGTCACAATAATGAGGCTGAAATATGTTGACCAAACCACACACTAGAAAGTGAAGAGACGACGACGTTTCGGTCCGTCCTGGACCATTCACAATCGACTTGAGAATGGTCCAGGATGGATTGAAACGTTGTCATCTCTTCACTTTCTAGTATGTGGTCTGGTCAACAGAAAACACTATTGCAGATGACGAGTCAAAAGAACATGGCTGAAGATTAGTCATGTAAATGACTTGATAATGGTCCAGGAAAGAACGAAACATCCGCAGGTCTCCATTTTCAAATATGTGCCTTTTGGGTGTCTAGAAAACACTAATGTATTATTTGATGAGAAAACTATAAACCATGATGTTCAGTTATAGTATGACCTTTGTTTTGTATTAACATGACATTAGCAATACAGTATTTGTGTTCAATGATTATTGATGGCCCCCTCTTTTTTTTTTTTTTTTAAATCAGTACCCAAATAAGTTGGAGTTTGATGTAAATGCATATTTTGTAATCAAATAATAGTATTAACACCCTAAATTTGAGTACAATTCTGATTCTTCAGTTGCCAATGTCCTTTCATTTAAATGAACAAATCCACAAGGGCCATGATGAGGATTCGTACCTGCATCCGAAAGCATCCCAGATGCTGCCTTAATCGACCGAGCTATGACAGGCAGCGTCTGGGATGCTCTTGGACGCAGGTTCGAATCCTCGTCACGGCCCTTGTGGATTTGTTCATTCCTTTCATTTATTTCAGAAAAAGCAATAAGAGAAATAATAAACTGTATGATAACAATTTAACTAAATGCACACATCACAGGGCTTATTTTGTGATAGGACTATCACCTACAATTCTAAATGTAATCATCTGAAGTTCTAAAGTCATTTAAATAACTGTATTCAGACCATAAATTTCAGAAAAAAAGTGGCAATGCAATCCATGAATCTGGAATTTACTGGTTTGCCACTTCTCTTACAGCTAATGCAAGGTATAGGCTCGCTCTCAGTGTACCAAAACAGAAATAAAACCACAGCTTAAAGTAAGACTGGCACAGTTCTTCACTACAGTATTGTGTCGTCAGTGGTATGTAACATGCAAGACGCACATTACTTGGGATTTTGACGACAGAGCAGTTTAAATCTAGAATAAACTTCACCGAAAGCCAAAGTAAAATCGGTAGGAATCACAATAACAACAACAACTACAAGATACAAAAGAAAACGTTCACACGTACAAAATTACCTGCCGAGGTGAAAAAAGCTCAGAAGATGAAGTCTTATCTAGAGGTACATCTAACATCAAGAAAAATAAAATACAGTAACTAAGGAAATCTTGCTGTAGTTTTAAAAGTAATAGGTATAAATAAGTAAATAAAGACTAGGAGTACAGATATAAACAAAGTGCCGCTACGACTACAACATTAAAAACCTGGTGCAAATAATAAAACAGCCAAAAACAAAACAAAACAAAAAAAATTACAAATAATGCATCGACTGGTATGTATGGTATTAACACATACCAGTTACCAGTTATAAATATTTCAATTCTGGAATTGTCAGATCTGGAACCTTCAACAAATACATATTAAGAGTACTGTATTGCACTTAATTATTTTATTACTATATAAATTCATGTCTGGAATGAAGGCTAAAAAATTTAACTACTGTATATGCTTAGTAAGGAAAATATTGTCAAAATCCATATTTCTCAAAACACTAAAATACATCACTACTTTGATATAACATACATACCTCTTTTCATTAATGAAATGTCATGACAATCACTGTAAAATATAAACTCATCATAAATCACATTTACTCTAACTCTACACTGGAAAGACCAAGCTCATGAGGATCCTCCAATGACATGCAGCACCCAGGCAGGGCGGGTCAATCTGGTGAACAAGAAGATAACAACTCACTTTCATGGTCATCCTGAATGTTGGGTACTGATTCCAATGTGTCATGCCTAGTAAGAACCAGACCCATTGCCTGAGTTAACCACTGCGCAGCATACAATCCATCGTATACGTGACGAGCCAAATGTTGTGTCAAAATTGGCAGGGAAGTGAATTCTAATCCACATGCGCCACACTGTTGGGGGGCACTCTTAGTAGCACTACCACCCGAAGGTTCAGGAACACCATCACAACTGGATACCAACTTTCTGTTATTCACTTCACTATGCTGAATATTTCCTTTATGATGTCTACTGAAACGTCTACGGGTACGTAACCGTGGTTGTGCACTAAGTGGGCCAAGACTAAGGGCCTGAACAGCTTGAGACAGTAAAACATCTGTACTTTGTGGTAGTGGAGGTACACGCATTGGACTTGTTACACAAGGATAGAGGTTGGTTATTGCAGATTGCTGGCAGCTGGAAGCACTGCCAACTGGGCCTGACATCTGAGTATTGCACATTTTTATTGCCACTACTTCTCTTTTTAGCTTAAAACTTTTAACTGACCCCGTTTTGTCAGTTTCCCCTGGGCCATAAACATATGCGAACTTAGGATCACCTCTAGAACTCTTGACACTAGATTTCCTCAGTGAGTTGGTACATGGACTGTCTGGAATGGAGCCCTGGCCAACTGTGTTTGTGACTTCAATCAGAGGAGACATTGTGCTGAATCATGAAGTCATTATCTCCTGAAAAAATTGGGACATCTAAGTCATCTATGGTACAGTATTATAATTAGGTAAAATAGGTAGGCAATTACAAAATTAAAACTCAGTTTCTTATGGTTGTGCGAGGGCAACCGAGAAAGGTAATCTTAGCCAACGTATCTCAAGATACTGCAAAGATTGGAGGGTGCCAATGAATCAACTGCCTCTTACAATTGCTAGATCATTATGACATGGCCTTAGGTGCCATGGAAGACAAGCAAAATGCAAATGTAATACAGTATACACAGACTTTGCAAAATTCTTCAAATATATGTGACCATGGTAAGAGCAGAGAGAAGGAGAAAGTGTTATTACAACAAGGATAGCGTTCAGAATTATTACAAGAGTGTTTCAGGGTCATTACATTATTGTGCACAAAATGCACTTAAAAGAAATTACTGGCAAAGTAGGGAGATGGATCTTTAACTTCTTAATGAAAAGAATGCAGTTTAAAAGCCAACACGGTAAAATCCAGATCACCCACCGTGAAAAGCTCAGTCCCCCAGGGTACTGTACTTGCTCCTACACTTTTTCTCATCCTCATATCAGACATAGACAAGGATTCAAACTACTTTATAGTGCCATATCATTTGTACATGACACTAGGATTTTCATGCAAGTAGGCAATATAGAGGACACGGCAAACCTCTAATCTGACAAATTGGGTTTCCAATGGGCCACACATAAGATGTTTTTTAATGAAAATAAGTTCCAGCTCCTGTGCCATGGAAAAAATATATAAATACAGTAACCATATATAAAACAATCAAAATCACACTATAGAATGAAAAAGTAATTAATGTAAAGGATCTAGGAGTAATCATGTTGGAAGACCTTGTCTAACTCCCAGGTACCTATTTACTGCTAGGTAACAGGGGCATCAGGGTGCTTGAAACATTTTACCCATTTGTCTCCACCTCCATCGGGGATTGAACCCGGAACCTCAGGACTATGAATTTGAAGCGCTGTCCACCTAGCTGTCAGGCTAGTTCTATCCCTGTGTCTAGTCCTACTTCAATTATTTTATCCTTGCCACATTTGCACATTGATGATTACTGTATTTCATTCTATTTTATTTCATTTCTAATTTTATTTTTTTCAAAATGAAATAGTGGATACACTAGATACAGGCCTGTGCTGTACTGGCTATTTGGACTAAGGATAATGTACCTCATAAGGTAAGGTAAGGTGAGGTGATTTATATACTGTATTATATGAGCACTCATACGAGTGTACAAGATATATGATGTCTTGTACACTCCAGTACTGTGTACCCAATTACAGGCCCCAACTTGCCTTTATTAAACGTATGAAAAATCTTACTTCTTCACCGTATCTGCTTCAAGCAACCTTAGAAATACATTTAAAGAAGTCTAACAGCCCAAATAAAACTGAATTTATCAATAACCTGTATGTAAACAACTTCCAAAGAGCCACCAGCAGTGAGACATTTAGAGTAAGGGCTCCTTATTCATTCATTTTTCCTGAAAAAGTGCAGCACTTTGTGAGTGTGTGTAGTCCATTCTCCAAGATAGATAACCTAGTGACTATTAATTAATGCTTCCTTTTGTTAACTATCAGCAGTTTTCAATTGCTTTGAGTATTCAACATGGAAGGGTTTCATGACAATTTTGTTCACTATACATTCATTGAATTGTTTGTTTATCCACACGACCACGATACCATAAACCGTTTCAGGAATTCTCTGCTCACCAATTAATCTCGCTTGCCATCATCACACCATAAAGTCAAACACTGTACAGTACACACTTATAAAATATTAGTAACTAATAAATCTTCCCGGCAGCACAAGTAAACAATATTTCCACTTACATTAAAGAGGATGCCAATGGTACAAGAGCCTGGAGGACAGCAAGTACACACGAGGCAGAGTGGGCACATACGAGGGCGTTCCAGAGAGCCCAGCCGAGACTAACCTCACTCTCGGGGCCAGAGAGCACAGTACAAACGTTCTTCCACTGCCTCACTTTGTAGTACGACAGAGACAAGTCCAGACTGGCCTCCACAACCTCACCTCGTAGTATACCAGAGGGCCACTATCCAGTCTAGCCTCACGCCGTAGTATGCTAAAGCCGAGCCCAGACTAGCTTCTCACGCCGTAGTACGCCAAGGAGGCCTGTGTCCAGACTAGCCTCACACCCTCTATCATACAAGAGCCCAGACTTGCTGCCACAACCCCACTCTGCAGAATACCAGCAAACTCGGCCCAGATTAGCCTCGACGACCTCTTATGTCGTGTGCCAGCCCCGCCTCCCTCTCCTCCCCATTCAACCCACATTTGCATACATTCACAACCCCCCCCCCCTTCCCCCCAACCAGTCTAAACCCCCCCTACAACGGACCTTAAGGAACCGTGAGCATTTTTTCCCTCCCGCAGATGCCCATTGAGAGCTTAATATATGCACCGAGATCCTTTACATGCTACCTGGCCCGACCCTTCCCCTGCTATTTGCATAGGCCAGCCCGTATGCATACCCAAGTAGCATTTAAACCCCGCTCCCGGTCGCAGGCGCCAAAAAAACGGGAGAACCGTTTGGAATAAAATGGGGAGGAGGTAACGTACCACACACTGAGGCTACACCCAAGGTCGCAGATGATCGGGGTATGTAAATTATGATGAATATGCATGGTGCGTGAGGTGGGTCGTCGCCACGGCCGCCGCCACCATCCCCGTTGTTGTTGTGGAGGTCCTCCTTCCCGGGACCCCGGGACCCCGACCCTCTCTCCCTCCTGGTCCACCACCCCCTCCAGCAGCTAGTACAGATAGTACTACCTCTCCTAGTACAGATAGTACCACCTCTGCTAGTACCGCCTCTGCTAGTTCAGCTAGTACCACCTCTGCTAGTACCGCTAGTATAATTTCTGCTAGTACAGCTAGTATAACTTCTGCTAGTACAGCTAGTATAACTTCTGCTAGTACCGCTAGTATAACTTCTGCTAGTACAGCTAGTATAACTTCTGCTAGTACAGTTAGTATAACTTCTGCTAATACAGTTAGTACCACCTCTGCTAGTACAGTTAGTACCACCTCTGCTAGTACAGATAGTATCGCTAGTACTGCTAGTACGGAAATGAGTATGACTGGGGAAATATGGTAAGTGGAGTACCACAGGGGTCCATTTTGGGACCAACCCTTTTTTGTCATATACATCAATGACATAGATGAAAATATTACAAACTACATCATCAAATTTGCAAATGACACTGGTAAAGTAGGAAGGGAAGGGAATTTTCAGTAGAAAACGCCAAGCCATTTCCACTATATAGCACTTGGAAGAGATCATGATAAGGATCTGGGATGGGACGGGGGCAAGGAATAGTTCCCAACCACTTGAATTGCCTCTTCCCTTGCTCGATTGATTGATGAAGATTAAGCCCTTAAGAGTTGGCACAGGCATGAATAGCCCGTAAGTGGTAGATTTTTTGAGTGAATGTGATCTTCGGTCGTGAATTCCCTTGCTCGGTAAAGCATACTTTACCGAGCAAGGTGAAATGCAACAAGTGGGAGCTGCCATAAAAAAAAAAGCAAACCAAATCTTAGTAATAGTCAAAGGAAATTTTGACTAGGTACAACTGTACAAATGTCTGCTGCTTCCCCACTTGGATTATTGTATCCAAGCACCGAGACCTCGCCTTCAGAAAGACAAATCTGCTTTGGAGAAAATTCAACACCGGGCGACAAAAATAATTCCAGCACAAAGTCGACCTCATACCAGGAACGGTTGAGAGGCACAGGTTAACATACTGAACAATTTGGAGGATATTGATCCAGACAACTTCTTCAAAAGATATTTACACGAACAAGAGACAACAAGGGAAAATTTAGTACCCAAATGAGCCACAGATATATGAGAATTTTTTTTTTCAGTGTCAGAGTAGTTAACAAATGGAATGCATTAGGTAATGATGTGGTAGTGGCTGACTCCATACACAGTTTCAAATGTAGATTTGATAAGAGCCCAATAGGCTACAGAATCTGTATACCAGATGATTGACAGTTGGGAGGCGGAACCAAAGGAGCCAAAGCTCAACTCCCGCAAGCACAACTAGGTGAGTACACACCATACATGCTCGCGTATTCCTACTACCACAAGATCCCCATATACTCCAATACTAATATTCAAATCTTTGACATTGCTCCGATTCGGACTCAACGTAAAAATGTTATGCAGACATAAAACATGGCGTGTCCCTCATAATGATATCAAGCATCACACAACATACACGTCAGGCTAAAGTAACAAATAAGCACATATTTTCATATAAGCAACATATTTACCTTATGGTCATCCCCTCCAGTCACCTCGACGGGGACAGGAAACGCGGCGGCTTGTCAAAGGTACCTAATTATTTCTGACGAATTTTCCCAACTGAATTTTAAACAGAAGTAATGTCTCGGCATTTTCGGCTTCATCGGGTATACAACTCTGTAGATAAAAACCAAACTGTTTTCTGTCCTACATTCTAGTTTATTGAGCTTGAAGCTGTTGTCCCTTGTGTTCATTACATTGGACCTTTTAAAGAAGTGTTCTGGATTAACATCGATAATACTTTATCAGTATTTTAAAGGTCTCGATGAGATCAGCCTTGTCGTGTATTGTTACCCCAATGGCCCCTCAACCGTTCCTGGTATGAGAGCTTAGTTCTGGGATGATTTGTGTCGTTCTATGTTGAACTTAGTCCAAATTTGACCTTTTGAAGGTGAGGTGTGCATGCTTGGCCACTGTAGAACAGTATAGGTGCACTAAGGACTATTGACGCCCTCTTCACTATTCTTACGGTTTAATTGTTTTGTTTTTTCCTTACTGCGGCTCCTACTTTTTGTGTAACTTTCAATGACAGTTGGATCCTAACTCTTAGTTCCTTTCTCTCTTAATCTGCTGCATGGTAGTGTTGTCGATATGCAAGTTGTGGCGCGCATCGTTGTCCCCTACATGGAAGATCTTGTATTTTTAAATATATACAATAAACTATGTAACTAGCTTATCAAGGCTGTAACTTGTGTAGCTAAATTAATTTTGGGGGGTACAGTTCCTGAGCTCATTGTGGCCCCCTAACCTTTTCTACTACCGGTCACAGGATGGGTATGGACGGGGTGCATAATAAATTAACTAAACTAAAAAAAAAAATTGGCCAGTTTGACATACATATTACACTCTGTCGGTAGATTTGTAGTTAAGTTTTTATACTACATAAATTTCCATCCCTCTTTCATTCAGTATTGCTTCCGAGGTGTTATTAATTCTGTTGCAAGCCTCAGGACTTTGTATTTCCCTTGATTGAAGGCCAGTAGCCGGTTTCCGACCTTCTGGCTTGAATAAGCGTCTCTTTTTGCGGGTCAGTGTCGAGGGCTTCCTGAAAAGCAAGAAAAAATGCTGTGTCATAGCTCTCTCTCTCTCCTATTTGATTGTTTGGAGGGTAGAAATAGCCTAAGCTACTCTATCCCTTTGAGATGTATTTCTTTTTCTCAATAAACATGCTTGAACTTTGATTGCTGTCACCTTGTTGCAGAATTTGAGTAGGTTTGACTATTAGGATTTTCCTCTACTTAATCAATGTTCATTTTTGCAAACGAACCTCATCTGTTTTAAGTGCTCTATGAGTCTCCTACTAGTTAATACATTGCTGGAAATACTTGTTAATTTGTGAAACGTAGACCATAGTAGTCGATTATGGATTACTCATAGGTGACGACGAAAGTGTTTTTACAAGTTCAAGTTACAGAGAGTTATTGTACACTCAAACACAAAACATGTTTTACACAAATGAATGCACAGTATGTATACTATACACAGTATGTATATTGGTGTGTGGACTGGGAGCATGGCGAGAACCAGTTAGTGTGGAGGAGGCGGAGCGAGGCGGGCAGGGTGGGCTTAGTAAGAGCTGGAGAGAGGTTCAAGGGGATCGGAGAGAAAGGATTGAAGTAATAGACGGGAAGAAGAAGAAGGGATAAGTGGGGTGCGGCTGGTATGAGTTGAAGGATCGGGGGGAAGGGAGGATGATCCCATCCAATGTTCCTGACTACCCACCTGAGCACATGCTGAGCGCAGGAGACAAGCTGGACAAGGACAGCCTCTTTCAATTGAGATAAAATAGGATCAGAGAACAGACCCGCTAAGGAAGTACTCGTATGCTGGATGGCTGGTTTACAAGTGGTTTAATAGTGGGTGGTTTAATACTACAAAATTTAAGTAATGAAAGCCACCTCTACCGGTAACTTATAGAGCAAACGTGCCACAGGTATAAAAAGCTATAGGAGCTAGTGCACATACATCAATATGCATGCATTGATGGGCGAGGTATGATGGCTTGTTCCAGCCCAACACCTGGGGCTGGAACAACTATTTGTCCACCTACCAAATACCCCGGGGTACCCACTTGGGTATACAGGCAGTAGAACGGTCCAATCCAGTACCTCTAGCTACCCACGTGGGTATAGAACGCCCCATCCATGGGCTACCCATCTGAGTACATACAGTCAGTAAAACGCTTTCACTCAATGCTTAGCGCAATCCAACTGGAAAGTTTTTTTTTATTAAAGCACTTCATAGACAATATGAAGGGAAACCCTTTAATATTAAAGAGTTACATTGTGTCAAGAGCTAAGTATATTATACTAAAACCCCCACCTCACTGGAGGCATGTGATCAGTAGCCTACACTGGTAAATTTTTGGATGCATTTTTGAGGATAGCCTCAAGAACACGGGAGAGGATAAAGTTCTTGTAAAGCTCATACCTCCTCATACTGGCGGGTCTAAAGGGTCTAATAACTGAACATTCAGTAATGTAAAGTGTGTGAGGTCATGACCCAGTACATATACCCCCCTACCCATCTCGGGCACCCTCATACACCCAATACTCATGTTTGGGAGGCAGGGCCTCAACACAGTGCAGAGAAACCTTGATTGTGTTTGAACTTAATGATACAACATAATGACACCTGCTGAGTTATGAACGCAATACTCAGCAGTGCAGAGAGCGGTAGTTTATTGTGCTCCTCATACTCATCCTGTGAGCGGTAGTTTATTGTGCACCCCATACTCATCCTGTGAGAGGTAGTTTATTGTACATCTCGACAGGGAATATTTTACATTAGCATTTACAACTTAGCTACACACCTGGCAATTAATTATAACAATAGCTACTAACACCTTGCTCCGAAACGTGTATAAATTTCAGTATAATATACAATTCCTGAGTGGACGGAGATTGGCTCATATCTACCAGTTCCATCCGAGCACG